AAATGCGTTGTTGGAGAGCCAGTATGTGTGGTGCCGTGAGACGTTGTGTCTTCAGTTCTTCCTGCATTGATCGATAGCTTCGAAGCTGTTTTTTAAAGGCAAGATCACTGGAGACTGGATGATTGTGCCCCAGCGACCTGAGTTCCCAATGACTCCAAAGGAGGCCCATCAGCTTGTATCTCGACAGGGTTCTGTTGGCCCGACATTTGCGAGGAAGCCTGGTTGGAGTTGGGGGTTGAGAAGAGACGACATAGGTGTCCTTAAGAGTTAATTTTATGCTTTAAGAAGAGACATCGGTGTACACAGGTCCGAAGATCATTTGGGAATTGACAAGTTGAGTCTGGGTCTGGATCGGGATCAAAATTGTTTTGGCCGATTGAAGCGTGGAAGAACAAGTTTGGTGATGCAAGAGAGCCACTGAAGAATGGTATAACCTTTGAACTTTAGAAGCAAGTTGTAAAACCAAAGAAAGAAAGATCAAAATCATACCCAACATTGGGACTGGCGTGGATAAACTCATCAGTGGCTAGAACAGGGACATCAGCAGCGGACATAGGTAATCCCATGGTGGAAGAAGCAAGGTTGCACAGCAGTGATTGGAGCCGAAGCTGGAGCAGCTGGTGGTGGAGTAGCATTGCCACCAGAAGGGGTGCCTTGTAAGGAAACTTGCGGAACCCACGATGTTCACTGGTGAAATGGGCACTGGTGCCTTTGGAGAACCTTCCACAGTTGCGACAGTATTTAGCAACTACCTTCCCATCAACAGAAATGGTGTGTTTGGGCATCATCGGGAATGTTCTCCCTTGGAGGCATGGAAGCAAGCTTGTCTTTGATAAGAGTTGTGAGCTTGGAGTTGGTTTCAGCACTCAGACCGTTGTCCTTGGGAGCACCTCGCTTGGGACATGCTGATCGTTTCTATGATGATCAGTAGCTCCACAATCAAAGCAGGCGCCTCACGAGGACGGTACCGCCACTGGCTGACCACTGTTTCGATCCTGGGTGAGACCCCAACTTTTGCCTCAACTGCTTTGTCAATTGCTGCCTGGAAGGCTTTGGCCTGGGTTCCCTTGGATCCAAGATGTTGGGCAGCCTCATAAGTTTTCTGGTTGATGAGGACCCGAAGAGGGCATCCAAGTCATTCAAAGTGTCGAGTGCTTCCAATTGTTTGTTCCATAGTTGCTATCAAATCCGTTGATGTCACTCTTGACAAAAGCTCATGGACTTTGGATCGAAAGTATGGACAACCACAGCCAAGGAACCTCTCAGGATGTGCTGGTTAGTTCAGGCATGGGATCACTGACATAAAGTTCAATCGAATCTCTTTGATGAGCTTGCTTGCATCCAACATACATGGACACATTTTCCCCAGGGAATTGGTGATGTCCAAGTGAAGAAGCTTGGCTTTGAGGGTCTCAATCTTGCTGAGAGAAGGTCGGTATATCTTCTGCAGAAGAGCCAAGAGAAGCTGGGGCCCATTTGCTTGGCTCAGGGACATATGATTTCAATTCTTCCTGGAGTGCATCAGTGCAAGAGTTCAAGACAGCCTTTCCCGACCAGGCAAGGTTGGTTAAGATCATACTGGCAAAACAGGATGTTGCGTCAGATCCCCATTGGCATCGATGAGTCCGACCCCATTGACTGTGAGGTCCTGATGCCATTTTTTCCATCATAGACTCTGAGACCTGTCCAGGAGCAGTGAACATGTTGATTTTATTATAGTGTTAGTATTAAGATCTCCAACAACAAGCTGAAAGACCCCTTCCATTCCATGCTCTGTCATCATACTCTCAAAGGCGATAAGAGAGGCTAGCACATGAGACCCAGAAGCATTGGACTCAGTCAGAGTGGAGAATAGTAGACTGGTGGAATCCTTCAGTCCTTTCTTGCATGCCAATTCGATAGGCTGGAGTGTGGTGTGATGTTTCAGATGGTCGTCACATGGAAACCCTGAGGCATAGGGTGCTTTGAGGTTCTTTCCCAGTCCATCTGAGCCAGATCCTGTCCAGGCTCCAGTGTGGTTGATACCTCCAAGCCGAGGGCTTCTGTAAGCTTGGTCTTCTCTTTGGTTTTCCCAATGTGCTGGAGGAGCTCCTGGAATTGGACTGCGGTCAATGGTGCAGTAGTCATGGTTGGAGGATCAGATGGTGGGATGATTGGATCAGATTCAAAGAAGGCTTGTCTGAAGCCTTGTGGACTGAACAAGGATGCTGATGCTGGCGCTGCTGTTGAAGATGAAAATGCTGAGGCAGAGGAAGCGTCGTCAAGGTCCATCAAGTGAGAATCAACAAGAGAGGAGCAATGGCACTGGCAACACGGGCAATGGCAACAGTGGCAACAGTAGAAGGAGCGGCAACAAGAGGAGGAGCTCGATGAACCAGTCAATCGAGTCAATCGAAGCTGGAATTTATGAGCTTTCTTCATCGGAGAGATCCTCGAGCGAGTCTTCTGAATGATCGAGCGAATCTTCGTTCAAAAGGAGCGAGTCCTCAAGCGAATCTTCGTTTGAATGATCCGAACGACTAACTGCAAGCCAGTTAGCTGCAAGCCAGTTAAAACGACCAATGCCAGTCCTAGGTAATGGACCAACTGCCGAAGATGGAGTAACAGTTTGAACAGCCGATCGGTCGCTCGTGGTGTTGTTGTCGCTCGTCGCGCTGTTATTTGCCGATCGATCGTACGTGTTGTTGTTTGAAATGAAAAAGTGAGGAGTTTGCGATGAAGATATTAGGCAAGCATGACTCAGGTGATTCCAAACGATAATAGCAGGTGATAACGCATGACTCAATGCATGACACACAGGCCGAGCCTTATATATGCATTCGGAGCTCATTTTTCGATGAATTCTGTTAACTCGATCGAGCCTGTTAACTCGATCGCGACCTCTGTTATCGCGGCCGATGTAATGACGCACGGTGAGGTGATGCAAAGTGATGGAGTTAACAGTAGTAGCACCAGTTACAGTAGCGGTCGAAGGCGCAGTACTAGTAGTGACTCCTGCAGCGACCGAGATAATATTAGGATCCTCATCGTGATTTCGATCGACGACAGGATGGAAGTCCTCATCGCGATTTCGACGACGACAGGATAGAATGGGAGATTGCTTACGAGCGAATCAAATGGTTCGTCCTCGTTGAGATTGCGATCGTCAACAGGATAAAGAAAATGGGAATCAAGAGATGACAAGCTACAGATGAAGAGTGCAAGAGGAAACTCAGGAGCATTCTGCATCAAGGAGTAGTGAAATCCATTGACAACAACAAGGGACGATAGACATATAAGAAACCTGAGTAACATCTCATAACCTCGCATGCTACCATGCGACAATACCATTGTGCATTGACTAGTCTAAGGATCTAAGAGATGTAAAGTTTGTATTTCCAAATAAGTGAGCAGTTATTGATTATTTTCTAGAATAAGCCTGCTAATTGTAAAGCTGTAAAGCTGAATTGTAAGCTGTATCCCGTCGCAGCCAGCGATGGTGCATCTTGGGATCTGTGTTGCTTGCTTGACTTTGCCTCAGTCAGACAGCTGGCTGGTTGATCAAAGCTACTACAATAGCTACCGGTACGAGCGAGATTGATGGAGACAGAGTTGATTACATACAGTTCAAAGTTGTACCGGTGGCCAATCAAAGTAGCAGGTACCGGTGCAACAGCTGCCAACAAAGCAACAAAGCAACAAAGCAACAAAGCAACCCGAGCTCATCGTTTCAAAGCCTGCTGATGAATGAGAAGAGAAGGCGAAATCAAATCAAGAGTCCTGTATCCACGATTGAATGAGAACGGGTGTCATTGAGAACAGGAAGCTGCTGCTGATCTCTAACGAAGACAACTATACAAATAAAATCAAAGAATCAGCATCCACCATGACGAACCGAATGCCTGCACTACTATTACTAGTTGCGTTGCTTTTCGCCGAGTTTGTGCTTGCTAATGGATTTCTTCCTTCAGCAGCACTAGTAATCACTACTCCCACGCGCCGCCTGACGACGCACAATTCTCGCCTTGCCGAGGACACACCCGACGCCATCGATCGTCCCGTGATTGCGGGTGTGATTGCACCACTGGTCTACAAAGGTCCCTATGCTTGTTTGTCGCTGCGGTTTCCCAACTGGAACAATGCCGTGTGGGACTTTGTCGTCGACACGGGCGCCAATGTAAACAGTATCGACAAGAAACTGGCAGAACAAAATGGAATGCCCCAGCTCCAAGGCATTCCACAACCATTGGCAACGAGCGGTGTGGGCGGAAGCTTTGCTCCAGGAGAGTTGGTCCTGTTGGGCGATTGTGCGTTGGCGGGACTTCCACCCGCACAGAGCCACATGCTCTTTCTTCGCAATCTGACGGCGTCGGCGCTTCCACATGCGGGTCCTACAGCGGGGTTGTTGGGATCGTCCTTTGTCGGCATGTTTGCGGGAGTCGAATTCGATTGGTATGGAACCGACGGGGATCCTCCTACCATGGGCTTTTACTTTGGAAAGTCGCCGCTGCCATTGAGTGTCACCCAAGGCATGGTCCGAGTGCCCCTTCAATCAGGAGGATTGGGACTCTTTATCGTTTCGACCACAGTCAATGGCGTCGAGATTCCGGCTTTGGTGGACACGGGATCACCCATCACCATACTCACAAAGCAAGCAGCCGAAACGATTGGAATGCAAACAGTGTTGTCGCCGACTCACGACACTGGAACATTCGACAATAATAGGCATCATCCAAGACCACGACAACGACAACAGCAAGCCATTGGGGACCCCTCCCTCCAAGTTGGCGGCGTGGATGGCAGGCCCATGCAGCTTCAGCGGTCCGAATCAACAGCCAATACTATTCAGGTCGGAAGTCTAACTCTCGGAGAAGGTCCAGTGTACATTGGAAATGTTCCGGCACTTTCCTTTTTGGAGCAAACAGCCGAGTGGCTTCAGGACAAGACGAGGACGATGGACCCACCAGTGGCGATTCTAGGACTGGATTTCTTGCGCAAGGCGTATCGAATCATCATTGTGAGCGCCAGTCACAACAACAATGCCGCCAGTGAGCTATGGCTGGATCCCATGGATGATTCCAAACCAAAGTATAAAGCTACCAACTAGCTAACAGCCAGGGCACCCTGTTTGTCACCGTACGGTAGTCGTGGTGGAATGTGCAATATACGTATCCAAGTATCGTATAGTCCGCTTCGCTTTCAACGAGATGTTAAACTGTAGCTCCAACAAACTACTATGCTCCTCCTGTGGGGATCTTTTGACGACTTTTCAAAGATTCCCATTGCAACACTACCAGACATGATAGATCCACGACCGCCAGAAAAGAGAAATTAGAATTCAATAGAAATGTTCGCCATCAACAACGAATATGTTCATTCCTCTGGAACTGCATTGGCTGCAATCCTATCCCACATCTCGTCATTGCTGGTCTGCCTGCTGGACCGAAAGGCAGTAGAGCCTACTAGCTAGGTAGTACCTGTACCGGTAGCAATTGGAGTTAGAAGCACATCAACCTATGCCAGGATCGTCGTGACACGAAGACATCCTCAACGCAAGATGTAGCAATCGAAACGAGGAGGCTCGCAACACAGTTTTGCCATGACCGACGCAAAGAGCTAAAGATCTGGCGTTCTTGATCCGCCATCGGCTTCTTTGCTTTGCAATTGGCAGCTAAAGATGTTCCTCGTCTTATTCCCTCTTCCCCTACTCTCTACTGCTCCGTGTCCGGTTCGAGTTGGTGCCGAATCTGTGGGTTGGGGGTTCGTTTGGCAGGTCATGGTGCCAATTAGTTCGTGTCATAAATTAGGGGCGAGAGGTCAATCTTCCCGTTGTGGTGAAAAACGAGTGCCTGGTCTTTGTCCGAAGAATGCTTTTGATTAGTAGAAAGAAGCTTGGCATAGGATTATTAGGTGCTTTTAGCGCGTCGCGGGCTTCGCTTTACTTCATGGGCGGTCAAGTTGGTTGCAGTACGATGTACTGTGCAGGTACGCAAGGCAGTACGGTACCGGTAGGATACATTGGCTTCGAAGGAGCCGAAGCTCCTTTGCTCTTTGACCAAAGAGTCACAAAATACACTCTGCTCCTTTTGGCAAAGATCCTACCAATATGAAATTGAAGCAACTCTTCAAGCCCAGCAAGTGGGTTGTCATTTCTAGGCACCATGATGCTGGAGATGACCCAACAGTTGCCAGAAAAGAGCAACAAGGCGACGAACACACCATCTTCTCTACCAGCAACAAGTCCTCTGTGTCTACTCCCAGCAGATCCAGTCATCATCGTGAAAAGAAGAGCAAGGAGAGGAAACGAAGGAAGACCAAGCCTACTTCTTCCATTCCACAAGAAGTCGAGGAATTCAAAACAGCCAATGAAAAGCTTGTAGCTGGACTCGTTGCAGTGATAAATGATCATGGGACTGCTGAAGAAATGGCAAGCTTCTTCAAATCAGGTGATGTTCGAGTCAAGTTGGAGGATGTCCCAAGCATTACTTCAGATGTCTGGGTTGTTGCAGCTGAGCAATGTATTCAGAGTTTCCCTGACTTTCACTTCCAATACGAGTCCATCAAGGAAGACAGGTCTGGAGTGGTTCTTGTAGAGGAGCTTCAAGCAAGTGGCACTCACACTGGAGAGCCATATGCCTTTGCCCACTTCCCTCCAATTCCAACTAGCCACAGGCACATTGTCAACGATCCGGAGAGGCTTTGGTTAAGGGTCAAGGATGGCAAAATCACCAGCATGGAATGTGTTTCTCTAGGAGGCTTCACAGGCCCTCCTGGCTTCTATGTCCAGTTGGGTGGCAAGACGGAAATGCCACCACCTCCATCAGAAGAATAAGAGTTCTTGCGTAGTCGTTCACATGAAGTTTCTTTATGAACTGTATCCATAAAGCTTGTTGACGGACTCTTTGGTTGACTGGCTGGTCCCACGCACATCCATCATACCGGTAGCAATCCTAGTAATAATGCATTTTGATTACATATTTTGGCCTACTTCCTTCTCCGTGTGGCCGGTTGCATCATCGTCTGAAGCCCGCTACACGGTAGCCCTTGGGTCTGTTTGTTTCTCCATAAAAAACTGTGAAAGTTGCAATGGATTACAACCTTGAAGATTGAAGCCTTGCACTAGTAGTGGACCTACTACACCCCATGCAACCAGACCACGGCAGGACAGGAGCCCATCAGCCCCTACACATAGCTTTTACAGATGTAGGATATTTTGCCGGGAAAACACTATGGATGTTGCTGTATAACAAAGAAGACATCTCATAATGCATAAAGGGGGGTCTAGTAGAGTGGGTAGATGTACTATTACAAAGATTGATTACGCTTCACTGCTGCTGCATCAAGAAGGTATAGTTTCTCCTTTGGCAACTCCCCATCTCAATCTTCTGATGGTGGTGGCATGTCCATTTTGCCACCCAATTGCATGTAAAAGCCAGGAGGACCAGTGTAGTCTCCAAGAGATACACATTCTATGTCAACAATTTTGCCATCCTTGACCCTTAACCACAACCTCTCTGGATCGTTGACAATGTGCTTGTTGCTAGTTGGAATGGGAGGAAAGTGGGCAAAGGTATATGGCTCTCCCGTGTGAGTGCCACTTGCCTGAAGCTCTTCTACGAGAACCAATCCAGACCTGTTTTCCTTGATGGATTCATATTGGAAGCGGAAGTTAGGGAAGCTCTTAATACATTGCGCAGCTGCAGCAATCCAGATATCCGAAGTGATGCTAGGGACATCCTCCAACTTGACTCGAACATCACCAGATTTGAAGAAGCTCTTCATTTCTTCAACACTGCCTTGTCCATTTATCACTGCAAGGAAATCAGCTACAACCTTTTCATTGGCTGTTTTGAATTCCTCCACTTCTTGTGGAATGGATGGAGGTGGCTTGGTCTTGCTGCTCTTGGACTTCTTGCCACTGGACCCTTTCTTTTTCTTTTCATGACTTCTACCTGATTTGTTGGAAGCAGACAAAGAAGCTGTGTTACTGGTAGATGCGGAGAAGACGCTGTGTTCGTCACCTTGTTGCTCCTTATTGGCAGTTGCAGGGGCATCTCCGTCATTGTTCTTGGCACTGGAACCCCACTTGCTGGGCTTGAATGGATTCTTGAGCTTCATGTTTTTTGTTTGTTTTTGGGGTCAAGGAACGGATTTTGTGTCAAAGAGAGGAGTTTTCAGCACAACATTGAATCAACGAGCATTCAGAATTCAGCAGTGGAGTGGGACCGGAGATGTCGCCACGGCCAGAAGAGCCTCGAGTTCTATGGTGGTCAAACATCTTTGACCACCACTGTTTGCTGACGCTGTTTGCTGCTTCCTGCCGTGGTGTGTGTTAGAAGCTGTGTTAGACTTCTTATTATTAGTCAGGACCGAGAATGTTCATGAACTATCTGCACCGACTGCCACTACCACTCCGACTGTGGACCAGGCTTAATTAAAATCAAATTAAGATTGCGGAACGGGTGAATTATTATTGTATCGCTGTATTAATACCACCACTGCCCAATACCGCAACCTGATAGTAACTACGAGCAAGGACTTAGAGGGACTAACTATCCATTACTGCCGAGCTGCAATAAGAAATAGAATCTTTGTAGAGTCTTTGAATCTTTCCGCTTTTAGGCTTCTTGGTTCAATGATGGTCAACCAACCCAGTTCTGCCGCTTCTGGGATCGTCGTGGAAGGTCGATGCTGTGGTTCATCGATGATCCGAGCTTGACTGACACACTGACACAGCTAGACTACTTGCAGAGTTTACTGACACTGTCGTTCTCTCCAGAATGAAAGCTGCATCAAGAACGTTAGTTTGCTACTGCACCGAAGCTTTACAATGGTACTGGTCGGCTGGTCAGAACTCTCGTACATTGAGAGCTGTCATCAGGGTCAGAATTCCAGCCTCTTGCGGGAGGGAAGCTTGCTCCTCCGGGTACTGCAGTGGTACCTGAAAGAAGAAACTGCGAAGGGCTTCTTTTCTAGCTAGCCAGCTACACTTGTAGAGCTACTAGCTAGAGCTCTAGCTGGCTACCACCAGTCTAATTTTTTAAAGATCCATCACCTCACGCCTCGCGTAGGATCTGGTACTGAACCTACGCGAGCGGGAATCGGAAGAAGCTGGACTGATCACTCCTTTCCTTCCATTTTCAATTCCATCTTCATTTCTTTTTTTAATTTTCCTTTTAACAACCATAAAGTAGCAGCCACTCAGTACATACTGGTAGGCTGCCTTCGACGGAATTCCAATAATATGGAAAAAGGAAAGGAATGGCCAACAAAATGTTTTGTGAGTTGAAGGTCCGTTAGCTTCCTAGGAACTACCAGGTACTTGTTCATTCATCTGTCCGGTATCTTGGTATCTTGGTATCTTACTACTACCTCTTCTTGGATAGTCTCTTGCAAGGTCAATGATGTCGTAGCGTCGTAGCTCCTTTTGCCAGTTTTGGTCGAGCTTGGAAGTTGGAGGTCTCCATCCTGACACCATCCTTCGCTCTTCTCTCAAGTCTCAAGACGATTTTAAAATTGGTCAGGAGTCGAGTCAAACAGCCTTCCAGCCTTCCAGCTTTTCACATTCAGAATTTCAGAGACATACCGTTACGTTCCGTTACCATGGGGCTTCTTGCTTTGAAAGCTCTTTCGAAAATGGAACGACTTGAACAGACTGCATCTGCACTTTCCTTGAAAGAAGGAGCAGTACGCGTCACATACATTTATTGTTGTATGCGAACTGCATGTTGAAGCAGACACAAATAAATAATTCTTCAACAGAATAGTTCAAAGTTCAAAGAATGCCGGGTTGAAGCAACGTCAGAGCAAAACTCCCTTTTTGGTACCGATATCCTAGCTCCACATCGTCCTCCATGAACTCTTCGAAGACAACCGGTACAAAAAGCTTCTTCCTCGCCTAGCTAGCAGGTCTCGCCCGGTCAAGCTAGCTGCACCACTTCAGCTAGCTGAGAGCTGGTAGTCCAACAAGCTTGAAGCTGTCACAAATTACTCTTGGTCCTTCTTGCTTATCTAGCCCGGTCAAAATGAAACTAAAGCAATTATTCAAGCCCAACAAGTGGGTCATCAGTTCCAAACACCATGTCGGAGAAAACCCAGTCATGCAAAAGAATGGAAGCCAAGTCAATGAAGAGAAGGATTCATCCAGATCCCACAACACCTTGTTCACGTCTAGTGCCTCGAGCAACACATCTTCATTGTCTACCTCCAGCTCCAGTAGGAGTCGTGAAAGGAAAAAGTAAAGGTCAAGTAGCACATCCAAAAGCAGCAAGACCAGGCAGGAGGTGTCCCCACCAGATTCAGTGGGACAATTCAAGGCCGCCAATGAAAGGGTTGTAGCTGAGCTCCTTGCAGTGATGAATCACCATGGGACTATTCAAGAAAAGCAGAGTTTCTTCTCTTCTGGTGGTGTTCCAGTCAAGTTTGAGGATGCCCCAAGTATCACTTCAGATATTTGGATTGCTGAAACTGAGAAAGCTCAGCAGAGTTTCCCTGACATTCACTTTCAATATGAATCCATCAAGGGGGATAGGTCTGGCATGGTTCTTGTGGAGGAGCTCAATGCCAGTGGTACTCACACTGGAAAGCCTTATGGGTTTGCCCACTTCCCTCCTGTATCAACCACTTACAATTTCATTGTCAACGATCCAGAGAGGCTGTGGTTCAAGGTCAAGGATGGCAAGATCACTGCCATGGAAGTGATTTCTCTGGGAGATCTCACTGGTCCTCCTGGCTTTTATGCACAAGTGGGTGGCAAAATGGAAATGCCTCCACCATCAGAAGATTGAGATTGGGTTGCAAAAGGTGAAATCCTCTCAAATTCGGATACCTTTCAATTTGAGACTGCAACAGTGTAGCTAGCATAAGCTTTCTTTAGAATACTGTATTGGTCATGTCTCTTGCTTGGCCTGCTGTTTGATCCTTGAATCTGTGGCTGGAAGAAATAATGAGAGAGGAGCATATACTTCTACGATGATCAAGAGGTGCGGAAATGGAGGCGAGTCCGGGTACTATGTACAGGTTGGATGGGAACGGGAGATCGGAAGGAGGGACCCGGCCAGAAGATGAAGAACGGAAGCTCACAGTCACCAACAATCAGCCACCATCCGCTCAGACAGACTATCGGAAGCTCGCTGTGCTGTGCTAGCAGTGCGTGACAGGAGAGCAGCAGGCAAGAAGCAAAAGTGCAAGTTTAGGCTATGCCCACCTTTGATTGCTACGGACACAGCCACAACACGTTTCCTTAGCTAAGCCCGGACCCGACGAGAAAGACTCTGTGCAAGCAAGTCATCCAATACTCATAGCTAGCTATAGACTACTGGAGTATCAAGATAGCAGGCCCCTTGATAGGAACGAACATCGAAGGACAATGTCGTTGACGGTCACTCGGCAGGACGCATGTCCCGTGGAACGGAATTAGATGGCTTCTAGAAACTGGCTTCTCATAGGCCACGTGGCGATTGTTTGTTCTTAGTATTACATGTAGTTGAAGAGAACACAAGTACTGGTACCAGTCTGGTAGAACAGTCGTACTTTACCAGCACTACGTGACGTAGCGGTGATGTAGACAAGTCATCTGGTTTTGAAGAACGGAGAGAGTTTGGCGTTTCGTTGATCATAGCCCGCTCCCCGGGCTCACTCGGCACAATTTTTGAAACAAACACAAAGATGAAACTCACGCACCTATTCCATCCCAACAAATGGGTCAAACGCGACGACATCAAGATCCCAGCATTCATAGAGATCCCCGCCAAGAATGATGGAGATGCTTCGAGCGAGTCGAGCACCAACTTTAGTGACTCCACACGAAGCGAAAAAAGGAACGGCAGGAGCAGCGGTGACAAGAAGAGGACCTCAAAACGGTCTGTGGTTGCGAACGATCGCTCGGCGAATGAAAAAGTGGTGTTTGACTTCTTGGCAGCCATGAATAATCACTCCTCTGTGGGAGAAAAGCTCAGCTTCTTCTCCTCTGCTGCAGTCCCTGTCAAGTTTGAAGATGCCCCAAGTGTAACGTCGGAGTTCTACATTCTTGAAACCCACAAGGCACAGAAGAGTTTCCCTGATATCCATTTTCAATGGGTGTCCATCAAGGAGACCAAAGCTGGGACCGTTCTTGTGGAGGACCTTCAAGTGGGTGGAACACATACTGGTGAGCCGTATGCCTTTGCCAACTTCCCTCCAATCCCAGCAACAAACAAGCATATCAATAATGATCCAGAAAGGTTGTGGATCACTGTCAGGGATGGGAAAATTGCAATAATGGATGTCATTTCTTTGGGGGATACCACCGGCCCCCTTGGCTTTTACACTCAGGTGGGCGGGAACATGTATATGCCTCCGCCATCAGATGTTTCGCCTTCTGGTGATTGAGCAAGCATGGTGGAGGACATTCGCGCCGCAGCATCGTATTCAATCAACATGAGAGCCATTATCCTTTTTCTCTCGGTTGACCCGACGTCTGCTAAAAGCTTGCCACGTTGTAGCGCGCTTGCTTTGGTGGGGGTAAAATAGAAATTAGAGTTGCGTTCTTCCCAGAATATCCGGTCTCGACAGGCACTAGCTAGTTGCAAGGATGTCCAGCAGCCTGCCTTCGATGTCGAGTCGATTCATCATTCAAACGTGTACTTCCCAACACAAAAAACTGCCTGGTGGCTGATCGGCAAGTAGTCTAGCTAGCTAGTGTCTGGGTGTGTGGTTCTGGCACCGCACTTTTGCTTGTCCATTCCGAGGAGTGATGGGGTTGAGTGGAGTGACAGCGAGTCGCCTTCATGCTTGCATCCTGCTGGTGTCTATGATCCCTGGCAATCTAGAGTCATAGGCGCTTCCAATCACCAAACTACAAACCAAACCAAGCAACGCGAACATGACATAGTCTAATCGACAAATCTAATGTGTATGCAAGCCCCCTTTTCACAGAAATGCTGATTGGATCCTCTCAATTGAGCCGAGCCCCCCAAAACCTGGAGAACTTGATAACCATGGTTACCTCCATGGCAAGTTACCAGGTACTGGTGTGACTCTCTTCAGGGTTGTGCGCCGGGAAACTCTATCATGTTATGTCAAGATGCAACTGTTGTTGAAGTTGCGGCAATGTTTGTGTTGTTGTCTCCAACAGTGCTAGCTAGCTAGTCAAGGAGGAGCGAGTTTCAGCAGCAGAAAACTGGAATGCTGGCTGGTACGGAACGTCTGTTGTCCCCAGGGAGTGCGCCGAGTATGGAATTGCCCTGTTTAATGGTGCTAAGTTCTATAGAGGGCCCAACTAGCTATGGAGCATGCAGTGTGTGCGAACATCAGTATGGTGGGACCCTTTGCGATTGGAAGCTTGGATGGATGGCACACTTGAGGTCCATACCTGAATGGCTTGGATGGATGCCAAGCGGTTGCACTGCGTGCTGCAGTGGCTGCCAGGAATTGGTAGTGGCGGCGGTGGCCGTCGCCCCGACCAGCAAACACAACCACAGCCACACGTACCGTACATGTATGTTGTGAGGTTGCGAGTGGAATGTTCTGTCCATCGCCAAGCAACTTCCAGGTACCTTCAGACGAAGAATCAGAGCACTATAAACCAGAGGAAACTGACTAGAGCTAGAAGACGAATGCAGCTTGAAGGTGGAAGGTGGTAAGGATGAATGTAAAAGTGAGTCTTATTATACTCTTATTAATTAAAATTGGTTTGCGTAGCGAAATGTAATGTACTGTTTGGTTTGATTGTCTTGCGGATCGATTGGATGTGAGTTCATGCATTTCATAGAATAATTACAATCTTGCGGAGGAAGCCACGTAGGTCATGTCCATGACACTTGGTTTCCGTGAGGACGACAACATGGAAGATACGCCCATTTTGCTGGTGGACGATGTTGGCGACGGAACGGGGAAGGATGTCAGCAGCTCTTCGACAAAGCGATAGCTGTCTCTGGACGATGAAAATTGCTCGCTGTCGGCGGCCGCCATGAGAGCCATGGTGGCACTTCCCCTTCTGCCACAAGGTTCCTCTCCATCCAGATGACTGTTGCTGCTCATGTCTCCCATCATGGGATCCACGTCGCCTTCATCGTCGTCGACCATCATGAGACTGGTGCTGCTCTTCTTGCGAGCTGGCATGGCCATGGGAGCTTCCTGCTGTGACATGAGGTTGGCGTTGCTGCGTTTGCGGCGGGGGACAGAGGGACCTTGATGATGAGCGGCAGCCGCTTCCAAGAGAGTTTTCTTGCTCTGCTGTCGACACGGAGCACGCAAGGCTCTTCCAGAAGCCGCCGCCTTGCCCGTTTGCCAACGGTTCCTCTTGGCGGGAAGTCGACGTCGTTGTTGCATGGTCCGTCTTCGCTCGGCGGCCGAGTCGACAGAAGAAAACGACAAAGAAGACGCACTGCTCAACATGGATACAATAGAAGAAGAGGATGGCAATGCCAGTTCAAACGCGGCGAGGCTGTTGTTCGAATCTCGAGAGAAGCTTGTCATGGTTGTTGGTTGTCTTTGGTGAGAATGTTGAATGATAGAGGTGAACAAGCTGTACCGTTGTGTGCAAGGCGAAAAAAGTGAGTAGAGGAGGAACAGGAAGAAGTCCTCCCCATTACCGGATAGGAACACAAGTAAGTGTGGACCGGTTCGGGTAGGAATGCTGAGTCAATGAGTCAACCCTTTGCCAGCTCACCTACTCATAAATAACAAGCCATTTTTATTGGGCTTGGCGTTTCGATCTTCTCGATCTTCTTATGCGACCTGAGTAGGATTTCTTGAAAATGTGAGGCACTTGTATCGGATGCAAGTCTTTATACGAATACCCTTCTTATGCAAAGATGACAGTTCAAGGGCACAATGCCAGAGTTTGAGAAAGTTTCCACCAGTCTTCGCACAAAAGGAGAATGGACGTTGTACACGTGGCTAATGACTCGTTGACTGTGTGACTGACGATGCAGCACACAGCACACTGGTAATTAATAAGGGTCTCATCAGTGCGGGCCTTGATGATGAGGGTACCGTTGCTGCAACCTTCAGGTTGCAGCCAGTACGATAGGCTCCAGACTGGCCTTCTATAGCCTACATGGGTGGCGTGAGTCTTACCCGTATTCACCCTTCAACCTCCCAGGCCAGGTGCAGGAGAGTACATAAGCGTAAACAACAAAAGACATTAGTTGTCAGAAACTCTATAGCATGCTGGTCGACAAAAAGAAATCGGCCCATAGCTGGCACAGTTGGATTTATAAGTGGGCACCGCCAGAATCTGCTGACGCAGTCGTAAGGAAGAGCTGCGAAGCTCAATCCAAAGGCATAGGTCGGCACAGCGTGACAATCAAGCCAAGAAGTATGACTGATCTGGCTGAGTTTTCTCATTATGGCATTATGGTGGAGGGGTAAAACTATAAGCTACGCGTCGCAATGCCAGGAGCAATGACACTGGCTAGCTACTAGTGAAAGCCATGCCAGCAGAACGAGATGGCGGAAGCAAATCCGGCAATGGCTACTATATACTATACCGCTGGTTGTTTAGGCTTTTGTACATCAGCAAGAAGAAGCCTTGGATTTAGCCACTCAATTGAGTAGTGCAATGTACCTGTTTCGATCCGCTAGCTACCGTACTACTAGGTTCAATCAAACAGCCAGCTCATTGGTGTACTAGCTAATCTGAAGATCAGCCAGATCTTTTGAACTTCAAACGGGAAAGATGTTTTGGAACCAGAGCAAGCAACCGTTCAACAACTCTTGGAGAGCTCTTCGGAGAGCCTCTCTCGCGCAGCTTTAGCTACAGGCTGCCTTGTGTTCGGGTGGGCCTGAGGTGGGCGAAGGAGTGCAACAGTTCTTGTCATCCAGCAGCTAGCTACTGCTAGGCAGAGAGCAACCTTGCCCATCTCTCATGGACTTGTTGCGGATACCTTCAGTAGTATACAAGAAGGACAATCTATCTCCTTCTTGAACAGAATCCTGGCAACAGAATGCACCGAAGGCCACCCTTGGAGGATTGCATTGTCCCGCTGACGTTTCTAATCAAGAGTGGAGGTTTTGCAAACAGCCACCACCCAGCATACGGATGCTCACAAAACTCTTCCGTGTGACCAACTAGATCTAGTCCAGTCTCCTTTGCAAGTGTGCCTCCCAAAACTCGTGGATAGCCTCTAGGACATACAATAGGCATTGATAATCTTTTGGAATTCTCCTTTTAAAGTTTGCTCTGACCTTCCATGACAACAAGGAATCTCCGTGCTACTGGCTAAGGCCGAGCCATTGGAACGGCGGCCTTCACGTTCGCTTCCAATGAGAAATCCGCCATCGTTCACGTCCAAACGATCCATGTATAAGCACAGCTCTTCGTCATCTCCCACTCTCTTCGAGTCTGAACGTCATGTTCCATATGTAGCACCCGAGGAGAAGGGCTCCGAGATGGATACGACCCTTCTTGCTTCCTCCCTTTGCTTCATCGCATTCCTTGGGCTGTAGTTTTGAGCCTCCAATGGCAACAAGTTGTAAATACCACGGCCTGTAAACGTTGTGTGGATATAAGGAAATGGTTCTAAATGCTTGTGGACATACACTGTGAATTCGCTACCAGCCACAATCACAGACTAGACCACTACCAATGGTTGTTTGGCTGCTCTCCGTTCTTCTTGCTTGGTGAAGAATCCTAGAATCCTTCTTGCCCCGAAATCCGGCCAACGTATCGTTTACCCTGGGGAGTAGTGGTAACAGTTAATGGCCTATGAGTTCGAATGCAAACCCTTGCACAGTTGGCCATGAACGGCGCCGCCATGGTTGCATATTTTTCTGCAGGAGTACTGTACTTGGTGGGTGATGAGGGTTGGAGGGAAGAGAAGAAAATATCTTCTGGAAAAGATCCAACAAATTTTGCTGACGTCACATCTTTGACCTCCAACGTTGTCCTGTCCCAATGACAGAGACTTTCATTTGTCTTCCACCCATCAGGTCCTGTCCTCCTCTACAACCAATATGTCCAGAAGCAAGGAAAGACACACAGAGTCAATGCCTGTGAAAGTACCGTATTGGAACAGGACTGGGAATTCTCAGCCAGGGGTAGGGCAACACTCCAAAGTTTGACAATTCCTATATGAGAGGCCGATCATTTGCTCTTTTCTCAACACGTTCGATGACTTTGGGAGAGGATTGGGACCTGTGTTGGTTTTCTCTCTGTGTGTGGAAGAACTCCTGCATTCAATTGTGGGACTCTTGGTTGGGCTGTGTGGGGGATTCTCAATTTGCTTATCTTTTCTGCTGAACAAGATGAACGCACAAAGTGCAATCAACCGAGGTGGTGCAGACATTTATTTGAGCTAGATACTTGTACAACGTCAGGCTTGACTGACTACCGTAGACAGCTGGGAAAGAATGAAAGAATTTAGACATTGAAGCAACAATGCCCCATGATAACTTGCTGCCTATTGTAGTCTGCATGCCTGTCGTCCAGTAGACTTGACTGGCGTCTTCACAGGCGAACACAATGGTATCGCGAGGTTGGACGATGTATGTAAACCGTCGTTCCATCAATGCTTGAGATGGGGTACCGAACATTTCGGTAACATCCGAAGCTACGTGGTACCCCATAATACCTTCGACCATGGGTTGGGGCACTGGCATCCCACATAGTTGGGCTCTTCTGGAGAAGTCTTGACTGGCAGCACTGTCGGAGGCTCCAATGGGCCGCCATCTGCCGGTGGAGCGGGAGTTGGCAAATTCTCCGGGTCAAGAACGACAAATCCACCTCCGAGTCAGAAGCCTGAAATGGGCATGTATACGTTAAGGTTCCACGCGGTACCACATTTCCATTTTGGAGCAATGTTTGTTAGCCCCCTGGCTGGTTCCAGACAAACAATATGATGGTTGACATTAGTACACCAGTTGACAGTGTTCTCGTTTGGCGGGACAGTCCACCCACCATTAGTGGAGCTATGCTTGAAACTGTGAAACTCAGTTGTTTTGTCTCGTACTTCGTCGATGATTTATTTGATTGGTGTGAGGCGATGAGGTGCGTAACTTCGCAGACGAGCTTTTGCTTGTTTGCTCTCCTATTGGAACATTTTTAATTAAAACATCTCGATGCCATTGTTCACTTGTACCACATGTTGCTTTGCTTCAGGTCAGTTCTGTGGCTGCACAAACGCTTGAGCTGTCTGTTTGTCTTGGTTTTGACTGGAACCGTCACCGGATGAGAGACGACGAGGACGGCATCCAGTCACAGTTTGCTGGGCTCGGGAGTGACAGTGGAGCTGAGAAGCGAGTGTGCGCCCTCAAGTATCTGACGTCAGATCCTTTCTTTGATTTTCTTCACCTCTTTTCTCTCCTTCACTTCCTCCCCAAGGACTGCGGTGGCTGTTGTTGCTGACGAGAGTGTATCGTATGCAACAGCCCTTGCTTGCTCACCATTAGAATGGTTGTGACTGAGTCAAGACAGATGTCATTTCAATCGGGAGGGTGTGGCATTCTCTGCCCACAAATCTAATCTAATACAAGATCTCGTTATTTTGTTTGGAACAAACAATGCTTCGTCTTGGCTTTTGGTTACTCCTTGTATCGGTGCCTCTCTCGAGCGCCTTTACGCCTCCTGCCATCTTGGCGACAACTGTGGCTTCTTCTACTGCTTCAGGCGCGGAGACTGGTACGGTCCAGCAACTGGACGTTCCCGTCAACCAGGTTGTGACCAGAGTGGCTGTGGCAGGAGCCACGGGTCGAGTAGGACGCTTGGTAGTGGAAGAGCTGCTCAGTCGAGGCGTGCAAGAAGTGGTGGCGCTGGTTCGAGATGTCGAAGCGGCTGAAGAAATCTTGGGTGGCACAGATGCTCCTGCCAATCTTCAAATCACACAGTGCAATCTCTCCAGCAAGGGACAAATTAGCAGTGGTAAGTGAATGATTGATTTAATCGAATCCACATGCAGTGCATCAGCGAATGAAAGCATTGAACGCATGAACTGTCCCACCCTGTGAATCTCACTCATACGTGCTCAATATGTACTATATAAACAAAAACAGTCCTGAACGACGTGGACGCCATGATTTGGTGCGCCACTGGCTTTAGCCAAAAGCCCAATGCCGGTCCATTGGAAAAAGCCAAGGGATTGTTGGATTTGGCCATGAAAAAGACCATTGATGTCACGGCACTTCCCGTCATTGGAAACGTTATCAAGGAAAACAATCTCGGGGGTAAGAATCCACAACAGCTGCCCAAAGTGGTCATGTGCAGTTCGGCCGGTGTCACCCGCACGATTTGGGACGATGAGAAAAAGGCACTCATGCCCGGAGCAGCCGATATTCCCATTGTACGACTCAATCCCTTTGGAGCCTTGGATATCAAACGATCCTCGGAAGACAAACTACGAGAGACGGGAGTCGACTACACGGTGGTCCGACCATGTGGTCTCAATGACGAGCATCCTGTGGGATCTCGACCACTGTTGAGTCAAGGAGATGTCGCCGTGGGTCGTATTAACCGCAAGGATGTGGCCAGGGTACTCGTGGATTGCTTGACGCTACCAGAGGCAACCGGGAAAACATTTGAAGTCATTGGTGTGGCCGGATATCCATTTGGATCCATTCGGGGTGCCCTGAGCAATCTACGAAGCGACGAAGAAGGATTGCCCCCCTTGGATGCCATTGTTTCCACCTACACGACACTGCAGCAATTGTTGCCCGGTGAAAAGCAAGATTCCGCGGCTCTGGCCATGGGGCAGACGTACGAACAGCTCGACAAGGATGAAGTTGGACGCCTGGGAGAACGAGGAAAGGAGATTCTCGATGATGGTGCCCCCCGACCTTCCAGTTAAGGAAGGAGCAGAAACTGGAGGTCATCGATCTTGACTCAACAACAATCCACTGTACATATTCTTGTTCCTACCAGACATGGAACACAATCATCATCACGTGTATATAAATCACACTTGGACACAGACACTGCTGCACATATTTTGATCAAAGATAAGCAAGCCCCCTTACCCGCAAGAATCATTGTAAATCAACATGCCAGTTTGGATAGAGCTACTTGCGGGGTGTGGGTGTGGAATGCCTTTACTAAACATAGATTTATTTGATCAAACCAAACTTTGTAATGCAGAGACAGAACATAGTAGAAGTCTTCCCCCCTTGATCCTTCTTGCCCCCCACAACAGACAGTGACAACCAAAAACGATTTTCGTCTGGGCGTAGTCATTCCGTCGCATCGACGAGGCTGACAGTCGAAAAACAGCATGGCTCGACTCCAGTGCATCATAGTGCATGTGGTTTGCCTCGTTCAGATTTCTTCGTGTTGTTGTCCAGTCGAATCTTTCCCCCTATTACAACCAAACTACTAGTCTAGAGATAGAGGATCGTACAAGGGTGGAATATCAATTACGGGCTGTGCTAGCTGGACAATCATTTCTGCGTTGTCGTCCAGTCACTCTCTGTTCTAGCTACATGTACTACTAGCTAGCTAGCCAGCACAGGAACATTGAAACCATTGATGAAAATTAGTAAATAATTATTTCAACACTGTAAGCGGGATTCGACTCACTCGACCCACCCACCGGCACCAACCAACATACGGAGTGGTCACGATAGCCCTTCAAGATGCTGGGCAACTTGTTCACAGCAAGACTGTTTGTCCAAGCCATCATCAGATCCCCAGTCAGAAATACCCGTGTCTTCTTGGGAGGGAACTTCTTCTTTATCTGCACTGCCAGTACTGGTACCAGTACCCAGGAAGTCTGGGGTAGCGTTGTAGCCGATAGCCAGTATCAGGAGGATACTTGCGGCTTCCTTCAAGCAAGCAAATCGCTTTGCTTACGGTAGCCTAGGATACTATTGAGGACTAAGGAAGCATCACTCTTGACTTTGAAATGTATTCTATTGTATGTATTTATTGTGTAATCTAGCAGGGATTGTTGTAAGAGTTCAAAGGAAAGGATGACTGGAGAAAACAGGAAGGAGCAGCATTGGTTGCTACCATAGGTCTTTCTTCTTCTTTAGCATACTTGAAGCGTGATGTAGCGTTCCGAAGCAATCTTCTTGAGCGCTCTTTGGAATACTCTCTGGGCGAGCTGAGCATCCTTGGGAGTAGGAGCATCAAAGTGGATACCAAGATGAACTTGTTTCCAGTGTCGGTCATCATGGGTCAGGAGATCCGTGACAGCCTTGGCAATCTCCAGGACTATGCTGTAGTGCATGGATCCAGAAAAGACAACCGATTTGACATCTGGATCTGTCTTGATGGCATCGAGGAGTGACAGTATAGATTTGGGTGTCATTTGGTCACAGTCAATCTCGACGGTGGCTTCAAAGTACACCGGGATGTGCAAGTCTTTGGCCACATCGAGGATTCGACGATAGACTCCAGTCTTCTTGAAGAGCCATCTTCGGTAGGTGCTTCCAATGACAGTATCTTCAAAGGTAATGGATCGTACCTTGCCACGTCGGCCATCTACTGCCAAGTCTTCACACCATGCTAGGGTAGCTTGAGGTGTCGAGTTTGCAACAAAGTCTTCAAAAAAGAGCCTGTTGCCTCCAAAGAAGGAGCTGCTGCAAGTTGCAGTGGATGCAATACTGGAGTAAGAGGCATTGGATGACAGGGAAGTGGAGAGGGATGGACGCTGAGTACTCTTAGAAAGGTCTTCTACACGAAAAGACTGTGTGCTTTCCCATGCTACCAAATTGCTGCTACTGCTGCTCTTTGATGTATGGATGGTCCAGTTTGCTCCCAGCAATCTCAGTAGGGTGTATACGGGCTGGAAGAAGTACTCTATCATTGCTGGGGTTATTAGAAATAGTAGAGTCATGTTTGTTTTGTTGTGAGGATGTTTGCTTTTTCGTTTTTGTGCGGGCAACTTCCGAGTCCTGTACCTGAGAAGATCCATCAAGTAGGTTACTGGGGAACCGGTACCAGCACCCAAGAACTTTGGGAACCCATCCCCAGATCCCCAGCCATCCCAACACAGCAAGAGGTCCTGCAGCCAAGGTCAAGGCCACGCAAGCGCGATGAATATGCTTGGAATACTCCACACTCGGAGTAAACACTAAAACACTGGCTCAGGCGAGGTCCTATCCAAACTCCATGTGTGTCCTCCGTGCATTCGCGAAACACATTTATTTTCGTCGATTTATTTAGGCGTACGTATCAAGATTTCATTCCTATCCATGTGACACACATACGCAGATACGCAGTACGCGAAAGAAACACCACCGCAAATCCCCAACTCTAACGAAAATCATCCTTTTCTGTGAATACCGTGTGAGTACCGTGTGAGTACCGGTTTGCCAGGTAGTCCCGTTAACTTGGTGAAGTACTGTGATTTGTATAGTAAAAAATGGTACGTGTGCGAGATCTCACTTTTCGATTTTCGTTAGAGTTGGGGATTTGTGACCATGATTGAGTTCGGCTGGCTCTAACGTTCTGATTGGTCCTACGCGAAAACCATTTCCACGAAAGCTACGGTACGGCGAATTGAGAATGGGAAATCAATGGTTCGCCGTACCGCAGCTTTCGTGGAAATGGAGTGAAAGCAAGCCGAATTTAACAGTTAAATTGATTTCACGTACGTACGGAGGAAGAAAGAGGTGCGAATACCTGGTTAGGACCAACTCTCAACGGCTCAAGCGTAAGAATTCTTGCCTCTGGTATGACTGGCACTCAGCAGCTTGCAAGAAGGATTATGGCTGAGGCACTCCTGGGTCACAATTGCTGTCATAATTCGGAGGGGCAAGTCATAATAAGGCATTGAAGGGCTCCTTCTTAGAAAGAGGCAAAGAGATCAGTTGAAGTACAGGCACTGAACCTGGTACAATGAAACCTATTCTTGAAAAGGAATAGGAAGCATCAATAAATCCATTTTGATGGAAGCATTAAATCCTTGCTGTAAGAGGGTGCAAATTTCAAGAAGCACATGCCAAAGCAAGTCGGGCAAAGGGTACTATTACTGTAGTACACATGTACCCTTGACATCTATCTGGAAATTATTTAACATTGTGATTGATTCATTTCTTCTGTGGAACAAGAATGACTATGACTATGTTCCTCCTGTGACGGTCTTTTATTTCTCGAAGACCGAAGCCAACAGGAAAGCCTTAACATCACATGTCCCTAAAACCTCAAGGAGAAAGAAAGGTCCGTTTTCAAACAATAATGCCATGACCAAGACATTGTTTTGCTCACAATTTCCAAAAGCTACCAGGAATTTGCAACTACATGAAACTCGATGGCATTGTCTACCAGCTGCACCAACTCCATGTGGCTGACCTCTGGCCAAAACATGACACAACATCATGGTGACAAAGCCTCGGCCTAAACCATTTTAGCAGCAGTTTTCGCATTCGTCGCAGCTTGCATCTCTGCCGCACTTCTCATCTAATCATGATGACCTCTGATCTGGCACACTCCCCGAACATGGGCAGCAGTCGAGACTGGGAAGAAGACGAAAAATTTTGCATTGAATTGCATGTGTCTCTCCAGAGTATGGCAGGCAAAACTATCACGATCATAGTATGGCAATTTCACAATGGGAACCCCCGAGAAACCAGTAACTCGTTGGAAAGGCCCATCCATCTATGGTTTGGCTGTCTGCTGCTATGGCCGGTAACGGCACGTGTACAAGTGCTACTCTTTCTTCCATCAATACATCAAACTGATCAAACTGATCACAGGCTCTATGCATACCGTACCGTAGCTACCGGTATCTTCTTCATAGGACGAATTTGCATCGTTTGAAGTCCTGAACATGAAAATTTACCTGTAGCTAGCGCTGACGCCCCGGCACACCACGGACCACGGATCATCATTGGGCTTCTGGATTCGATTCGACTATAGCTAGTGTTACGTTTCTCGTTTGACCGTCAAGGAAGCAACTCCAGACTTGCCAGACCGCAGGATTCTGTAAGGTCGTCCAGGGCAGGATGGGATGAGACGGTTTGTTCTTGCTAACAATAGCTATCGTCGTGGCAACCACTTTGTTTGGTGGAATTGAAAGCTAGTGTAGTACTTGTATCGTGTTCTGTGATGGATTCGATTCTTCTGGAGCGCTACGGAAACTTTGGACTTTTGAACCTAGCTCTAGAAGTACTGAATGACAGTATGCAGATGGAAGGCCCACGAACGGCAAAAGACCCATCATGTCCTGATCATTGCGTATCAGCTAATCAAACAAAGTTTAATTCTGCAATGGCTAACTAGCCGCATCAGGTCGCTTGACAGTAGCAAATACCGGTACGTCCGGCTTGACATAGTTTCCAGTCAAACTAGCTACTAGGAAGAAACAACTTGAACACAAACGCTACCGGTACATGTAAAGTGTGCGTCTAAAGTACAAAAGATCCAGTGAGAATGATACAGTTTCCCACGCGACGACGTGACGGGAACAAGGCAAGATCGGCATCTTGGCTCCAAGAAGCAACAAACGCTACAACCTCGTCACTGCCACAACAAAAAGCCAATTGACTGAGTTCTGGTGGAGATACAGTGAATGTAGTTGTGGAAGAAGACAAGACGAACAATCGACAGTATCCAGCCATGGCAGAACTACGTGATCCGGTAAGTATGAAACAATGAGATCCTGCTGCAAATTTCCAAAGACTTCGTCTCATGTACTTACTGCCTTCTTCTTCCCGTTGATGCATGGCATGTCATGTTCTGTTTCTCTGTCTTATTGCTACTATACATAGTCCTTCATAATGGAGGCCGCAGATGTGGAATCCAAGACGAGTGGAAAATCTTTCGATGATCTCTACACTATTGGGGAATTGGTAAGTAAATCTATGTCATTTGTCTAGCTAGTTTGGTTTGGTTTTGATACCCCTGTACTTTACTAATCTCTACTCTTACTCTATGACTGTGACAACAATAAACAGCTCGGAAGAGGCGTATTCTCCGAGGTGAAATCGGGTCACCACAAAGAGACTCAGCACCAATACGCCATTAAAATCATTCACAAACCGGAAATGGAAGAATTCGACAAGCGATGTCTCACACAAGAAATTGCCTCCTTGAGTGCCCTCAATCATCCCAATGTCATTACGCTGCACGACGTCTTTGATGGAAAAGACACGGTTCACATGATTCTAGAAATTGTGCAAGGAGGAGAGTTGTTGGGTCGCTTGATTCAAAAGAAAAATTACACCGAACGAGAAGCCAGAGATGTCTGCAAAAGTGTCATGGAGGCCATGCATCACTGCCATTCACACAAAATTGCTCATCGAGACTTGAAGGCCGAGTGAGTGATTCCGGATACCCATTGTATTCAGAATTAATAATCAATCAGCAACAAAAGAGATTCTAACAGTTTGCTTTGTTCGACGTCACTCAATTGCACTTTTTCAGGAATTTGTTATTGGCGGTAAGTGCATGGACTGTAACTTCAAAGAATATCCTGTTGTAACTGGTTGGAATACATGGTTCTGCGGGGTCAATGATTCATCTCAAGTTGATTCTCACCCGTGGTTTGCTTGCTTTGATACTTCCCTCCCATTTTTTTAAAAATATAAGAGCCTAGACGATGATACGACCGTCAAAATTGCCGACTTTGGCTTTGCAAAGTACTGTCCTCACGATGAAGCACTCAAAACACAGTGTGGATCTGCGCAACATGTTGCACCGGAGATTCTAAAGAACGAATCCTACGGAACCAAAGTAGACATGTGGGCTCTGGTGAGTTGTCTTACGTACATTCGGAACTTGGTCTTCATTCATCCTTGTGGCTACACTGTCTCACAGCAGCAATGACAAACAACAACAAACAAACAACGGATAGGGCGTCATTCATTACACTCTCATTGGAGGAAGGCCTCCGTTTTGGGCGCAGGAAGGGAATCAAGCCACTTTTCAGAAAATTCTCAAACGCGATTTCAAGTTTACAGATGATCTATGGGGACACGTCTCGGACGACTGCAAAGACATGATTCGCAATCTACTCCTGCTCGATCCAAAACAACGGTGGTCCGCCGACGACGTTCTCAAGTGCAAATGGATTGCCGAGAGCGATGCATCAGAGTTGGATCAACATTCGCTCGCCGTCAACCAAGAAAAACTAAAGCTGGTGGGCGCCGCAAAGGAAAAGGTCAAGGCGGCCACGTACGCATTGATTGGGCTCAACCGATTGCAGTTTGATGGACAAATCCCCGATGACGACGAGATTATTGAAGAAATCATTGAAGAAGAGACTGTGGTATCCGAATTTGAAGAAGAAGAAGTCATCGAAGAGATTGTCGAAGAAGAGGAGGAGGAAGAAGAAGAGTTTGTCGGAATTGTGACTCGTGATCTCTACTCGGCCTTCAAAATTGCGGATTGCGAGTGCGAACCGAAACGTAGAGATTACTTTGCGCTCGCACAGACCACGGGAGATTTTCTGGCGCAGGTACTCAAGAACAAGTACGGGGACGATTTCGATGAGGTGGAAATGACGCTGCGTAAGTCTCTCTACAATGCTGGCAAACCGACGGATGAGTATCAAGTCTACGTGGAATGGGATATTACGGCACATTTTGCATGCGATCCGGAAAAGGTGCCGTCGCGGAGAGAAGTCTGTACCTCCCTGGTCATGGCCAACTTGGAAAACTACATTATTGAATATCTCCATCCCCTGGAGAGTTGCCCCGGTGCGGGTTCCCCCAAAGTGCCTTCCATGTTCCAGCAGACGACGGGTGTTTTCTTTGGCCATGTTGCGTTCTAACCATCTAGACGAGAGAGGACGCCAAAACAATCAGCTTTTGTGGGAATTTTGAATCAATCAATCAACCGTAATCGTTACGGCGCAATAGTTGTCCTGTATGGTCTCTGCTTTGTGCTAGCATCTTTATGATAGGTTGTTCCACCACTTCTGTACAAATCTGGACACTTGTACGGCCACACCAACCGAAGGTCGCCACACCAGTGTTTAGCCTAGCCAGTCCCTATCATAGCCTCTGATCCAGCACAAAGACCCGGATTCCTCGTCACAAACCCTCCAAACAATGCCCCGTCCCAGACACATCATGGGACACTCCTAGGATCCTGCATGCCAAAAATTGTTGAAGAGTTTGGTGAGACGTGTAATTTGGATCAAGGCACGGTACAAAAGGCAGCTAAAACATCGTAGCAATCAAGAAGGATCCTTACATGGAACTGTACATTCGTTTGCTTCCACAACCGGTGGCCTTGATGCTCCGCTCAGAGCGGTGTGTTGGGTGGCTCCACTTTGCTGGATTTTTACGCAGAAGTCCGTAAACCATGTTGAAGGTATCCTCTGCTGTAGCATGGTCGTCTCCAAGAAAAAACCCAACGTTTTGGACCTTCACAAGTAGTCTACAAATTCAGTTTTGGTCTTTCCGGGGTCTCTTGCTTCTTTGCGCCCCAGTGAGTTGAGTGTTGTGTAATACGGAAGCAGGTGTTGGCTTGGAAAATTAGATCCACGTTCATTGCCCCCACCATAATCAGCTGTGCAACCACATGTATCACTAAAGGTGGCATACTTCAGTGTTGCATTTGATTTCTGGAGGACACCCCCTAGAATCTCCCGGTATCTCTGGAACTTGTCTGGCTGAGCATCCCCTTGTATGTAGTGGAATTCTTGAAGGTTTTGATCATTCTGTAGAGTATTGAGGATTGGATCTAGTCCCTTCATTGTTGTGTCACTTGCTGCTCGAATCACCAACTTATTCAATGAAGACCCATTGGAGAGGAAATGGCAGATGATTGGTGTCTCTGCAGCAGCAGCAACATCAGTACAGAGCGACAAATCAAATTGCCTCAGGCAGGGCATCCTACCCAGGCTGTGATCCAGAAAGTCAGCAGCCAATGGACAATTTGGACCAAGAATCAATAGCATATGTTGGAGTTTGGATTTTGACAGGAGCTGTTGAAACGAATCAGTGCTGAACCACAGAGCCACATCATCATGGGGTTGTTTCAATTCTGAGATTTTTGTGTTGGAACCGCTCAATACTCGGATTTGAAAGGATCCGGCGGACAAATTCCAAAAATCCATCCAGTTTCCATTCATTGCACCAGCTGACGATAGCTTTTATGTCATTGCTGTCCAGCGCTGGTGCCATGCCCAACACTCCTTCCGCATCCATTGCTGTCCGTTTTGTGCTGGAATTTTCATGATCAGCAACCCAAGGATAATTCTCAAAATCAAACCATCTGCACAGGGTGAACTTTCGCGTTGTTCCTGCCATCATTTTGAAGACGCTTTGGGTCAATTGAAGGCTGTATTTCCAGTTCAAGACCATGCGCAAACAGTCAGGAAGGTAAAAAGGTGGACTTTTGGGCACGAATATTTCTGGATTGATATTAGCCAATGTCATGATTTCAGTCTCAGTAGGTCTACCAGGTCCTGGTCCTTGTGCCACCGCAATCTCAAAATTGTCTTCATCCACCAACCAAGGACACTTTGTGGCAAGAAAACCAACCACTCCTGGTTTGGCACCACATTTGAGGACATTTTTGAACAGCTCTTCAGTTAGCGCTTCAGGACAGAACTCATAGAAAGTTTTGATGGTTTCCAAATCTGCCTTGGCCATCAACACCATTTCCAATGGGTGATACTTGGAAACAGTCCAGCGGCTGCTGGGCACCGGGTTATCAAGAGCAGCAAACAACGCGGCAAACAGAGCTGGGACATCCATGGTATCAAAGGGACAGAACAAGGAACTAGATAGCCACTGTAGTAGATACTGGAATAGACTATTGACCGTCGGCCGTCGAATGAATGATCAATCGAATCAGAGAAGAGAGCCCAGACGCCAGGGCGGACCGAGTATGCATTGGTTGTAAAAGCCGATAAAGCTGTACTTATACAGCATGTTTTGGACTGCTATCTTCTTTCTTTCTTGCCAGACCACCCGGTCATTCTCTTTTGCGGTCGTCTCCTTTCTATCTGGCTAGCAACTTTGTACAACTAGCTAGCCAGGAACACTCCCGATAAAGCCTTATTTCATGAAATGACCTGTTTCTACTCTTAAATCATTGAGCCTAAATGACAGAAGAAAGTTTCCCGACATTGTTCCGACATTCTGCCGACATCCGACAAAGTGCCGACATTCTCAGACATTTTCCGACATCCTCATACAAACGCCGACATTCTCAGACATAGAGGATTTTTTTACCGACATTATTCAGACAATCACGATTACCCCACATTAAATAAAACGGAAGAAACTCGCTGAATGAGTCTTATAGAGTTTACTATGGAGTCTAGAGTAAAAAATGACGAAAGAACTCTGATTCGGAATGTCCCACGACTCAAGAACCCTGATTCGGAATGATTTAAGCTAATCGTAAATGTCGGAAATATCGCTAAGAAACCTTCCGACAAAATGCCGACATTTTCCGACATCCTCATACAAACGCCGACATTTTCCGACATTCTCGTACATCCAGTTCAGAATTCCGACAATCCTCCGACATTCACGATTAAGTAGTCTTAGGCTGTATGACTTAGAGCCTTGAATACGGTCATTACTGCTTTTAAGTCTTTTATCGTGGGTGTTCCAGTGTTACGGAGGATTTAATCTAGATGGTACCAGTACCAGCAGCGACGGTCAATCATCCACGAGTATTCGAGAAAGAATCTGGTGACAATTTAAATTGTATAGTTCAGGATAGCATTAGTTAGAGTAATAAAATTACGTCGCGCAAAAACTATAGCATTTCAAAATCTGAAAGGAGGTTGATGAAAGAGAGCGAGAGGGAGAGAAAGCGATAAACTGGCAGTCCGGATGCCAGTGGGATGTGTGTGAGGCTGAATTGACAGATATTCAAAAGAGTGCGTGTGATAGGAAGCTGAAGAAAGTATTCCATTTGTGCTGTGCATTCACTGCATCTGCACAGAAATGTAGCGTTGTGCTGCAATCTTCTGGAGGGTTCTGTAACAGGATTTGCGTGCCATTTTGGCATCCATAGGTCTGGACGCCGCAAAGTGCAAGCCACTGAGGGAGACAGTTTGCCAGTGTCGGTGGTCATTGGCCAACAAGTTTCGTAGGGCACCGACCACACACATGGCGTCACGAAAGTAGAGACTCCCCGACAAGACAACTGACTTGACATCGGCATCTGCTTTGAGGGCATCCAAAAGAGAGATCATGGCCTTTGGCGACATGCATTCAGTGCAAATCTCTACAGTGGCTTCAAACTGAACTTCAATGTTCAACTGGTCGGCCACATGGAGGACACGACGGTAGAGACTGGTCTTTTTGAATAGCCATCTTCGGTAGTTGGCTCCATGTACAATGTCGCGGAAGGTAATGGATCGGAGCTTTTGTGAGTTTTGGTGGTACTGTTCCAGAAGTTCGCACAGTTCCAAGACATCTTTGGAAGTGGAGCGAGCTACAAAGTTGGTCAGGATCAATCTTCGATTCTTGAGAAAGGCTCGGGACAACTCCGTGGCAATGGCGGAATCGCCGCAGGAGCTGCACTCGCTTCTGACGGAGGACCCTTCCGAGCATACACTGTCGTCAAGATCACTGACATCCGCGCAGTCGTCAAGGGTCTTTTGATGCCTTTGAAAGGGGTATTGGAGAAGCTCCAAAAGGAGACAGAGCATGGCTACCAAGGAGGCTAACATGTTTGTTGTGTGAAGTGTGCTTTTTGGTAGGCTCCGTAAAAAATTGTGAGGATACTGGTGATGGTGGTGTGGTGGTGGTTTGGATCTTGCGGTCACTTCAGGGGTGTGGGCTCTCCCCGTGGGCTATTCAGTACCGCTATGTAGCTAGCCGCTAGCCACGGTACATGTAGCTGCCGTAGCCAAAAAGCGGGTGTGCTCGCCGAATGGAGCTCCGAATGCGTCTGTTCCGGTCTGCCGAATGGTCTGTTCTGGTCTGTTCTGTTCTGTGCTGTTCTGGACCTGACCGTGAGAAAATGTACAGAAGACAGTTCAGCATCTTTTTGGTGGTCAAACTAGTTAAGTGCAGTGGAAAGTAGCCAGTAACCAGTCATTGTCGAACACAGGGAAGACGAGAGGCTAAATCATCATGGCTCCTCCTCACACAACAAAACCGTTCCTCGTCACTGGATTGTGGTTGGTGAGCTGGTTAGTGGGAGCGGTATCAGTAAAGCTGTGAATCCAAAGATCCTTCAGATCCTACTTTTTCACTATGCAGTCACCATGGCGTTAGCAGCAGACTCCACCCTTCTTTCCAGCAAAACAGCTGATGACCTGGGCTCTGGGCTGATCAAAATCAAAACGCAAGAGCTAAGCAAGAGCTTGAGCAAGTTAGTCCCTGATTTCTCCGGCTCTTTGTTTCCAGCGGCAGAGTAAAAGTGGCTTTCAGCACAGCCATCATCATCTGTCAGTGAGATTGAGATTTGATCGGATGAGATCCTCTCTCCGTATCTGAAACGCAACAGGGAGTTTCACGAACACAGATTCCCACTGTCCACAGCCTCTGAGGGCTGCTGCACCTCCCCGTGGCTGATAGACCGGGAAGTACCTTTCAGCTACTTCCTGTACTTTAAGCTGCCTCGTCGCAAGTGGCCGGGACACTGCAAGCTACATGTACAAGATCGGATTCCTGGCGTCTGACTCCTTGTGGCTTCATCCATCAGAATCTGATGTCAGGCAGTGGCCATGTCCTTTCTCAAACAAAGTGTCTACTTGGTTGGGAGCTCACCGACATGACTACTGCAATGGGCATCGTCGAGCCACCGATGGCTTCTCATTGATTTCCACTTTGGATCTGGCCATCGTAGTGCTCCTGGCATTGATTGCGAGGGCCATCAGAATCTGTTCTGGGTTGGCCCGTGCTTGCTTGCATGCATGCAGCCAAATCGTCAAACCGTCAAGACCGGTCGTCGAAAGCCAGGCATTGGCCTACGTGGACTAGATGCGTGAACCATCTGCAGCCATTCAGGAGGAAATATGAAACTGCTGCATAACTGGGCGCAAACCAAGGTCGTACCGATTTCAGCTCGTTGACCTGATGATGTCGTCTTATCGGATCAACCAAAAAGGCCCAGCAGCAGCTCGTGTTCGGTCATTCCATACTGACGAAATCGGGTGGACAGTGCGCTTCCTCTTCTATCCCACTTGCCGTCGAGAGTAGACCTCCAGACAACCCCATCAAGCAACAGAAAAACGCTACACCCACTCTCGCACGGTGTGACACATGAAATGTGGAAGACGCTGGCATGGTAGACGAGATGATTGTTAGGAGTACGAGTATGCTTGCAAATTATTAGATTCTGTGACAATGCGGTTCAATAAAACATTTCAAAGGTGACTCAACCCAGCTTTTGTATTCTGATTGTGAATTGTTGTCTCTGGAGCAAAGCCACAGTAAAAACCAGCATCAAAGAAACCAGTGCCGCAACAGGGGCTCCAGTCGCAGCATCCAAGGCTAGCTCGAATGCCATAAAGACGCTCAGCAGCATCAAGAGCGGCATCAGCACCAAAAGCTGAGCCCAAAGGGATTGCTGATCCATAAACTGGACCAGTTGAATGCCCCAGGATGCGTACGGGAGTAATCCTTCCACGTTGTAGCTGTGGCAAACTCCCAACTTTAGTGGATTCCAGGCACAGACAAGACGAAAGGGACTCATCCAAAGGTGGATCACATCTACTTGGTGGAGCCATTTCACAGTGCCAATACTGGAAAGTTCCACATAGCCTTCGTCCGTCTCTGCGGATGGTCTTTGTTGTTGTAAGGCGATGTAGTTGGAGGCAACAATGCCATTGGCAACCACAATGTTGCCAGCTTTGGTCAATGGTGCATACAAGCCGTTCTGATGGATCGTTGATATTTTGGTCACCACATGCTGGCGTTGTGATGTTGTTGTGTTCTCGGTAGTACCGGTAGTCAATGAGAGACCTTGCAGAATGTCGCCCACTTGGATTGTATCAGCTCGGACTGGTTTTGGCTTGTCTTGCACATAGACCAAATGCTCCTTTGTCAACTCTAGTAGAGACGGTGTGCTGCTGTGATTATTAGAGGCGGTTGTTGTTGTATGGATTTGTACGAATTGAGCAAATTTATTTGGATGCTTGTGAGCAAACCCATAAACTGGCTGATAGTCAAACTCTTTTGAGCCTTGATGTTGCTTGGTCAAGACATGATCACCGACCTGAAGGTCTCTCATGTCAATCATGCCTCTGTCCAAAACATGGACCTGTGTTGCTGCAGAGAAGCAAAGATCAGAACTACTCTTGTCACAATTTGGGTGAGCACAGATATTACTGTCAGCATCCTTGGACAAGCACTTGCCAGTGCAGCAACTGGGAAAGTCGTCTCCCTTTTTCCGTTTCCAACAAATGGAGGGCGTGTGACACTAATAAAAAGAAATATTGTACGTAGGGTGAGTCGAGCCGAATGATGCCAGAAGAGAGTGACAGTCAAATCAGATAAAAGCACAAAGAATAGAAGGTTCACTGGAAACACCAGGTACAACTTACGTCGCCGTCAGAGCCACAACCCAAATCGCACGGCATGAGTTTGCCGGATTGTAGATTTCTGTGATCGTCTCTGAGCCAGTCGCATTGCCTAGTCACACAATAGTCTTGACCACCAGACACACTTCCTGAGCAACAGGGGGAGATGGGATCTCCACCGACTCGGTTGTTGCACCTACAAAATCCTCCACACTATTAATACCGTTTCATCCAAGCGAGAGTGTCGAGTCGAGCCAACAGAAGCAAGAATACAGCAACGAGTGAGACCAAAACTTTCTGGGAAAGAACAGAAACAGAATCCACTGAAGCAACCACGGTACGCACATCCGAGTTGCTATTGCAGCCAGTTTGGACACATCCCTTGTCTACCGGGGCCAGTTGTCTGTGAACACTGCCAGGTCCTCCTTCCATGACTTTCATGAAATGCTCATTGGAGAGTTCCTCGGATGGTTCTTCTCCTTTCACTGGTTGCGTTGCGAGCAACACAAGGCAAACGAGCGGCAAGAGTATCTTCATCATCTTGCATGGTCTTGTGGTCTTGTCTTGCTTTCTCTCCTTGTATCTTTGCATAGCGCACGGTCTGTACCGGTAACGGGGAAGAAGAAAGTCTTCGGGAACTTGTGAGTTTGCATGTTTGTATGACTGATGGAGGCATGCCCAGAAAAATGAGGTGCTAAGGTATCTAAAGTGAAGCATGCAATCATGTTTAATTCATAGAAAGCACAGATGAAAGCGCAAGGCGACGTAAGATCTACCTACCTGGTACCAGTAGAGTGAGTGACGAGTCGAGTGCCTCAGTCGAGTCGAGTGACAGTCGAGGCCGGTCTCCTCTTTGGACCTTTCGCAAGCTTCTCCTGATACGGTCATACAGTCGTGCTGGTGCCAGTAGCAGCAACTCTAGAAGGTGGGCTCCCCAAGAACTATGCCATCTTCTATTAAACCATCCCTCTTGGCCAAGTGGAGTCGAATACATTCCTCTCAGCCAAGTCGAACTTTTCAATGCAGCTCCAGCTACCATACCGGTACTCCAGCCGGCTCTGCATTGCCTGAGGACTAAGGTAGCTAGCTAGAAAAAGTGTGCTGTTTAGTTTGTGGCCAGTGAACTGGAAAACAGGCTACCAGGTAGCTAGCAAATGATTGTGTGGTGCTCCCTAGTACATTTAATCAGAAATCAGCTCTGCATCCTTTGCAGGCTGAACTTAAACACGAAATTGTCATTCGAATCTAGCAACACGGCAAATGCCAAATCCAATTAGTGCAGCCAGTCATCAAGACATGGCGCTGTGCTTTCGTTTCTTCATTCCACAAGCATATGTGGTGCTGTCTTGTGAGTTGTTGCCTGGATGACTCCATGTGCCTGGGTTTTCATGCAAAAGTCCATAAAGCATATTGAAAACATCGGCATCTGTGGCGGGATGATTTTCCTCGTCCTCCACATTGTCAAGATAAATTGTATTCTCTTGCACCCCCACCAGCAGATCCACAAATCCAGATTTGGTGGATTCTGGTTCACGTGCTTTTTTGCGTCCCACATAATTGAGGGTTGCGTAGAAAGGCAGCATGTCTTGGCTTGGATGCAGTGCACTGCAGCTGTTGCCACCCCAATTTTCTTTGGTGCAGCCATCAAAAAATTCCACAGCATGTAGCGTTGTATTGGACTTCTGAAGAATACTTGCTAAAATTTCATGGTATCTCTTGAACTTGTCCGGTTGCAGATTAGATTGTTTGTAGTAGAATCCTCCGAGGGTATGATTGCTCTTCAGCGAATTGAGAATTGGATCCAGCCCCTTTGCTGATGTGTCACTTGTTGCCCGGATTGTCAAGGTCTCCAATAAGAAGTTGTTGCAGAGGAAATTGCTGATAATTGGTGATGCAGCATCAACATCAGTTTGGAGCTCTATTTCGATTCGTTTCAGACAAGGCATCCCACCCAAGCAATGTTCCAGGAAATCAAAAGCCATCGGATTGTTTGAACATGGAGATAGATGGACCTCTTGGATTTTACATTGTGGAAGCAACTGCGGGAATGCACCCAAGTTGAACCATGTTGATTGTCCATGTTCGTCTTGGGAGGGTTCAGGGAAGTCGAGTGAGAGCTTCTCTACGCTCTGATTTGAGAGGATTTTGCGGACAAATTCCACAAAGGCATCCACTTCCCAATTGACACACCAGTTCGTAACTGCTTTGATATTGTTGTTGTTGAGAACTGGCTCCATACCCCGCACGGCCTCAATATCCATTGCTGTCCGTTTTGTGGTCAAGTTTTCATCAAGGGCAACCCACAGAGCAACACTATCTATACCATCAATTGTGTCCATAGGCAAACTGAGTTCGGGTGTCTTTCCTGCAATAATTTTGAAGAGGCTTTGGGTCAATTGGAGGCTGTATTTCCAGTTCAAGACCATGCGCAAACAGTGAGGAAGGTAAAAAGGTGGACTTTTGGGCACGAATATTTCTGGATTGATATTAGCCATGGTAATGATTTCAGTCTCAGTAGGTCTACCAGGTCCTGGTCCTTGTGCCACCGCAATCTCAAAATTGTCTTCATTCACCAACCAAGGACACTTTGTGGCAAGAAAACCAACCACTCCTGGTTTGGCACCACATTTGAGGACATTTTTGAACAGCTCTTCAGTTAGCGCTTCAGGACAGAACTCATAGAAAGTTTTGACAGTTTCCAAATCAGCCTTTGCCATCAACACCATTTCCAATGGCTGATGCTTGGAAACAGTCCAGTCGCTGGTAGGCACTGGGTGATTGAGAGCAGCAAAGAGGGCTGGTGCTTCCATCATTGTTTCTCTTTGCAGAGTGAAGTGAAGTGTAGTGAATGGGAGCATGCATTCGGAGACTGTCACGCTGGACGTTGCCTCCACGCTTGACGTTGCCTCCACGCTTGACGTTGTCTCCACGCTATAGTCTGGTTGTAGAAGCAGTACCGTACCTGTATCGGTTACCGGGACAGTACTATTTAATAGTAGTCGAGTCGAGTCGAGTCGAGTCGAGTCGAGTCGGTAAACTTTCTTTTCTACCTCGACTGCTCAATTATCTCTCTCCCTATTGCAGCAATATTTCCGACTGGCACCATCACTCTTGTGGTGGCTGTTATGTATACCTTTCCCTTGCTTGACTTGCATTGCATTTGATGTGAAGAGAGACCTTAGCCGCTCAGGCCCAATAGATACAAGGCAAAGTGGATAGTTAGATTTTTGAGTAGATCATGTCGTCGTCGTCGTCGTTGTCCGAGATGAGGCACAAAATCCCCGCCGAGGAAAGTAATGGCGTCGGCACTACTACTTCACTGTGTACATCTAGTAATAGCACTACCATGGAGATTGACGCACTGCCCTTGGAGAAGCACCATGTCGTGTTGGGTCGTTACAATCGGGAGAAGAAGACCAAGGCGTTGACTCCGGCTGTTCGCATGTACAAGAAGGTTCGAGATCAGGTGGAACGCGGTAAAAACAAGGGCGTGGAACAATTGCGGCACATTCAACACGAGACGAGTGTTTTGCTGCAAGAGGAATTATTCAACGAGGGTAAATTGCCGACCGTGACGTTTTGGGTGGACGTGAACAAAGCTCAGAAAGACGGAAAATTGGAGGAATTGGAACAAGCCAATCCACAACTGCGCACGTGTCTGGACTTTGATGGAGAAGCCGTCGTCTTTGTCCAGGATCATCAGGATTTTTATCTCAAGGCCGATTTGGCGGGCCACAAGAAAAATCGAAGCAAGAAAAGCAGTAATGTGGCCACGACCGTCAAGAAAACCAAATTGCTGAGACATACTCTGGAAAGTCATACAGGAGAAAAAGAGTCGTCGAATCGAACAGCTCGCACCGTGTCCACACTGGGAAGTAGCAGTTGCAGCACTAGCAGTACTATCGTCAGTGGAAGTCAACAACAACAACCCGACACCAAAAAGCCATTCCAAATCATACAACCCATGGCAGACTCCTTACTGGAACAAGTGGAGCGGATTTGTAGTCAATGGATTCAGCGTGGCAGCAATAACAGCGACGCCATCAAGCGCAAGACGGCACTGGCAGAAGTCCTCCAATCCTACGTTTCCTTCTACCAACGACTGCTGGAAGAAAACAATCCCTGCCATCACTCTCCCGTCAAAATTCTCCAACAAATGAACGAAACAATCCTCGTACAAGTCACCAATACTCTGGGAAATTCCATGATGGACTGGTACGAACAATATCCCGATACGTGCTTGCCCGGAGAAGCCAATGAATGGAACAAGGAAATAATCCAACAGCCACAAGAAGAGCAGCAGGTCATGTCCGCCGAGCCTTGCCTGTCGTTTCCATCCACCGAGGACGCCAAGGTTCATTCCGATTCCGAAGGGGCCATGGAAAAGAGCAGTGTGGGAACGTACGAAATGTCGTCCGATGACGAAGGATTGATTGCGCGACATTTCAAAGAACAATTCAAACTGGGAGATGCCACTCACAACATTACTGGCACGAGCCGCGAGAGTCCCAATTCCTTTCAATTTCAAGCCGACTTTGACGATACGCCGTTTCCCATTCCGGAAACCAGTGCTGCCGATTTGGAGGGTCGCCTTTCCGAGCACTCGTTCATGGACGCCACGGCGGCGCCGTTTGATGGATTTGGTTCTTCGGGGGACAACATGGTCTTGTCCGATGGAAGCTCCTCGTCCGTGAGAGCCAGGGATTGGTCTCCGTTTGGTAGAGATCAAATAGTAACGATGGAAGGGGCAGGAGGAAGACAGCAAGGGGAGGCGACAGCAAGTAAATTACACGAAGACGATGGACGCGTACTCCCGTTGCTCAGTGAGAGCTCACCTGCTGACTTGGGTGCCAGTAGCTCGAATCATCGTCCCCATCGTCGATGGACCAAGCCGCCAAGCTTTACGAGCAAACGATACGTCAAATTGGACAGTCTGAAAGGTGGAAAATAAGAATAGCGGTGCTTCGTTACAATAGTGCGCAACCAGGTGGATGGGATCCAGGGACGAGGAGGTGAAACAACCATCCGTACAACTACATGTATTATTTGGACAACACCGAGGGAACGGGAACCAACAACCGTACAGCTACTGTTGCAGATTAACAAAAGTGGAACCAGTGCTCAAATAAAATGTCATTTAATTATTTTTATTTGTAGGAGTGGTTCGCTAGAATACCCACAAACCACTCTTCGCATGCATCATTTTTGTCTCGAAAAGTCGTTGCACTGGTTTCTTTCATTGCTTAATCGACCCACTTGGAAAGGATTTCTTCCTTCTTGGCGGCAACCTCGGCAGTGACGTCGGCCTCAGACATGGAAGCATACTTGGTGAGGTCAACGGGTTCCTCCCAAGCAAAGTACTTCATGCCGTTCTCGACAAAGGGTTCTCGTCCGAAATGGCAGTAGGCGGCGGTCTTGTTGTACTTGGGTTCTCGGAGCTGCAAATCACGAGCCAAGGCACCAGGACGGCAATCAAAGTTGATCTTGACAATGTCGGTAATCAACTTGGCGGTGAGTCCTTCCTTTTCGGTTCCGTAAGTCTCGACCAACAAGGAGAGGGGCTTGGCCACACCAATGGCATACGAGAGCTGGACACAGGCACGCTTGCACAGGCCAGCCTTGACAACTGACTTGGCCATCCAACGACTGGCATAGGCAGCCGATCGATCAACCTTGGTGGGATCCTTTCCAGAGAAAGCACCTCCTCCATGGGCACCCCATCCTCCGTAGGTATCAATGATAATCTTACGTCCGGTCAAACCGGCATCACCTTGAGGTCCTCCAATGATGAATTTTCCAGAGGGATTAATGTGCAGGTTGCAGGTAGCACGGTCGTAGATGGAAGTGGCAGACTCTCCACTCTTGAGCTTGATGCTGTCCAAAGTGGCCTTGATGACATGTTCGTGGATCTGTTCGTTCATCTCTTCCATGGTGGGAGCCAACTGTTCGTCACCAGTGTAAGCGGGACGGTGGTCCTTTCCGTTCTGTTCTTCCGAACGCTTGGCCTTGCTGGGCTCGGCGTGTTGTGTGGAAATGACAATGGTGTGGATCTTGATGGGTGTGACAGATCCGTCTTCGTGCTGTGTGTACTCAATGGTGACCTGGGTCTTTCCATCGGGACGCAACCACCAGAGAGATCCATCCTTGCGGACATCGGTCAGACGCTTACCAAGCTGAGTGGCCATCATGTGGGTCAAAGGCATGCAGTTGGCAGTTTCGTCACTGGCATAACCAAACATGATACCCTGATCTCCGGCACCGACATCCAACTCACTCTTACCCACGTGGACACCTCCAGCAATATCGGGGGATTGCTTGTTGATGCGGACCAAGACCTCGCAGTCTTGGTAGTTGAGTCCCTTGGAGACGGTGGAGCTCAAGTCATCAACAAAGGAATCAAATCCAATTTCACGGACTTGGGCACGGACAATGGCGTCATAGTCAATTTTTCCAGAGGTGGTAATCTCTCCAAAGACCATAACCATGTTATCCTTGGTAGCAGTCTCACAGGCGACCTTGGAATAAGGATCCGCCTTCAAGCAGGCATCCAAAACGGCATCAGAAATCTGATCCGCAATCTTATCGGGGTGACCCTCGTTGACGGACTCGGAAGAGAACAAAAAGTTGCGCTTTTCGGCAGAAATCTTGGTCATGGTGGGATAATAATATAATACTTTAACTGAGTAAAATAAAAAGGGGAGATAGGTTCGACCAAAGACGAAACAAAAAATTATGAAGAGAACAAGAATACCTCAAATAAAAACAACAGAAGAGAGGAAAACCAATGACAAAACTGCGTGTTCAGAGCCACAAGCGTTTGTTGAATCTTTCTTGGCATTGGCGAGCCCATAACCCAAAACAGACGGTTCCGACCAGTAACGTGCAAAATATAGCCGTTATAACGTGCAATTCCTTTGGAGGTTTTAGCCTTGGTATCAAGAGTGCTTTTTGGTGTAACACTCTCCCAAGAAAGACTCCGAGAGAGGCTTTTGCAACTCGCACAACCGTATCATGATATTCCCAGCACCAGTACTCGTCCCTACCGTAGTTAGCTGTCTAGCTTGCAGCAGAAGCATCATGACTTGCGTGACACCAGAGGCCTCAAAGCACGCCTCAATTGTCGCAATTTTTTTGACCCAGGCAGATAGGAACTGTACGAAAAGCTAATCTAGAATAGCTTCAAAGTACTAGTATACATATTATGATGGCATCCAGCTTTGCACAGGATTGATTCTTTACTAGCTCTAGAGGATAGATTAATCATTCGTTTTCTTTGGAGCGTTCAGGTCTGAGCGGATACCCAACCATAATATCTGCGCTGTAGTCAGTCAGAAACCAGCGCATTTGGGTTCAACTTGTGGTATCTTATAATAAAGGTAATAACGTTTCACTTAGACCCCGAGGTTGTCACATTCAGCAAACGTCATGGAGCACGTTCCTGCAAAACGATATTTGCCGTTTCCGGCAAAGATCCAAAAGATATTCGGTCAACTGACACGAGGCAATTATTGGGTTTTCAAGCAATGCTTGCATCAAAACCAATTGACAACCATGGCAACAGAGAGGTCCGAAAGTACAGCAGCAACGCCGAGGACCCTCATCAGTCAGCTGCAACAATGGGAAGATTTTTATACCAAAGCCAGTCATCTGATCTGCAATGCCTCCAACGGCGGTAATCAGGGGAAGGATCATTCCAAGAAAACTACCAAGACAAATGTTGCCAAGAAATTGCGGGGGAAACGGCGGCGACAGAAAAACAATGCTGCTCCAATGGACCCACAAGCCGTGCTGTCACAATTCCAATCCATCCTCTTTTCTCTGAGAAAATTGCTGTCATCGCTAGATCAGTCTACCAAGGAACATGCCTGTAAAAATGGAGCCATTTCCATCATTGTCAAGATGGCCAATTTTGTTTTGCAACAAGATGCCTCCCTGCCAAACAGCAACCAGCAAAAATTCCTCTCCTTAGTCTGCAAATCCCTTCAGACTTGCGTCTTTCAGAATCCTGCAGGTAGAGCCGTCTGTCGAAGGGAAGGGGTATTTCGGTTGCTACACAGAATAGCAGTCTCAGTCTCTGCAAAAACTCCAGCAGAAGCATCAACAATGGCACTGGAATTACTGGAGGATGCATTCACCTCTTTGGCAGCCATTTGCTTGGGAGATGACCTGAATGCTGTCTTGGCTGCACTGCAATTGGGTGAGGTTGTTCAAGACCACCTGAACCAAAAAGTCGCCAATGACAACAGCAATAGCAGCTCTCTAGATCAAACCTTACGATACCTACAAAAACTCTTTCAAGTCATTCGCAAAGAACAGTCACAGCTGCTGGAACACTACCAAGCCCAACAAGTACTGGAAACAATCCTGGAGGCAGAACAGGACTTGCACAGTGGAAATCTTCGGCTTCGGAACCGACAGTGGACACAAGCGGAGACGGCCTTTCACCGTGCTTTGCAGTCTTCTTATCGATTCGAGGAGCATACCACGCTGTTGGATGAATTGTTGGTCCGGTTATTGGATGGACGTTCTGATGCGAGACTGCATCTGGAAGATTTGGACGGTGTTTTGCAAGATGTAAAACACCAAGAGAGACTGTTGCATCGACTGCTGGCAACATCCACAAGTACGACGACATCCGCGGCTTCCACAAGTAGGACCAACAAACTGGTCCGAGAATGGCGCATGGCGGCTTTGACGCGCCAATCGGATGCCTTGAAAGGACTGGCACGCTTTGGAGAAGCACAAGAAGCGCTAGAGTGTGTCATTCGTGTCATGGAGCAACAAGCCAAACTGGGAGTTCAGTCACCGACCGTGGGGGAAAAGGTTGCAAATCTGCACAAAAAATGGAATCAGTTGCAGTTGGCGAAATCCAAGGCTGTTGCTATTACGACCAGGCAAGGGGAGAATCGTCGTTTGCGCTCTAATGGTGAAAATGACAGCACGACACTGGTAGTAACAGTGACAGCTCAGTCTATTACAACAGCCAACACTAGCGAGGCGGCTGAAGATAAAGACGATGGCAAGGAGAGCCATGACGAAAGCGGCCGTCAATCGGAGACGGAGAATGACGACGAGGGACGAAGCCACAGCTCGGAACGGACGGGGGAAACTGAGGAGGATGAATGCATCGACACAACGACAACAAGCACTTCTGCATCGCAACCCAAGGCCAAGCCAGGAACGTATGTCCAGTGCCTGTATGGTACTGGTACGGTACAAGAAGTCCGCAAGTGTGGGACTACCAAAATTCAGTTGCTCTCATGGTCACCGGGGAGACAAGCGCCGACCGCATATCTCATGCCTGGCTACTACACGGTGTTGAATGGAGGTGTCGATGTTGCATCGGAGTGAGAGGACGGGGGGACTACTCCGCAAGCAGTACGTGTATTCATTCCAACAGCAAACGAGCAGGGACGGGACGATGTATGTAGCAACTCTATTGTTTGTGATTAAAAAAAACACTGCCTTCGCAACAACAGTGATTTACGCTTTACATAGAAGCCCAGAGCAGTCTTCACGTTGATTGAACAGCTCAAACAAGCGGAAACCCTCCAATCTGAGTGTATAATCCAGCTGGGCCCACATTCTCTCCTTTGGCAAACCATTCAATCTTTTGAATTCTGCCGTCGTGAAAAGTAATGTGCATATCTTCAGGGTCATTCACAACTCGAGTGTTGCTAGCTTCAATGGGAGGGAATGGACCAACACCATAAGGGGCCCCTGAATGAGTACCACTGGCAATAGCATGATGGATTTTTAGGACACCGTCCTTGCCCTGGCTGACTGACTTGTGCTTGATTGAGAAGTCGGGGAATGAGTCGGAGAGTTTCTTGGATTCCTCTGCAAAGTCTTCCCAGGCCATTTCATGCACAAAGCTGCCATCCAAAGCACGGAACACAAAAGCCGCATCATCAGTCAACAACAGTGTGGCACCTCTGAGGTCATGATTGTTTATGCAAGCAAGGAAATCCCCGAACGTGGCAATCTGAGGATTAGTAATACCCGTACTAGTAGGGTCAAAAACAATGGGCTCGTCTGACGAGCCAACACTAGATTCTTCTACACAGGTATTACATATTCTTTTTCCATCTGCTTCGGATGCCATGTCCCTCTTCTTGGGGGGCAGGGACAACATTTTGTCCTTAGCTCCCTTCACTTGTTTTGCAATGGCCTTTGAAATCTTCATGTTGCTGGTGAATGTTGCTTTCTCTGGATTTTGTGGGGACAGGTGAAATTGTGATGGATTTGCCCTTTCCACCAAAGTCGCCACAGAAACCACCCTCGCTGGAGATGATAACCTGCAAACTTGCTGTACAGTACCGGTCATTTAGATAACTTCTAGCTAGCCAGTAGTAAAAAGGTGGCTGTGCCAGGAAGACATCATTAGAATGGCAGTTAAGGTAAATATAGATCTACAGATATTCATGTATGTACTCTGATGTTTTCCACCTAAATCTAGTTTTACCGCATCCACCTCTATAAAGCGATTTCATTCCAGTTCAGTCGTTGTTTCAAATCCCGTTCTAGTACCGGTACAGTACCGGTACCGATGTGATGTGTTGTTCGTCCCGTTGCACCCGACTGACTCGAGTGACTCAGTCGTGTCAGAGTCAGTCAGAGTGACATCATGACATGACAGGCACCCCAGCAGCTTGCGATTGAATTCAATCACAATCGAGTCGTTCGATTCGATGGAATGATCAATCGAATCAGAATCGAATTCATTCATTCTCGTTCCAATTCCTCCCTTCCGCATTGATGAAGGTTCATCATCAAGACTTATTTTCACCACAAGTTCTGTTTTGCGGCAAGGTTGCCCAAAGAAAAACACCAGCAGCATTCAATACTTCATGCCTGGATACATGTATGTGCAGAATGGAGGGGGGAAAGTCAAACAACCGAAAAGTTACCACAGAGTAAAGCCTGTGTTTTGGCGATTCGGCAGCTTGTGCTGACAAGAGTAAAACTACTTAATTCAGTCACTTTTTGCTAAAATCGTATGAGAATGGAGGGGTCATATGTTGCATCAAAGTGCTATAATTCAACCATGAACAACAAGGGACCAGGCACGGGACAAGATGCATATCATAATGCCCTTTCATTGGGATCTACTGGAATGAATATTCATAGATTTATGACATTACAAGCACTGTGCAGTTATAGCTCCTCAAACAAGTGGAAACCCTCCCAGCTGAGTGTACAGACCAGCAGGACCAACCATCTCTCCCCTGGCAGAGATGGCAAACCTTCGGATTCTGCCATCACAAAAAGTAAGCCGCACATCTTCAGGATCATTCACAACTCGGGTGTTGCTGGCTTCGATAGGAGGGAAGGGACCAAACGCAAATGGTGTCCCCGAATGGGTTCCACTGGTGACTGCATAATGGACTTTCACTGTGCCATCTTGTCCCTCTCTGATTGATTTGGGCTTGTTTGCAAAGTCAGGGAATGAGTTAAAGATTTTCATGGTTTCTTCCCGGAAATCTTGCCAGTTCATTTCATGCACCAAGCTGCCATCCAATGCGCGAAACTCAAAAGTCACATCATCTGCCAACACCGACTTGGCACCTCTGAGGTCATGATCATTAAGGCAAGCATAGAAAACCTCAGCAGTGGCAATCCGAAGCTCAGTAAGAGGGTCACAAACACTGAGCTCGCCTGACAACTCAACACTAGGAACTTCACAGGTGTTGTGCATGCTTTTTCTTCCTTTTGCTTTGGGTGGCATTCTCCTCTTGGGGGACAGGGACAACATTTTGTCCTTTGCTCCCTTCACATGTTGTGCAATGCCCTTTGAGATCTTCATGGCTGATGGTTTTGGTGAGTGAGTGTAGCTTTCTTGTTTGTTTGTTTTTGTGTGGACTGTCGAAATTGTGAATCAATTTTCTGTGGGACAAAGGGTGTGTCGAGTGACGAGTCGCCAACTTCTCACAACAAGAAACCTGACTGTAGTGACCATGTAACCATGCTGTAGATAATCCCGTCTTTAAATAAGTGGCTGTACCAGTTGCTGTCACTTTCAACATGAGATATAGAGTTCTGAAGCATGTTTTATTATCGACGTCGCAGTGCTTCCGTGCGGCCGTGCGGACACCTGTGAAATTTGGCCTTCGCATGTAGAATTTCTCACCTTGATTATCGCGCCAGTTTTTCAGTCCTCCTTGGCCTTTTTCGCACTTCGCCGAGGCTGAAATCCCGTCTTCAAGCAGTTCTCTATGTGCTTGGATGCCTCGACTTCGGCCAAGACCGGCAGTCTCAGTCCATGTAAGTAGTGCTGTCTCAGTGGTTGGTGAGCTTTCAGAAGTGGCTGAAACTATACGACTGCTGCCAGCTAGCTGGATAGACAGATTGATGGAGTTCACGCTGGTTCTGGGCCTGACAACTGATAGCCCCGTAGCGGGTGCCCTTGATGCCCCCTTTCCACTTCTTTCCTCGTTTCATCAAAAGCGGCTTCCCAGCAAGAAAGGCACCTAAAAACATCCGAAGCCGCTTTTGCTGGCTGCCTGGGGCTCGTAGCTAGCTAGCTAGCTTGACGCCACAACAGGTGGGGCTCGCTTCCAGGACCACTTAAAAAGCTTGAAACCGAGGTTGAGTCCTCCAGGTGGGCCAGTCAACTGATAGACCCCCAAGAGGTATTCGCAACAGCTAAGGGCTTGGTTCTCCTTAGTAGTAGCACTGGGGTCAATCTTGCGCTATAAGGAAGGACAAATTTCTGTGTTTGTTTCAGTCTCCATGCCAGCCACTGACCACTGACGTGCCAGGGAACTTGGACACCCGCCGTGTTGCCAAAATCTCTTCTTCTTGCCGATTGCAATGTAGACCTGGCGAGCTGCTGGTGGCTTCCGGTATCCTGATGCCCATTTTTACGTATCCATCTCTTTTATGTGAAAGTTACTACTCCGTTTCTTGGATAGAGAATGGGAAGGAGAGATGGCGAGTGCAGCACTGCAGAGGGCTGGAGTCGATTCCAGTCAAACAGCCAAGCGTGATCTTCTGGATGCTAGTGTGATCATTGAGGCCGGACAGCACGCAATGGTGCGATCGAACCTTTGAATTCTACCATCATAAAAATTAAGGTGCACATCTTCAGGATCATTCACAACTCTGGTGTTGCTGGCGTTCATAGGAGGGAATGGACCAAAGGCAAACGGGCCCTGGAATGGGTACCACTGGTGACTCCATGTCGGACTTTTACGGTCCCATCCTTTCGCTTTTGATTGACTTATGCTTGAACCAAAAGTCAGGGAATGAGTCAAAGAGTTTCTGGACTTCCTCCTGGAAATCTTGCCAGCGCATTTCATGCACCACACTACCATCCAGTGCACGGAAAACAAAGGTTGCATCAACAGCCACTACTGCATTGGCACCTTTGAGGTCATGATCATTGAGGCAAGCATAGAAAACCTCAGCAGTGGCAATCTGAAGCTCTGTAACAGGGTCACGAACACTGAAGTCACCTGAATTGTCCATATAAGGAAGTGCATCACAGCTTTTGAGATGATCGCCCCTGGCTTTGGATTTGCGCGACTTATCTTCCTTCTTTGGGGGCAGGGACTTTGCTCCCATCACACGTTTGGCAATGCACGCTGGGAACTTCATTGTATTGATGGAAGTAGGTAGCTTTCTTTAGTTGGCTTTGATGTCTCTCAAAACTATGGTTGTTGGAAATTGTGACTACTAGCTAGTACTCGTCTGCTCAGAAGTCAACTTGCGGCAGACCACCACGTCGCTGTAAATGCACCCGCGGATATTCCAGTACTGCCGCAGATGCTTTCTTTGAACTTCCGCACTTTTTGCTTCCCTGGACAAGGTTCTGCATGCATCTTATGGCCTCTACGGCGCCCCACCCAATCAGATATTTTTTTTTGCGCAACACTCAAGTTTTTCGTCAGTTTGCGTCAACTTCTCCGACGTGCTAGGTCGCCACAAATTGCAGAAATGCGTAGAGCGGGTGACTGCTGACTAGTTCTTGCTCAATTCCTTTTGTCCATCGTCGGTGCTCTCGGTTTCCCTGGCCAACAATCACAACCAAGACTCGCGGCACTCCTGCAGCTTCACGGGAGCATACGTACTACCGTGCGTGCGATTGCGACCCAAGGAGCTGGAGTGATTCGATTCGATTCGATTGAATCATTCACTTCAGTTTTCAATTTGAGTTTTTGTCAGTTTACTTCAACCGCTTCGATGTTGCAGATAGCCACAAAATTTGATGGGCTGACTCGACTCAAGTCTTTTCTTGGTGAATGTCTAGTGACTGGTGAAGCTCTGGAGGTTGCAGGTGACTGGTTTCTTGCTCTTTCCTTTTGTCCTTCGTCGCTGCTCTCAGTCGCCTGAGGCCTTTCCCTGCAATGCCCCCATCAACCAGAACTCGCGGCATTCCTTCGGCTGTACGGGAGCATACAACGGTACTAGTAGTACGTGCGATTGTTTGGTGACCCAAGCAGACCAGTTCCAAAGCCGACTTATTTTCGATTGATTCATTCACTTCAGTTTGAGGCCAGATAGAAGTGGCTGATACCGGTGTGGCTGGGGAAAAGACGAAACTACTGTAACATAACAGTCCAAGGTTTGCGTCACGAAAGGAGCACGATCTGATCAGCTGACCACCATCAATGAGAAGCACAGCGTCCCGCGACCCTAGTACCACCTGGTGACACAACGCCAAACGAGCTGGTGGCGAATCAACAGAGTCTCCTGTTGGAACTCGGGTTTGCAAGACTCTATCTTAAACACGAGATAGCTTTGAAACAAGGCAAAGGATTACCGTTCAGCTTTGGGTAGTGTTCAACTTTGGTGATCGTCTTCCTTGCCACCAGGAAGGCAAGCCTCATCTGCAAACCGCACCACCGTCGCACGGTACCCCAGGTGCGGGTACCAGGTACCGGTACCCATCGTCCCCGACGGGTCTGCAGTAGCTAGCTAGAGCGGGGCCGTCTGAGGCGTTTCCACTTCCGTGTCGGATGGCCATTCGCTGCTCTCTTGTTCGTCGCTGCCTCTGCTGCTGCGGTTGCCCACAGCGCTGGGTTTTCCCTAAGCAACCCATACAGAAGCCCAACCTCCTTGTCATTGCACCCAAACGTGGTTGTCGCCACACCCCGCAAGATTGGAACAAGCTGCTCCATGGTACAAAGGTCTCTAACACGGTCTCTCCCTAACTGGTTCAACTCAAGGTAAAACTGCATCTTTCCGAACATGTCGGTGCCCGCTTCCCCACACGTTACCTGTTGGAGTGTCATGTTTCCCGACTCTAGCATCTGACAGAGACAGTGACGCATTAGCAGCACAAGTGCTTGCGTTCCGGGATCCATTTCAAGTTTCCGGAGGGACCGGTTGCTTCTCAATGCGTTGCAGAAAGGCACTGGATCGACTTGTATCACTTGCGAGAGTGTCAACTCTTCCAGTTTGGTCGCTTGTTCCAGCAAGCCCAATAGAGGCAATGTGGCATCTACTCGAGCAGAACCGTTCGGCTCAAAAGTGAAGTGTTTCAGAGCAGGAGCGCTGCGAGCCAAAAGCCTCACGATGGCCTGGATCAAGTGTCGGGGCATGATGCATCCGGCCATATGAACTTCTTCCAGACACGAGAGGTTGTCAGGTGGAACAAGGGGTCCATTGAGAGCAAACGAACGGAGAAACAGCTTCTTTGAGGCGTGAGCGTTCGTGAGAAGCCATGCCAAGCTCTTGGATCTAGTCAAAATAAACTTGTTGATGGTCAAGGATAGCAGAGAGCCGCTGCTTGGGTTGCCGGTTGTCGTTTCTGTCAGGCCCTGTGCAATTGCCTCCATGGCAAGGTTGTCATTGGAATAGGTATTCCTTCCGAGTCGGTCATGACGGAGAAAGTACAATTCAAAATGCTCAAGACTGCTGCTATTTCTGCCGCAACGCACCATTCGCTTGAGCGCTTGACGAGCTTCCCGGCTCTCGCTGAGAATCTTGCTGGGCAACCCGAGTGCAATCCCATAAAGAATACAATTTGGTTGTTGCAACAAACTGGCCAAGGCATTCAAGAGTACGCAAAATGAGTCCGAGTCTTCGTATCCATCCCAGCAACCGACAAACCCGGACAGAGCATTGTTTGGAAGAATCCAACGGGCCAGTAGCGCCGCACTGTGTCCAGTGAGGCTGAAGCGGCGTTCCAAAGTTCCACCAGGGCTGTTGCCCGCCACAGATTGCCCTATGTTGTAGAGAATGTCATCTGGCAGTTCATGACAACGATCCAGAATTTGATTGAGAGCGTCGCCATCGGCGCACCTTGGATTGACAAGAAAAAGCTGTCGGATGGTGCGAATGGTCTTGTGAAAGATGGATTCCTCGGAAATGAATGGACGCCACACGACAAAATCGAGCAGCTTCTCGAGTAACACATGGTCGCCTTGATGCGCCATAAAGTAAGGGACACTTGTCACAAAAAACAAGAGAGTCTTGCTTCGGACTTTAGTCTGTGCCAACAAGCCAGCGAGAAAGGCTGGAGAGGGACACGTGCCGTCCATGATGGCTTGAGGGCAAATGGCGTGAACAGTCTCAATTTCTGACCGCAAAGCTCCGCCAGCCGCCAACAGAAGGATTGGGTATTGAGGCGTGCCCTCGAAGAACAAGGCCATACGACGGCAGCTGAAATCCTTGGTCGCCAGATCTGGTCGCTTGGCCAAGGCATCCAAGACGAACTTCACTTCGCGCGGGTGAAGATGGTGCTCGGTTCGACCATCTTGGTTCTTGAAGATCTGGATCAATCTCTTTTCTATCTTTTTCATGATTCTTTGCTTTCTTGCTTCTGTGTTTGGAGCTCGTTGGTTATATGGTACCGTATGGTTGTGCTGCTGCTACGACTCGTCACTCGAGCATTTGCTTGCTTGATTTCTCTGTCGTGTCGCTCTGTCGCTGGTCGCTTCTTGTGGCTTTTGTGGCTTGGTCGCTTTCCTCGCTTTGGTCGCTTTCGTCGACCTGTTCTTTTTGGATCTTTGACTTGGGCCTCGCACGTCTCAGAGATCGTGGGCTGCGGCGTGGGGGGTGGGGAGCACAGCGTGGAAGCAACACCAACACCGCTTTTTTTTTTTCAACACACACCCAGATTTTCGCCCCTGCTGCAGTGCTGTCTCAAACATAGTGGAGTACCCGATACGATGCTAGTTTGCACCTGGCGACGATACACTAGACTGGATTCGATTCGAAAGCAAGGTCTTAGTTAGCTAGTTAGATCTGGTTACACGCCTAGCAGTCAGTATACTGTCCGAACTTCAAGTGCAAGACCCCGTTCTTGCACATACCCACCAAACTGGATGGTTTGGTGGGGTGTGCTTTTTTAGCATGGAGATTCAGCGTACTTTCGATCTTGGAAAGCATCCCACTGGAGGAACAACAGCCATCCGGTGCAAAGGGCGAAACCCAACGGCGCAAAACAGAACCAGACGCGAAAGGTTCAGCTGGTGCTGTTGTTCTTGCGAAGAAGACCAAGCAAGCACCATCAAAGAAAGAGCAGCATTGACAAGATCTGGAACAGTTTGTACACAACCGTGGCCGAGCACAACCAAAAAACAAGAATGCATACGGCAAATCCTGTTGTGGGTGGTCTGAGTGTGGGAGAAGACAGGACCTCGATGTCATCCTTCCTTGAATGATTTACGTTTTGGAGCGTTGGTGGTCTGGGTGTGGTGGGAGGAGATTGGGCCTCAATGTCGTCCTTTGCATGGTTTGCGTTTTGGAGGCGCACAACAGAGGGCATTCCAGCCCTCTCTTTCAACGATTTGCCCATGGCGCTGCAGTCTCTCGCGGCAACAATTGGGGAGCTCAAAGTATGGCAAAAGGAGCTCCACGACAACATTGCATCCAAATCGTCGTTCCCAGTCGTTGCACGTCGAAAGACGCCCCCAGCCACCTTTCAAAAATTAAACACGACTACATAGGGTTCCTGTCGTGACATCATGCCCTGCCCTCATATCGTGTTTTACTGCTGGCCGCCAGTACCTGGTACCGGTACCTATGTCTGCTCTGCAAGGCCAATTCTAGGTTACGACGACTCTGACTGACTCGGCTCGACTCGGCTCGGCTCGACTCGACTCGACTCGACTCGACTCGACTCGACTCGACTCGACTCGACTCGACTCGACTCGACTCTCTACCACGGAGCTAGCTAGGCAAGCAGTGTTACGACTTTTCATGCAGCAAATAATGATCCCAATTTGCTCCCCACAAAGCCCCCCACCCAATTTCGTTTGCTTGTCTTCACTGCTTGCGCTGCTGCTTTAGCGAGAGAGTTTAGGAAAACCAAAGCTACCCGTTCCTGGGACAAGGACATCGTCAGGAGTCGCCGGAGGAACGAACGAACGCTAACCGTCGCCACTTCTATTGCATCCCAGGCGATTGCCGTGCACAGCACCTCCACCAAACTGATTTGTTCAATGCAACAACCTAAAGGACACACTTACAAAGCTCCAATCAGTTATCGCCGCAACCAACCAAACAAACAAACCGTAACAGGCCCGCAAATACTTACCGGAAGTCACTTCCCTGCTGTGGGGCTTTTCCAAAAATACGCGAAGTCCAACGACATAGAATCGTCGCCACTACGGTAGCTCCGAACTCGCAGAGGACCGGGAATTCTTCCGAGCGGCTTGGATTGCTGCGTCTCCTTTGTCGACCCATGCATTGAAGTCTTCCTCCGACTTGGCACGCAACAGTATATCAGGGTTCTTCCCCCTAAATTTCAAGACGAAACCATATCCCGTCGTGTCGGCTGGCGTGACTCTCTCCACTTCTGGATGCAGCTTGCTATCCTCCTCTGCAAACGATTCTTTGTCGGAATATCGAACAGATCCATCGTCGTACCATGCGTAATATTGTTGCTTCCACAAGAAGGGAAGGTACTTCCTTTGCTTTTCCACAGCACAGCAATAGACTTGCTGTACCTTGGCAAACGTTTTGGCAGCACCCACCTGATGCTCCTCGCGTTTGATGTCTTCGGCTTTCTTCTCAATCTCCTCTTGCAACGTCTGAAGCTCCTCGTCCAAAGCTGGTTGGGACCCCGGCGTGTTGTTTAGCTGTTTTGCAACATGACTCTTCCTCTCTAGAAGACGGTCTTGTTCATCTTGCAACACTTGAACCTTAAGCTTTCGGTACACAGCTGCCTTCTCCGCCAGTGCCGCATACTTCTTCTGCTCCTTGGCAAGAGCTTCCCGCACCTCTGAATTTGCCCTGAGCTTTCCGGCCTCGATCTCCTCTGGACTCATGTCGTAACAACCAGTACCCTTTTGCTCAAACAGAGCCTTGACATCTGGGTGCACGTATTCGGAGATACCCGAAGGGCCATGGACAGCTTTCACCAGGCCACAGTTCTCGAAATTAGGATCATTCCATTCACTGGTGGATTGGGCAAGCATTTTGATTTTCTTGTAGGAAAGTTTAATGATGGATTGTTGAGTCTCTGGCAGCTCAGGATCCACTTCTGCTGCATCTCCAATGAACTCTGATACTGCCGAAGTGGCCAGTTCTTTCCAGTCCTCGGCATTTTCATCGTCTGGTTCGATTTCTTCAGGGTCGGAGAAGGCACCACGAACGTGGCCTTCAAATGCCTTGAGAAATTCTACTCCATTGTCTGAAAGCAGCTGTCCCGTGAACTGGTCCGCCCCTCCATTGCATGGCAGCGGAAGCCCGCGACATCGCCCCAAGGCAAAACCAATTTGAAGCAAACCCAGAGTCTTCAGGAGGGCTGGCCCATAAGTCTTGACCCAACCATGTCTCATCTGAATTTCGTATCCAATGGGCTTCCCATCCCCATCCAAGGGTACCTCAAGACTGATAGGGCACACAAAGTGCAGCATCACTTGTGTGCCGATCCAGTTTTTGGGATTTGCCATCATTGTCGAAGTGTCCTTTGGAAGCAAATACAAGTACTTTGGGACGCAGGCCTCAAGGAGCAGAGTCGTGAGCATTTTTGTTGTTGCCGACTGATTCTTCTGGAGCTGGCTGGAAAGGCCATATATGGACGTTTGGACCTCCCTTATTTTCTCCGCAAGGTGCTCCCTGGCCTCCTCGTGCTTCTGCGTCACATGCTCCCTAGTTTTGATGGACTCCTCGTGGACGGTTTCCTCAATGGATTTGCTCGCTTCATCAGCAACCTCGTGGATGTCCAGTTTTCTTTCGGTACAAAAGAAGTCGTCACTGAGTATTTCTCCCATCGAGGTAGGCCTGTCTGCTGGGTTTTTGCTCAGAATTCTGTTCAGAAGTTTCTTGGCAGCAGAATCCACAACGTGGTCCAGTTTTGCTTGCTTGGTTGCTTCACTCCAGTCATACAGCTCCTTCATTTCATCTCCGCTGCTAAGATCATCATTGCGGTCGACATCGAATAGAGACTTCCCAGAATCCCCGGTGCAAAATGCATACAGCATAACGCCAAATGACCAGACATCAACAGCAAGGCCAGCTTCAACAAGACTGTCTTTGTACGGAAGCCCATGAGTAACAGCTATAGTCTTCTTTTCCTGCTTGATTTCCCCGTTGAAAGGATCTTCAACTTCCTCCATGATTGACTGCAACCGGAACGTCTTCACATTGTAGCTTCGCAATCCACCTTCAGGCACTTTGATCTTGAGCTTGGAAGGGAGCCCTTGCGGCTGCTCATAACCAAAGTATTGCGCGTAATGAATGGCTTGCGTAAAGCTTTCATTGCAATGGATCATTTCTGGTGGCAAGATCCCAGAGGAAAACTTTGCGCCAATGTATTCTGTGGGTTGCGCCATGAGCCTGACTGAAGCATCCAAGTCAATCAGCTTGTATCGCCCACTACTTCGGATAACAGATGCCATTTTGAGGTCGCCGTGAATAATACCCCGCCCATGAAGATAATTGAGGGCATCGCCAACTTGTTTCATGATCACTCGAGCAGCGTTCAAGTCTGGGCGCTCGCAGCGATATATTGAATCCAAATTGCGATCTCCAAACGGCATGACAACAACATTTGAGTACTTCATCCGTTCTTCTGTCGGCACACCCAATATGTAAGGTTCCAAGGTATCATTGAGATCGGTGTTGTTGATTTCTATGCCATCGTGTTTGCAAATGACACCAACGACATACTTCGTGTCAAGGTCATCCCGCCCATCAGTCTCTTTCTGAAACTGGGTCTTGTCTTTCATGAATTTGATCGCAACTTTGTTCCCGAATTCATTCAAACAAAACTCAACAAACTCGTCTTCTGAAATACTGTTGCGTTTGCCACTGTTAACCTTTGCGAACAACTCGTCGATGACGTCTTCATTTTCGACGCACAAGCCGTCAAATACTGCATCATTGCTTCTTCGGCCCACCTGTTGATTGGCACGAATGCTTTGCAAGTAGTTGCCCTTGACTAGGTCCATATCCAGAAGAGCCGCCCGGAATGCATCTCTATCCATGGAGCTCAAGGGCTTAAATTTGTTGGCAAAGAACTCGTCCATCTTCCCATCGCGGGCAGAAAGGACCAGGGAAGTCGGGGACTTGTGAATTGGAGGTCCTTTGTCGAGGTCATACCTCCCCAAGAAGAAAAGACGCTTGTAAAATGCATCTCTGATCACTAGTGGTGCAGTCGAGATGGCAACGAGCCCATCCCTGTCCTTGGCATAGGCAAGAGCCAGTACACGTTCTTTGCGGCACAGTTTCATATCCAGCAAGTATTCTGAAATGAGTTTGGAATCACCAGATCCTTCCTCCAGGGCTTTTTTGAGAAACCTGACCCATCCATGCTGCTCAGGACGGGGTATGATTCCCTCTCTGTTTGATTTAATGAAGCATTGGATGTATTCAGCCTTCAGAAGGCGGACCGTGTTGACAGCATCTTCTCCCACCACTTCCGATACAGAAAGAGGCAACATCCTGAACCAGCTTGATGTGATGTTGTTTGATAGGTGGGAATTGAAGATGGCGATTTCAAGAGGGGTGACCCCTTTGCTATCTCCGACTAAGGCAAGCCCCTCTTGCACCAGAGTATCCAACACAAGTTCATCCGTGCACTGTGCTACAGATGCGTAGTGGAGAGGTGTTCTCCCACGCTTATCCTTCAACTGCAGCAAAACAGAATGATCGAGACACAGGAAATTCAGAAGTTTCACGTTGATCTTGCTTGCTGCTGCCAATATGTGCAGTGGATTTCTCCCAGCTGTATCTAGCTTGTTGAATTCTTCTTTGTCGAGTCTCTCCAAGTCTTTGACCTCAGCTGTGGACTGAAAGTAGCATATTTCATGGGCTGGACAGTCTTCAAACATGTTTTGGTACCGTTCCAACTCAAGAGGGCAGCCTTTAAAGGTATCCTCTTCAACTGATATTGATTTTGGGAGCTTCAAGATTTGAAGGCTCTTACAATGGAGGAATACCTCATTATGCAAGGATTGGAGGTCCTTGGGCAGGACGGCAATTTCCAAGCTTTCGCATCCATCAAAGACATTTGCGGGAAGGGAAGACAAAGAAGCAGAAATATCCACAAAAGAGAGATTTGTGCATCCTTGGAAACAATATGGACTGACGTCTTTCACAGATGCAGGCAGTACAATGCTCCGCAAAGAAGAGCAACCACTGAATGCACGAAAGCCCAAGGAGACGGAGGAGGAGACAGAAGAGGGCAAAGACAGCGTCCGCAAACTCCTGCAGCCGTCGAAACATGAGCTTCCAATGACCTCTAAAAACTCTCCGAAATCAATTTCTTCCAGATTTTTGCATCCAGAAAAGGTGGAGTCTTCCAGATGTGTGACAAGCAGAGGCAGCCTCACTCTTTTTAAAGACTCGCAGTGGTGAAAACATCGTCGCCCAATTGTATTGATGGACAGAGACAAAGTAATGCTCTTCAAGCTTGTGCACTTTCCAAAACACGATTCGTGGATTACTTGGAGTTGGGAAGGCAGCGCAACAGCTTGCAACGCAGTGCACCCTTCAAAGGCAGAGGAACCTATCTCTTGCGCCTTAAAGGGAACTCTGATGAACTTCAAGCGCTCACACTCAGCAAAACAGCTTCTGGGGATGGTATTTAGATTGAATGGGAGTCCAACTTTTCTCAAGTTCCCACAACCTAGGAAACAGCATTCTCCAATGAAACTTATGGAATTGGGGAGTATAATGGATGGCAGCATGCGGCACCCATGAAATGCCCAGCCTTCTATGCGTTGAAGCGCGGAGGGCAACACAATTACCCCAAATGAAGACATGGATGCGGACGAGACTGATGTGCCAAAAGAAGATATTGACCCATGAGAACTGTGTGTGCCAAGCTCTTGGGCTAGAGAAGGAACTGTAATGGACTTCAAACTGGAACAGCCACTGAAGCACCGATGCGGAATAGTGGTCAAATTTTCAGAAAGTGCCACTGTCTCCAAGACTGAGCATCCACTAAAACAACAATCGCCAAGAGAGTTGACAGAGTCTGGTAGCTTGACAGTAGGTAGCTTTTCACATCGACAAAATGCACCACTTTCTATGGTCCGGAGGCTGGAAGGAAAGACAGCACCTCCCAATGAGTTGATTGTTGATTGTTCTTGAGCTTCAGAGGCGGCCACTATACACTTCAAGCTTATACAATGTTGGAAGCACTCCCGAGGAATCGTAGTCACATTGTCTGACAGTTCCACAACCTCCAAGCTTTCACACGAATAAAAACAAGAAGTACCAAGGGTAGTGACGCTGTTGGGCATTTTGATAGACAAGAGTTCTGTACATCCATAGAAAGCCTCTTCTTCAATTGATTGAAGTGCAGAGGGACTAGAGACATCGTGAGTGGGAATCACGATGGATTTCAAACTTGAACACCCACAGAAGCACCACATGGGAATCACAACCAAATTCACTGAAAGTTCCACAGTCTCAAGTGAATTGCAAGCAGAGAAACAACGGTCACCAACAGAAGTTAGTGAATTCGGCAGTTTGACAAATTGTATCTTGCTGCATCCTTCAAATGCCGCTTCTCCAATGGATTCAAGTTTGGAGGGGAAAACGCTTCCACCCAATGTGTGAATTGCGGATTGTTCTTCAACTTCCGATGGAGTCACCATACACCTCAAATTCAAACATTCTCTAAAGCATTCATCTGGAATGCGGGTCAAATTTGCCGGAAGCTCCACAGTCTCAAGGGTATAGCACTCGGTGAAACAACTGTCGCCAAGAGAAACAACGGTGTTTGGTAGCTTGATTGACTCAAGGGTTGCGCAACGAGCAAATGCTTCCTTTTCAATGCGCTTGAGTTTGGGAGGAAGATCAACTGTCTTTAAGTTGGAACACCCATCAAAGCACCCATCTGGAATACTGACCAAATTCACGGACAACTCCAAAAACTGCAGGAGACCGCATCCCATGAAACATCCATTACCTAGAGAACTTAGGGAGTTGGGCAGATGGATGGACACAAGCTTTTGACAAGACATAAATGATTCTTCGCCGATTGATTGGAGTGCCTCCTTGGGGAAGTCGACCCTGGTGAGGGTTTCATGAAGATCCTTGAAGGCATTGTCTGGAATTTTGGTGACGTCGTCAGCGACAATGAGATGCTCAATCTGGACTTGATCGTCTTCGGCCCACGGAGGCGGGTGCCCCCGATAAATGACTGGTGCTTTTTTCGAGCAGCTCTGTTCGGAATTGTTGCCCACCTCTTGGCTATCTTCATTGTGGTCTCCTCCGTTCTGGTCAGACTGGACTTGTTCTCTGTTGGACATCTCTTTATCGATTTCTGATTGCACCTGTTCTTCCTCCTGAGACTCTGCTGCCTCCATTTCATCGCTTTCATTGTCCTTCAGCCCTTTCTCGCCATCAAAAGTGGCCTCCATCTCGCCAGACTGGACATGTTCTCCTTCGAGCATTTCTTTGTCGATTTCTGATTGTTGTCCCTGGTCTTCCTGCGGAGAGTTGGCTGCCCCCGTTTCATCACTTTCATTGTCCTTCAGCCCTTTCTTTCCATCAGGAGTGGCCTCCTTCTTGTCAGACTGGACTTGTTCTCTGTCGAACATCTCTTCACCATTTTCTGATTTTTGCTCCTCGTCATTTTCTGATTGTTGCTCCTGTTCTTCGTCCTGAGAATCCGCTGCCTCCATTTCGTTGCTTTCATTGTCCTTCAGCCCCTTCTCGCCATTAACAGTGGCCTCCGTCTCGTCAGATTGGACTTGTTCTCTGTTGGACATCTCTTCGCCATTTTCTGATTGTTGCTCCTTTTCATTTTCTGATCGTTGCTCCTGTTCTTCGTCCTGAGAGTCTGCTGCCCCCGTTTCTCCGCCTTCATTGTCCTTCAGCCCTTTTTCGCCATCAACAGTTCCCTCCTTCTTGTCAGACTGGACTTGTTCCCTGTCAGACATTTTGTTGTCGATTTCTGATTGTTGCTCCTGGTCTTCGTGCTGAAAGTCGTCTGCCACCGTTTCATCAATTTCATCGTCCTTCAGCCCCTTCTCGCCATTAACAGTGGCCTCCGTCTCGTCAGATTGGACTTGTTCTCTTTCGGACATCTCTTCGCCATTTACTGATTGTTGCTCCTCTTCATTTTCTGATTGTTGCTCCTGTTCTTCCTCCTGAGAGTCTGCTGCCTGCGTTTCGCCGCTTTCATCGTCCTGCAGCCATTTCTCGCCATCAACAGTGGCTTCCTTCTTCCCAGACTGGATTTGTTCTCTGTTGGACATCTCTTCACCATTTTCTGATTGTTGCTCCTCTTCACTTTCTGATTGTTTCTCCTGGTCTTTGTGTTGAGAGTCGTCCGCCCCTGTTTCGGCCATTTCATAGTCCTTCAGCCCTTTCTCACCACCAACAGTGGCATCCTTCTTGTCAGACTCGACTTGTTCTCTGTCGGAAATCTCTCCATGATTTTCTGATTGTTGCTCCTGGTCTTCGTGCTGAGATTTGGCTGCCCCTGTTATGTTGCTTTTATCATCGTTCAGCAAATGCTCACCATCAACAGCGGCCTCCTTCTCATCAGACTCGACTTGTTCTCCGCCGGAAATCTCTCCATGATTTTCTGATTGTTGCTCCTGGTCTTCGTGCTGAGAGTCGGCTGCCTCCATTTCATCGCCTTCATCATCGTTCAGCGTCTCGCCATCAACAGTTGCATCCTTCTCCTCGTCAATGGATTTCTCGAAAGGGGCTTGCATTTCGACTGTAGTAGAGACGACGACACGACGACGCCGTCATGAAAATTCGTGCTCTAGCAAGCTGCTTCTAAAGGAGGTGCTCCAATATCAATTTTGCCCTTGTTCTGGGCGAGTGACAGTCAGGATAGGTCTGAGTGGCGTCACTTGCATTATTGGCGGTGTCTGGAGTACTACTATGGGACCCTTACCCCAATTTCCTTTTATGCTGGGCGCCCCAGTACCGGTAGTAGCTTTGGTCTGCAGGTCCCTGCGGCCAATCAAATCTTGAGGGTCCCGCAAAGCCAAACCCTTTGCCCCCCGTAATGGTCCTCAATTTCTTGCCCCTGATCCCACAGAACCTAGTCCTGAATTTCGACTGTTCTTTGCTTAAGCCTGGCCCCGGCTGGCTTCCGTAGATAATTTCCCTACTCTAAAACCCCCCTATATATAATCTTGAGGGTTCGCATCTGAGTTCAGAGTGACGGTTCTGAGTCGTTGATACCGGACCGGTACTAGTACCACTGGGCGAGGATGGGTTCTGCCGCCAACACATTGATCTCGATCCTCCAATCCAAAGCCACATCACAAGCCCAAAAGCTCCAAAGGTGTTTCCTACCACAGAGGACCAGATGTCATCGGGTCCGTGACTCATGCCTCCGTCAATCAAGCAAGCAAACATTTGCGATCCTTATATAAGACTGGGCCAATACAAAGGTCGGCAATGGGGCTTCCGGGTCCCCTGGGGAACCCGGATGTGCAAAATCGCATTTGAGTCGTTCCTTTAAATTTAACATTTCAGCTATCCATACATGTATATGTTGTATTGATCTGACGTCTGGAAGTTAACGTCGGAAGCAGTCTAAACTAACGACAAATCCGGCAACGATCCGATCCAACGGCATTTCGCACTCGGGATAGACTTTTTTTCAGTCCCGCCATCCGTGACTGACCAAATCTGCAAGTCACGATTTCGTTTTCGTGTTTCCGGCATGCACAAAAAGGGTCCACGATAGCCAATAGAGTCGACCATGAGCCAAGAAAACACCCCCGACGGCCCCTTTACGCCTACTGTGGAGCCCACTAGATTGTTCAGAAGCCCTGTGGTTAAGCTTAGTTCAAAGAAGGCCCATGAGTTGGAAGAAATGCAGGAATGCAACCTCGAAAAGCTAGTTGAATACGTCCGTGCCGCAATCGAGAAACCATTCTGTTTTGACCTTATCAACAAACCTGGACGCAGAACAACTTGCACATGTCTACAGGATCTCGGAGAACAGATTGACGATGAAGAGGTAGAGGCCTGTGCCAAGTCGCTGTTCCTTTTCTGCAAGCTGGATTATGCTGAAAGAAAGCGAATGGTCAAGGAATGGATTCGTTCTGGCTTGGCGGCACAGCTGATGTTTCAAGGAATGCAGAGGGAAACTACAACCCGAGTGTTCCTTCTACCTGGTTCAACAACAAGATTGATTTGCAGGAATGCGCTGTGCCAGTTCATTGGCTATGGACAGAAGTCTTGGAAGGGTGTTGTCAAGTTGGTTAAATCAGGGGAGGATCCTGTTCATGGCTTAAAGAACAAAGTCGGCAACAAACTTAACAGCAAGTCGATGGATCTCTTCCATGTTTTCTTCACTTCAATGAAAGAACACGCCCTTCCCCGTGCAACCAAGATTGTCAGGACAGAAATGGTGGATGGTGTTAACACTTTGGTTGAGCTTAGGGAAGAAGAGAAAGACATTGTGGAATTGCCATCGTCCATGACCAAGCGTGGGCTGTACAACCGGTTCATAGCAAACCAAGGATGGAAGATCAAATGGGACAACAAAGGCCGTCTGTTGAAAAAGACAGAGATTCCGGACACAGAACAGAAAGTCACGGCTTCTCAGTTGCCATCGTGGAGTTCTTTTCGTCGCTTTTGGAAGTCGGAATATCCCAAGCTGGTTATTCAAAGACCAAGCGCTGATATCTGTGATCAATGCTACGTCTTTGCCAACAAACACAAGTACTGCGAACACTACAGTCCAAGCGAACTAAACAGGAACAACAAAAAGAAGGGCAAGCACCAGGAAGAAGAGGAGGACAGAATCTGAAGACGAAATGTTTGAGAAAGCATTGACCATGGTTGATCCCTATGCCCACATCCATGATCGATTCGAGGCCATCAAAGCAATGGAGGACATCGTGTTGTGCTCTTCAATGCATGTGGAGATGGCGCGACAACAGAGAACTCTGTTCAACTTGAAGAAAGAAGAATCTGTCCGTGACATGGATAAGCCATGGGATCAGCGAGTGTACACCTTTGTTTGTGACTATGCACAGAATATTGACGTGCCGCACTTTGGACAGGAGCAGCCAGGCGAGACGTACTACCTTTCCCCATTGTGGGCCTACGTATTCGGTGTTGTCGATTGCTCTTTGTCTCACCTTTATGCATACACTTACCTTGAAGGAGAAGGTCACAAGGGCGGCAACAATGTGGCAAGTCTTTTGACCTATCTCTTGATCCAGGAAGATCTTGTGCACGAAGGCCTTATCAGATCCTCTCATCACAACAAGCCGGTGCCAGAGATCAACTTCTTCTTCGATAACTGTCCAGGGCAGAACAAAAACAGAATGGTGATTCGCTTGTTGTTGGTATTGGTCAACAGAGGCATCTGTCTAAAGGCCCGTGCAACGTTCCTTGTTAAAGGCCACACAAAGAATGACTGCGACCGCATGTTCAACCTGATGAAAAAGGAATACAGAAAGGTGAGGGTGTGTCATGGTTTGTGTTCGCATGAAAACCTGAAGTTACCAATCGTCTCATCTACACTCCTCTCGTGTGCTTGTTGGTAGGCCAATGTATTCACACCGGAAGAACTCATCGCATGCATGCGGCATGAGGATGTCTCTCCTATTCGTGTGAAGGCTGAACGGGACTTCTATGACTGGGATAAATACCTCAATACGTACTGGGCTCCAGTGAAGAGAGTGTCGGAGAACCACTGCTTCGAGGCTGATGCGACAAGGAGCATGCATCATATCTTTGTGAAGCCTTTTGATGGAGCAAGGGAGGAAGCACAGCTGCTTACAAGGTTGAAGTTGCGTCCGTCGAATTGGAGAAAGGCAGAAAAAGAAGGAAACTTTGATGCCTTCAAGACTCCCATTAACTTGGAAGGCAAACCGGAGAACCTTATGCCACCAGGTATTCCAGACATCAAGTGGCAAGAGCTGTACGACAAGTGGAGGCCGTTGGTTCCTCCTCAGAAGAGAACATTAAAGTGGTTCAAGGAGGATCCTGGACAGGAGCGACGCGACAAGGTCACCAGGAACTCGAAGAAGGCAAAAGCAGCTAGATCGCAACGCACTGCTACTAAGGTATCTGCTGCGGAATCAGCTAGCATGGCAACATCAGCAACAAGGAAGACTAGTAGCTAGTTAACAGGTTATGCTAGATTGGCAATATAATGTAAGTTAACGACCATGACATGCTATTGTTGCCTCGAACGGTGTGTTTCAAGTGTGTCTAACTTCTTTTGCGTTTATCTCGACTTGGGTATCCCGCGGAAAACCGACGACGGACAGAAAAATGACCTCCCATCTTATTGGCCCAGTCTTATATGGAGCCTGCAAGACATCCTGCTTGGTCAGGCTTCAATCTTTCCAGGTGTTGTTCGTTAAAACCCGAAACTGGGAGGCCCCGGTCTGGCTGGCTGGCCTAGCTATGTATCAACAAATAATCAAAGCGCCGTGGCACTGGATTCGATTCCTATCCGGTCTAACACAACCTCACCATCGCTCATCCTTTCCAAACCGCGCTCATGCCAGGAGCACTGGGATTGACTTCTCAAGCTTGACTCGGGTTTTCGTGACAGCGTTTTCGCGGAGGGAACTCGAGCGAGATTCCTGATTACGATAGATTGGTGCATCTATCTCATGCATTGATCAAAACCAACCCCTGCATGCATGTGGAGCCTGTAAGGGTTAAAATGGCGCAAATCAAATGAAAAGCGGTGTTGTCGTCCAAGAAGGAAAGCAGATGCCAACGGTCGGGTGGAGCAAGAACAATAGATATGATATACGTAGACCTGCGTCCAAGTGCTTTGTAGTTTGTGGACTGAAGCCAGAGTTAGTTGAGGTTTCTGTGAGAAACAAGGACTGACTCTGAAGACATCATGCCACTGTGCTACCCATGAGGATGTAAAGCAAATTAGGCAGGCTTAAATGTTTGCTTGGGTTTGCCGTCGTATGACGTTTGCCAACGGCACGCATCAGCCAATGAGAATGCTCATGACTGCCGTGCCAGCTGTTCCTTTGGCTCTTTGGCTCCGGTCGCTACGTCAGGATTTTGAACAGTTTGCACTTTGCTATGATTGGTTGGTGGACCAATCATCGACTGACTCCTGTTGTTGTTGATGGGTGGTGGGATCTGTTCTGAATGAATCAGAGAGGAGCACAGAGCTGTCAAGTCAAGGCCAGCTGAGCCAAAGAAAAGATCGGTAGAACAATTACAGTACAGGTCATACCAATAAAATTCATTGAGCCAGAGCAGACCTCAACAAACGAAAGAAAGAAAGAAACAATAGAGTGGAAAAAGACGAGAAGAAGAAACCAAGATCACCAGCAATGAGGAGACCGTTTGAATGTTTTTCGTTGCTGGCGTTGGCTGCAACGACACAACTGCAGTCGAGCGCAAGTGCCTTTGTCCATCCAAGTGTCGTAAAAAGTGGGAGAGCCACTACTACTAGTACGTGTTCTGGAAGACTGCCTCTTCATCGGCAGTACGTGACTAAGCAACCACTGGATGACTTGACGGCTCTGATGGACGAAGATGACGACAATGATGACAATGACTACAATAGTATTGGAGAAGCCTCATTTTACAATGTGGATTACATGGATGATGATGAACAAGAACTGGACGACACCGACATTCCCACTACTACTACAGTATTCAATCGAGACGAAGATGAGATGTTGACGGAACTGGAAGATCGATTTTACATTGACGAACGTGGTCAACGACGGCAAGTGGAAAAGTGTATTCTGGTGGGTGTCGAAGACTTGTCGGCCAAACGAAAGCTACAAAAAGCACGACGACAAGCCGGACAAGAAATGCCATACGATAGACCCAACGTTGTTCCCGACGAGGAAATGCTATTTACACTACAAGAGAGTCTCGGAGAAATGAGAGAACTCATCAAAACGGCTGGAATGGATTGTGTGGGAGGTGAGTTTATATATATCATATCATATGTATGAGTCAGTTGAATTAGTTGAAGATAGATGGTCAGGATCTTTCTCACCTCTGAGCTCGCCTTTTTCTTTTCATATCAATGTCATCTCTTCATTCATGCATCCATCTGTTTTGTTTTGTTCATTCATGTTGTGAATAAATAACAGAAATCACACAGCGACTGCAGGAAGTCAATCCGCGAACGTACGTGGGATCGGGTAAAGTCTTGGAGGCACAGGAACTGCTCGAACAACACGGGGCTTGCACTATTGTATTTGATGCCGAATTGACGCCCGGACAACAAAAGGCACTCGAAAATTCCTTCAATAAGAAAATCATTCAAAACGATTTTTTGGGAGCCGACGGCGAAGAAGGAGAAATCAAAGTCATTGATCGAACGGCACTCATTCTTGATATTTTTGCACAGCATGCCAAAACACGAGAAGGAAAATTACAAGTCGATCTCGCATTGCACGAATATCGCAAACCTCGTTTGACACGCATGTGGACGCATTTGGAACGGCAATCCGGAGCGGGTGGAGTCGGATTGCGGGGTCCCGGAGAATCGCAATTGGAAATTGACAAGCGATTGATTCGCGATCGCATCATTGTGCTGAAATCCAAAATTGATGATGTACAGAAACAACGCGCCATGCATCGACAAGGCCGAGCGCGGACTGGATTGCCCATTTTGTCACTCGTCGGCTACACCAATGCCGGAAAGAGTACGCTGCTCAATTATCTCACACGAGCCGGTGTCATGGCAGAGAGCATGTTATTTGCGACTCTAGACCCAACAACTCGCAAGGTACAACTGCCCGGACTCAAAACACATCCTTCCGTCATGCTGACGGATACTGTGGGGTTTGTACAAAAGTTGCCTACACAATTGGTGGCGGCATTTCGAGCTACGCTGGAAGAAGTACAAGAAGCCGATGTCTTGATTCACGTCATTGATGTCTCCAACCCGACATGGGAAAAACAAGAACGTGCCGTTTTGGATGTGCTTGCGAGTATGAATGCATTGGACAAACCGGTGGTTCGAGTACTCAACAAAATTGACTTGTTGGATGCCGAGTCGGCGGAATACTTGCAATACGAAGCCGCCTATGCCGATTTGACCGTGGCGGTTTCGTCGTTGCTGGGAGATGGTGTGACCGATTTCGTCTCGGTCGTCGAAGAAGCCTTGCAAGAATTAATGGTGCCCATTGAAGTGGAAATCCCCTATTCCAAGGGAGATGAATTGAGTGCCGTCCACGAACAGGGACACGTCGAAGTGGTCGACTACCGACCGAATGGCACATATGTCATGGCTAGAGTGCCCCGATCCATTGCCAATCGATTAGAACAATATTCGCTGATTCCAAAAGAACAACAACAACAATCAAATAGCTCGCCAAACGGTACCGATGACGACGAGGAAATCGATTGGGTGGCGCTCGGCCGGGGTCGACATTCCGAACGAGACAAGTAAAAGGCAAGAAAGAGGTTCGCTACACTGACGGCCACAACGAAATGGCCCCAAACAAATTAATTTGCTACTAGCTCTAAGGAATGTTAGAATTTCATAGTACGCCAACTCGAACCAATCACAGTAGCAAGTGCTTGCAATAGTTCTCAATTTGTTGTCTCTACGAGAGCGGAGCTCCTCAAAACGTTGAATTCCATTCGATGCACGGCGCGATCTGGTTGAAAAGAAGGAGCCCCTAAAAACGTAGAAGTCAATTCGATGTAGGGCTCCTGTGATCAACAAGCTCAGCTCTTTGAATTCCTACAGTAGCTTCGTTCTGGCTGAAAATCTCCGTACTAGTGGGCACGACTTAGCCTCGTTGTCTTTGGCAGCTTGGTGGATGTCCACAGTGTAGTCTTCGAGCAACACAACACGTCAAGATTGTCTATCAATGGTCTCTACTTGCATTTACACGGTGACCCGGCATGTCTACGTTGCGTATCGGTAGCAATCAAGCCACACAAAGATGTCGAAATGGCATTAACTGACATCTTTCCCATGGCTTGCTTGTTTCTCACGGCACTATAGATTTCCATAATGCTGGGTACACGTCAAGTCCTGCCCTGTAATCCCCGACAGAACAGACACTCACTACGTACGTAACAATTTTGAACAAGGACGGTACATCATTCATTTTCTAACGAGGGGGGTTCGGTGCAGGTTGTTGTGGAGCACTGGTTGCCATACTCGCTGGTGGTGGCGGCGGCGCTGCGAGTGGTGTCGCACTCTCTGTCGTTGTTCCATGGATTTGCATATTGATATTGACTGCTTCATTGGCAGGATCAAAGAGTGTCGCAAAATCCATATCGAGATCATCCAAATTGGTATTCCCCAATTCCAGTAAATTCCAATTGATGCTTTCCATTTCAGTAGTGGCAGCTGTATTGGGAGGAGGTACCATTCCCAGAGCGGGCGGCGCCTGCAGACCCTGTTGTGGCGGTCTCTTGTTGTTGGCAATTGGAGGACGCGTGAGACTGACACTTTCGGCCACCATTCCCGCTGCCGCCAGGGCGGATGCTTGTCGTTCTCGATCGGCTAAATCTTCCTGTACTCGAATCTGTTGTGCCGGTGTCATTCCTGCCATAAAGGTACGAGGAGGGTTGTTGTTGTTGCTGGTGGTAGTAGTACCGTTGTTATGGGCACTGAGTTTATTGTTGGTCATGAGAATCCCTAGACCCGTCTGTGGAGCAGCTCCCAAGGCGACACTTGGTGGTGGCAGTGATGGTGGTGACATGGTACGAAAATGAGCCTGTCGTTGTTCGGGGGGATGAAGGTGTCTGGTTGATGCATGATTGAATGATTGGCAAAACGAAAGAAAATCGTGTGAGGACAGCAATCAACTTGCTTGTGTTTAATTCATTCAATTCATCAGTATCGATTCCTCTTTTTTTTGAATGTCTGTATTTACCTTCCCATAATGGGTGCCGTGAGTGTTGCGGGGGCACTCTGACTCAACGTGGCTGGTTCCAACGCATACACCCCCGGACTCGACTCTGGCGTGAGCAACGGAGACGATGGTACAGAACCCCCGGATCTCCCCGCGGATCGTGGACTGGGTCGTAATTGGGGAGATCCAGTTCCTCCACTACCCTTTTGTTTGGATCGTTTCATTTGTAGACATCGATCGGGTTGATCTCTGTGAAACATTTCGTGTCGATAGGCACCGGCATCCGGTCCTTTGGTGATTCTTCGAAATCCGTACAAATTCAATTGTCGTTGAAAGGATGTGAGCTTGGTATGTCTAAAATAGCGAGGCAGTACATCGGCAATGAATTTGTCGGGATCTCGTACGGAAAAGGCATCTCCTTTGGGAAGCCATGATACGACGGATGGATCTTCTTTGCGCAGCATTTCCATGAGTTTTCGAGGAAATGGATTGGAGTGGCCCGTGGCGGTTCCTCCTCCGGGTGACGACGTGGCCGAGAGAGCGGGAGATCCGGCGCTGGGAGATGAATTTCGTCGGAGTTGTCGACTGATGATACTACTACTACTATTGCCAGTACTCCCATCGGGTGACTCGGATAGCTTGATTGTGGAAATGGCGGGCGAAGACGCACTGGCGACACTCATGGCGGGTGAAATAGTAGGTTGCATTTTTAAGACGCCCGCCGCAATGGAACTGTCGACTGGCACCAATACGACGCCTCCTTGTCCATTTGTATTGGGAGTACCACTACTCCCCGTTTCGGGTGGAGTTCCGTGATGTTTGGCAATTTCAAAATTCTCTCGTAGCGATTGTTGTTGCGTGCTGCGCGCATTGGCCGCTGCTCGAAACCCTGCCAAGTACATGGCTCGTAGTTGTGCTTGTTTGTCGTCCACGGCGGCGGCGGCGGGTGGTACTGCTGCTGCAGCAGTGGTAGTAGTAGTGGTTGTCGGTTCAATGCTGGCGAGTGCCGCGTCCATCGAGTCTTTGAGTGCCGTCAAGTCCATCGCATCGTCCGTCGCTGTGGTCGCCGCCGGATCTATCATAGTCGGAGCTGTTGGATCGGCTGCAGCACTACCTGATAGAGACATGGATGGAACCTGGGATGGATCACCCGCACTCTCGTGTAAATCCACCGCCATGGGGTCCACTACGCCATGTGGTCCCTTGACCTCGGCGGTGCCATTCGTCACATTCGATTGGGCCATTGTTCGCTTACTACTACCTGCTAGTACCTATACACATACAAGCACTACTACACACTGGTAAGCCGTCCAAAGCCTCCAATGCTTTCACTTCACTTCACTTCCTTCGATTTGATAGATAGCTGATCAACCTGACACGCTGCTGGGCACCAAAATTTGGCGTGATAGTCCCATTGTCGCTGTGTTGATGGTCTTTGCTGTCAAGGTAATAAAACCTTAGCCCTAATTTAGGATTCCAAAACCAATGCTGGCACCCAAGCGTAACCGTTTTACAAAGCTAAAGTGGATCAATCCGTTGTGTTTTTACTTCAGTTGTTCGTTGGTGACACCCAGAAATAAGAAGGGCATGCCAATAGTGGAGTAATGAATGAGTGAAGGCATGTCATGTTGCCATGATGAGTGGTACCACTAGTGCCATCACCCAAGAACTCTGTCTTGCCTTTTCGGACTTTGTCAATACTCTATTTGCCATTCCACTTACCAGAAACCTCATTGCTTGTCTCGTCACAACGGGCGATGTTCCGGAAATACAAGAATTCACCTACGCGAACCCTACCATTGATATGGGAGATGATATCGCCGAGGAAACAGTCATTGAAATACCCGAGGGTCCTTATATTGTAACAGAGCAATCGACGGGAAGTCCTTTTCACGTCGGCACCAAGGTTGGTTCGTCGATATTATGGCAAGCACATGTTCCGATTACCGAATTATCCAGTATTTTGCGGGATAACATTGACGCCGATGATAATGACAATGATGTGGAACAATTATTGCAGGAGATTTTGACCGGACAAAGTGGAGCGTGTTTTGATTGTGAAACAGAACCGGGAATTGATGGAGTCGAGTTGGTAGCCATGACTCCCACCACCTACACGTTGGAGTTGACCAGTCTCAAAAGTCAGCACATCAAGGATACAATCACCTTTGCCGGACCAGGAACGGCTGCCATTCTGGCCAAGATGGATGCAGCAACAACAGAAACCCAAAATGCCATTCGGATATTCGACCTGGGACGGGGGGAGACCAAAACAGAGATTGCCGGGACTCTGCTGGGCAATGTGCTGAGTCGCTCCTCTTTGGAAGGGATGGCAGAGGCGGAAGCTCTCTACTACAGGGCACTCACAGCGGGGGATGAAGTTTGGAGGAAGACCAATAATAGCAGCAACAGCGGAATGAGATTGCTCAGTGGCGAGCCTGGCAAGAGCTTTGCCCTGCGAGTCCACAGCAATGAACAAGCAAATAGGTTTGACTATCTCGTGTTTCATGATTCCACCAATGGTTTAGACTTTGTGAACTAATCAATCTTTTCAAGTAAGTGAGGATTATCCGTCGTTGGTTTGAAAGTGATGAGCAGGTGTCTACTGGTATGGGTGGAAAGCACAATCAAGGCGTTGACAAAAGATTAGGTTCAACAATTGAACTTTAGCAATGCTGGTAGTAGGCTGAGACTCATAGGAGGCCCCCTTCATAGCAACCTACCCAAGAAGGAAGCAGAGTTCATGAATACTTTGCTTGCCAAGAAGCCAGAAAGGCATTGCATCTATGGCTACTAGTAGCTTTAGAAGAACCCTCCCCCCTGCCCTTCTTCTCTTTCTTTTACCAGTAGCTATACTTCCCAGCAGGGGCAGGTTTTGTTAGGTAAATCGAAAAATAAATACTAAATAGATACGTTAAGGAGCGAGGGGGGGATCTCATTCCAAAGCTGCGTAGAGACCACGGGACATGTTGGGGACATGGATCTCAAGACTGCCGCGTGCACAGAGTATCTGAGAACATCCCAGCAGCTTATTTTTGCATCTGAGCACATAGGTGACTGTGGCTGTTCGTGATGTGATGTCGATGCGACAAAAGCCTTTTGGCTTGCCCGTGGCCGTTGATCTGTGCTTAGCCATGCTTTTTCGTGGCTCTTCTTCATGCTTTGCAGACATCCTAACTAATAAGACCTTGCTGAGCAGTCCCGCCTCAATCGCAGTCGTTGCACTGGCTCCTGGCTTGCAGTCATGCCCGATATTGCCAAACGCACTCACCTCTCTGCTCAAGAATGGCGTGATGCTCTCTTTCTCCGGTTCGGTCTTACCCCCCAGCTCTTCCAGCTCTTTGTGATGGCTGTACTGGTCCTTCAGCGTTCCACATGCTCTGGATTGCAAACGCGGTGGCTTAATCATCCGTCGCCATAATGAAATCCGCAATGAACTTGGTTCTATTGCATGTGAATGCTTTGGTTCCTCTAGCGTCCATCAGAACCACCCTTCCATCTGTTCCCGCCCTACTATCCCTGCCGGTCCCCAATTTCCACCTTACCCCCCCCCCCACTCTCAATCCCCCTCCAGCCCCCGAGCTCTTACGGGTATCTTTCATTCGCGGCTTGTTTAACGAGGTACTACAGCTATATTGACGTACGTGTCACTGATTTGGACTGTGCCTCTTACCGAACAAAGATCCCGTCAAAGTTTTAACCCACAAGAACGCGACAAAATTTCCAAATATAAAGATGCGTGCGAGTCAATCGCGCTTCCTTCCACCCTTTGTTGTTTCAGTGGATGGCATGCTTGCCCTCAAGCCAAGACTCTCTTACAACGCCTTGCTTCTGCTATGCCCAAAACTCATTTCTCTACTCTCAAATGTGTTCTCATGCAGACCCGTATCTCAATTGCCCTTGTGAAGCTACCCATTATGTCTCCGTGGCTCCCGCAAAGCCAACCCTTTGCCCCCCGTAAAGTATGGTCCTCAATTTCTTGCCCCTGATCCCACAGAACCTAGTCCTGAATTTCGACTGTTCTTTGCTTAAGCCTGGCCCCGGCTGGCTTCCGTAGATAATTTCCCTACTCTAAAACCCCCCTTATTATAAGACCTTGCTGCTCGCTTGGTGGGTGTAGCGGATATTCGAATTTCAAATCCATTCAAATCGAACGGAATCGGATTCATGAATCGAATAATTGAACCTACTTGTCGATTTCGCGAGCGGAGGTGTCTCGTGTCTTTCTCAAAGCCTCGCCAAAAAGCCTCGACGATGGCGATGACGGGATGGCAACCATCAACTGGCATCTTGTGAATGAACCAAAGGACCTCTCGTAAAGGCACCCAGCTCAGCCAGAAAAAGAGAAAATGGGCAACGATACCTCTAGACCAAGGGGCTCGCGCCCAGCGACAAGTAAGTCCATGCTAGAAGACTCGTCGTTGAATCCGGTTGAAGCTCTGTCTTCTACGATGTGCAACCTCTGCGCTCCAACATTCAATGGTTCTCATCAGCGACCCGCCCCCTCCATTGATACTACATACACGGAAACCTCCAATATGACCTCTGCAATGCTTCAATCAATAGGCAAACAAAAGACAGGCAGGTCGGGTTACCAGCCAACAGCACCACGACCGCCCCGACAGAACAATCGCACGACAGCCACTGAGAAATCCGATCGCAGCATCAAGATCAGTGTCAGGAACGTCCAGAAAGATGTTTCCATGAAGAGTGCTGATCAGAGAAGGAAGCAGGGCACAGCGAATGACGACAGTGTCAAGACTTTTGCAGCCAGTTTGGCCACACAATCTGCCAACCACTATAGGAAGGGAAATGATTTTGTCATGATTACGGATGCACTCTCAGATGTCAGAATCAAGTGAGTTCACCAATGACACGACACCATACATGTTCCGGTCAAGTCAAATCTGCAGACAGAATGACTTTTGGTTACTCACACATTATTTGGTTGCTTCGTCACCTCAATCCATGTTTATTTTGTAGCTATCACATTGATGCCAAAGAGGTTGGCCACGGCCACTATGGCGTGGTACGCAAATGTAGGCATAGAGAAAGTGGTGATTCTTTTGCTATCAAGTCAATTCGAAAGGCCAAAGTGTCCAAAATCGAAGTATTGAAACGAGAAATTGACATTCTGAAAGAAGTCAGGCACCCCAATATCATCCAATTGGTAAGGCAACACTATCCGAGACCAAGAGTCCTTGATGTTTCCCCAGATTGAGCTAAACTTTGATTGTCGCTTCCTTTTGCAGGAGGAAGTATATGAAGATGAGCGGTACCTTCACCTCGTTACCGAACTTTGTACTGGAGGAGAGCTCTTCGATCGAATCATTGCCAAAACACAATCTGCAGAAGGTCATTTCTCCGAGCATGATGCTGCGACACTTGTTAGAGACATTCTAGATGCCATTCGATACTGTCACTCTAAAGGCATTGTCCACAGGGATCTAAAACCAGAGTGAGTGCTTCCGGATACGCTTTGTATTCAGAATCAGCAACCGAAGATTCTAACAGTTTGTTCGACTCAATTGCATAATTCAGGAACTTTCTCTTCTTGACAGCCGATGACTCGCCCATCAAGATCATTGATTTTGGGTTGTCCCGGCATGATGACTCGATCCAAGGGATTATGAAAACCAAAGTGGGTACACCCTACTATGTGGCACCAGAAGTGCTTCGGAGAGAGTACACAAACAGTTGTGATATCTGGAGTATTGGTGAGTTTGGTGGGGTGGCTTGCTTCTGGAGGATACGATCAGCACAGAAACAGCTTGGAGCCTAACAACTATCTTTTTGCCCTGTCGATCCAAAAGGTGTCATTTCCTACATTCTACTGTGTGGATATCCGCCTTTTTATGGTGACAGTGACGCTCAAATATTTGACGCAGTGAAAGTGGGCAAGTTCGACTTCCCCTCTCCGGAATGGGATGACATTAGCCAGCTGGCAAAGGACTTTGTTGTTTCCTTACTGAAGAAACTCCCCAAAGACAGGTAAGTGGTGGCTCCTTGGATGCCAACCTCTCAAAAGTGATACTGTCAATCATGTCTATCTAACCACAGGTTGGACGAACTGTATACTGCAGACCCACAGCAGAACAAGCCATGAAACTGCCTTGGCTGATCAATCAGCTGGGTGATGAATTGCCAAAACACACTCCAGCACTAACCCTGCGAAGAGGAGATCGTGGAGCTGAGTTCTCGAAGTATCTGGGAATGAAGAAGCTTCGAAAGGAAGCCCTTGGCTGCATTGCCTCCAATCTCACACAGGAACAGGTGGGGTATCTTGGAGAAATATTCAAGAGTATTGATAAGGGGGGAGATGGTGTCTTGACACTGAATGAACTAGATCAGGCAATTGCCAGAGGAAACATTCCCGCAAGTGTACAAGACGATTTGAGATCTCTGAGAGATAAGCTGTCGCTGTCGGAAGACGCCACCTTGAACTGGAAGGACTTTCTTTCGGGGACAATAGACAAGACACTAGCAATGAGAGAAGACAACATCAGAATGGTCTTCAACCATTTCAAGCAAGGAGCCGATGCTGATCATCTGAAATTTGAAGATGTGGTTGAAATCTTTGGGGGTGAAGCACAAGCACTAGAGATCATACAATTTATGGATTCTGATGGTGATGGAGTCATCTCATTTGAAGATTTCAGGAAAGCAGTGGAGGAGAGCTTGGCAGAAGGCGACGACGACTTCGATGTGAGTGTCTAGACTGCTAGCTAGTAGTAGAGTTTTGATAGTTATTTTTGATACGCCATGGAGGCGCCTTTGTTAATGTTATGTAGACTAGCTAGTTTCGTTTCTTGCTACCCATAGCTAGAGCCAAAATCGTCTCCATTCTCCGCGACGCCCAGTCTGGCTCTTGACGTTCCTCTCCTTGTGTCGTCGTTGCCTACCGGTAGGTGTTTGGCTCTGGAATCCAGCAATCAGAACAACGTGTTACGTGCTATGGTACCGGTACCGTTGACGCGATTAGTGCTTCTCGTACCGGTAGCAAGTTTGCTTGGCTCTATGACATATATTACACTGGATATCGACACAAATCGTTCATTTGGTTTGGTCGCCGTTGGATCCAGGCTGTTCTTGTTCTGGCTTTGCCCTCCGCAATTCATTCATGCCAAACGTCAAGAAGAAATGGAACCTACAACCTCAGTAAGTTCGGTACCTAGCGGTACCACTGGCTCGCCAGAAGAGACTGCACGGTAGCTGCACTGTAGCTGCCAGTTTGAACTCTTGCTTCTCGACCTAACTAACTCCCAAAGGTGGGAATGTTCTTCATGCTCCTTCGAAGTTGGGCAGCCATGTTTTTCAGCTTGCGCTCTTCCCTCAAGCTAGGTCGGGCGACAGGCGAGAGGTGGGTACCGGTATCCAAACGCTCCACCTCCGCATCGTTGTTGTCGGTTGATTGGCGGTCACGGGCTAATGGATCAAATTGGTCGTCGTCTTCCTCATCGTCATCTTCGTCATCGTCACAATCCTCGTCATCATCAGCATCGTCATCCAATGTCTTGTCCAGGAATGATCTAGGTCCATACCGAAGGATCATGATCACGAGGGATGTCACGTAAATTGTCACGAGATACAGCGCTCCGCCGACACCGACTCCCACGGCGGCACTGAGCCACAAGGATGCCGCCGTGTTGAGCCCATGTACTTGATGCATTTCATGATCACCGACAAAGAAGGATCCTTTCCAAATCAAAGCAGCTCCCAGGAATCCTACTCCACTCGGTAAGGCTGCAGCAACACGTGACGCGTCCCAGGTTTGTGTGGAACTCTTGAACGCCATGACACTTGAAATGGTATAGAAGCAAGCGCCCAGTGAAACCAATCCCATGGTACGTATGCCAGCAGGACGATCTGAAGATCGACGTTCGTAACTGTGTTTATTGTTGTAGTTGTCATCATGATGGCATGTAGTTCGTCAATGGTATTGGCAATAAGTAAGTCATGAGGTGGCTGAAAAGGAGGAAAGCACGCACAACGGCAAATTGTTATATAATCAGTACACTCACTTACCCAATGGCCCCCCCTAGAAGCACCGCCGTGAAGAGTCTTCTACAAATATCGCATTCTTCCAGGGTCAAGTAGCTCATGAAATGAAATCGTACGTATCGACAAGGATCGGTATCGTAGTCTGGATTGGGGTAGGGTTGTTCGGCTGTGGCTGTAAAATCTCCCGATCCCAGCAGTCTGGTGGTTTCGTCGTCCTCCACAACTGTTGAAGATGCTGGCAGGAACATGTCTCTTTGTTCTTCCGTGAGGCGACTGTAACACCAATCATCCTTGTCGACGAAGAAATTCAGAACAAAGGGTCCCACAAAGATCAATACGGAGTATAGAATAAACAGGACATAGCAAACTGCCAACAACATGTTCGCCTGAACAACATTATAGTAAGAAGGGGAAATGTAAGCTGCACTTAATAAGTAAGTTAGCTGGTGGTCATCCTTGTTGGACTGTTGCTTTGACTTACAACCAGGTAATCTGATTTATCAAATAGGATACCCCGAACACGTTGATGCTTCTTCTCCCATTTCGTCTTTTTCCGTCGGCTGGTGTCACTTCCTTGACTTCCTTGAGCACTGTTGCCTCTCCTGAGGAACGACAACCATGAAATCTCGGTGGCAGTCGATGTTTCTCGTTGGTGCCGGCTACTCCCTGGTTTTTGGCGTAGTGACGTGAGCACATCATCTCCTGATGCCATGGTCCCGAATCCTTGGTCAGCGCCCTGCAAGAGTCCCTCTGACTCGCTCTTGCTGGTGGTGGCCATTGTCTTGTTGTCTGTTATGATGACTGGATAAGATCTGTGGGGTAGCCAGAAAATGAAAAAATGGGTGAAGAAGAATCTTCTTGATTTGATGGATGGAAGACCGAGATACGTCAGCCTCTTGGGGTAGAATCTGGCTACATTATGGCAGCGCGAAACAGTGTGGTTGCTAAATGAACACCTCTTCAAAAATTTGCCGCTACGTAAATACTAACATAATAGCTGGATGGTCAGACAGACCGTACTGCTAGCTATGTGTGTAAATCTGGATCCATAAAAAATGAGGGTTGACACCTTGATCAGACAGCCTACAGCCTACAGCCAACGTCCAAGGTTGTTCTCTTTTAGAATAGATAGCAGCCACAACGAAAGATCGACCATGGCACCACCATCAACACAGCCAACCACAGCAGCAGAGAGCAGCGGTAGGGATGTCTATCCGAATAAGAGCCTCAAGAGAAAAGAGTCATTCATACTCGAAGTTGATCAAGGCTCCTGCAGTGTAAGTTTCTTGATTTTATTAAAACAGAGGAGATCTGAGTGTTGACTTTCTTCAATTCCAATTCCATTTTCTTGTGTATTTTAAAACTACCTAATAATTCAGGACAATGTGGTGATGGGTCTGTTCTGTCTGGTCATGATCGTGTTTACGTTTGTCATTATTTTTGGGGATGCTCTGTTGCTACCCAGGGATACTCTTGTCTGGTGTCAAGCGGCACAACGTGGAGCTCCCTTGAAGACATATGCCAATGTCGATGCGGTGCGAGATCCGTGCTACTACGAACGCAGTCTCTATCTATTGGGGTGGAGCATGTTCGAATGCGACTTTGGACGACGCATGATTGCCTCCGTCGTATTGGGAGCTGTGATTGGCTACGAACGCAAAGCGGCCGAGCGTCCTGCGGGCATAAGGACCATGAGTCTCGTTTGTCTAGGGGCTGCAACCTTTACCATGGGAGGACAATTCGCCTTTCGATCCTCCACCATGGGATGGGATGCCGCTCGTGTCAGTGCTGCCATTCCTTCGGGCGTCGGGTTTCTGGGATCCGCATTGATTTGGAAAGCAACCACTGGAGAAAAGGGACAAAATCAACGCAACCATGTCCATGGCATCACCACGGCAGCATCTGTCTGGTTGTCTGCGTCTGTTGGTATTGGAGCTGGAGGAGCACTGTATGTCATGTCCGTGTGGACGGTAGTGTTGGTGGTCTTTGTGCTGCGGTTAGGACCTAAATTGGCATTTGAGGGGGACGATCATGGTGGCAGTACAGCCAGTCTTACAACTGGCGATGATTCTGCAGATGATGATAGTGACGATGACGACGACGATGACGACGAAGAGGAAGCTTCTTTCAAACCCACAAGAATGGCACCACAACTCAAAGGTAGCAACAGACGAGCCACGGTTAGCGGTGGAGATGTTGTACCAAAGTCAGTCTCTTACCAGAAGAACTTTGATCAATTGCTCCGAGAATCCATGCGGATACAAAAGAGACAAATGCCGGCTCTTCACAGTGATTAGATACATGTAGTTGGAACGGTCACGCCAAGATAGTTTAGTTTGTTCCGGACCGAGGAAACAAGTCTATAATAATTGCTATTGCTAACATACATTTGGAATTTCTGTGTCAATCACAACAATCAACATGCTTGTCCGCAGTGCGGGCATTTTTTGTGGTGCACGGCCACTCAGAGGTCCTGCCTGGAGTCCGGTACATTTGGTTGGACTGAAGATGTCCTCAGGAATGGAAGGCTCTTGTCGATCCAGAGGTACGGTACTGGTAGGACTAGGCAAATTGTTTGTGTTGTTGGATCAGATAGATGTACCGTACGGTACTGTCCCTGGTACCAAGTCCAATGGTTCAGGCAACCAACATTATTGTCTTCAAAATTCTACTTGAGTTTTTCCAAGTAATCTGCCCTACACCTACGAGACAGGTTTGGTCGCCTTCATTTACGAATCTTTGACAGACCGCTGGCTTAGCTTCAGTACCAATTGCCTCTGACGTGGACACTGTCATCCAGACTTCGAAAGAATAATTGTTCGCATTGGATCTCTTCTTCTCTGTTCTTATAGAGGATGGCGAGAACTTCTTCCCAACAATTTTAGGAAGGGCTGACGGCAGTCGTTGAAAGAAACCACAACGTCATCGATTTTCCTTCAAGCTGGTCATTGCAATGCCATGGTTGCTCGAGGTCGGTGTCTTTGAATCTCAACCACCAGATGCTTTCTTCTCCACCGGATCACTTTTTCTTGAAGCCGGTCATCGCAACCAACTGAACCTTGACACTTTCTAGAAAGAATATCATCAAAGATCCATCACCATGAACTCTGCTCTCCGTAACACCGCTCGGTAAGGTCGACTGTCGGATCGGTTCAGACTGTATCGTTTGATTGTGGTGCGTTGGGTTTCTCACTGATTGTCTTCCCCTTTGCTTCGTTCTGTTCAGTGTGGCCATGACCACTGGCCAACGCCGCTGCCTTTCTTCTTCTACTCCCGAGCATGCCTTTGTCAAGATGCGTCAAGCTGAAAGCAGCAAGTCTTTCGCCCAAACCTGGATGAGCGATCCTGCCACCTACCCCATCATTGGCGTTCTTGGCATTGCCTGTGGCATGTGCGCTGGGGTTGGATCCTACTACTTGATGGCGTGCAAGGATGTGCAAATCAACCCTGCCAAGCGCGGCGATGTCATTCGCACCTGGGGACAGAACAAGAACCGTTTCGGACACGGAAACAACTAAGAAGACAAAGAGAGTGTGACTAGATTCTGTTGGTGAATGGAAAGCAGCAGTGGATGGTGGAGTGTATGAGGAGGTATGATGATTGCATCATGGAGATTCGATTCTGTTCGATTGAATCAATTGGATTCACTTGGGTGTGGTTCCCTGCCGTGTGGCTTCCAACACATGACAAGCCACCTAGCTAGCTGTAGCCGTCGGGAGTGGTAATCCTTGCTGTGCAGCAGTGGAATACGTACTACTAGCTAGAATGATTCAATCTCCTGGCTAGATGACTTGCAATATACTGTTGTATTCCGTATCTAAGGCAAGTAGTAGTAGCCTTACACGGCCAGCACCAGCATGCTCGCTTCTATCCCGGATACGTCGTGTTGCCAGAGCTGGAGGCAAGTGGTGCTTTCAACAGCAACATGATTAATTTAGTGTTACGTTTTGCTGCTTTTGAACTCACTATCTCAGCAACATGGGCGGGGCACGACGTCATTTTAGTACTGCGGGACAAAGTTCCTCTTCACCCGTTTACCCGTGCCCTGGTGCTCATTGGAACCATCTGCATCCACAGCAAAGTCCTTCAAGGCTAGTTTACGTTTGCGGGTGCGGCCGCCAGAAGACGGCTCACTGCATTTGCTGTCGTCATCGCAAGTGGAACCTTCACCATTCTTCCGCTCGCAGTCAGCGTCATCGCAGCATTCAAAAGCATCTGGCGCCTCCACGTCTTTGAGAATGTCTTCAAATGTGCTCTTGGCGAACAACGAATTCGTGAACGAACTAAAGAGCTTGGGAGTGTGTCGTACGTATAGGCTGCCTTCGTCGCTTGGCATGGCATAGTCTTCCATGGTGTCTTCACGATTTAGGTAAACGCGTGTGGTTGTGCTATTGAGCTTTCGCAATTTCCATGGAGAACTTCGAAAGAAGAGCTCATTCTCAAAGTCTGCATACCACACCGCATCATTGCTGTCTGCCAGTCCTCCCAAGCTTGATAGAATAATATCTGGCTGCTCAGCAGTAACCGAAACATCAAACCCAATAGCTTCCTCTCCTTGGCAAGTTTGCGGATCAGAAGGTGTTTGTTCCACCTTGATCTTTGGCAAAGCCACAAGGAACCAAGTCATATCATACAGTTTCAATTCAAATTTGCCACCAAACTTCTCTTCAATTACCGCCCTTTTTTCAGTGGTGTTCTTGTTCTTCCCGTAGTTGTCCTGGGCCATGATCGTGCTTTTGAGCCTTTCTCTGTACTGTGCCTTCTCCTCCGCGCTTGCCATTTTTCCCATACTGTACGTGTCTGCCAAGGAATCTACCGACATATTCGCGCTGGCCAAGCTCGAATATTTGGTTTTCCCAAGGGACTTCACAAAGGCTTGGACGTTCATGAACTCATCCAAGGGATCTTCCGATTCCTCATCAGTATCTTCTTCTTCATCATCGAACTCTCCGAGGGCATCCTCACCTTCCACGATTCTGCACCCCAACTCTTGTTCCATCTCGTCGTCATTGGCGTCACTGGTCAGCCCAAGCGTATCCGATACGGCTGCCACAGCATTCTATGAAAGCACCGTAGAGTGCGCATTGACCAAAGGGTTTTGGGATTGAGTATGTATAGAATGCATGTGGTCGAGGCAACAAGAGAAGCTGAACTGACGACTCATCTCGACTCGACTCGACTCACCTCAAAGAAGTTTACCAAAGCTTCGTTCAATCCACCTGTAAGGTCAAACTTGAGCCGAAGACCTGTTTTGAATTCCTCAAGCTGATACCAAGGTGGAGCAACCACGATGGTCTCTAGATTTGTGGCCGCAGACATCTCTTGAGTGACCGATAGCTGCCCTCTCACGGCGATCTCGATGGCGTTGTACAATCGACCAAAAATGGTCAGGGCTGTGCCGACTTCTGCCTCTGCCTTCAATCGCTTTCAGCCAGAAGAGAGGACAACAGAGTTAGGACCAACCTGTTACAGATTTGACGTTTTCATAAACGGAACATTGCTTACACCTTGGATTTTTGGGTTTTTGATGTCCCTGGTGAAGTCCTCTTTGAAAAAAGTGGTGTAGTTGTCAGGTAATTCAAGAGAGGCTCCAAAGTCCATTTTGTATTTGAATTCGGCTTCCCAAGAGGCATCAACCTCTAGAGCCATAGAGGTAGATGCAATCAGCTCAACATTCATCCCGTAAGACAAAATCACAGGGACTACACCGACGCTGAATATCTTCCATACACTCTTTTCATAGAGCTGCTTCGGTTTGGGCTTCCAGTTGAGGGTCGCAGAAGCTTGCAATTTGCCATATATCTTTGCGTCAATAGCACCCGAAAACTTTACGGTTCCTCGGAAGAGTTTCTTATCCTTCATAACAGTCAGTGTGGCTACGACTTGAGCACGCGCACCCAGTTTCAGTCCCAGGGCAAATTTGCCCTCAAGCGTCAATGATACTCCAGTGTCTTCACCAATCTTCTTCTCACCCTTGCAAAACAAAGCCCGGTCAAAGTCCGGAACCTGAATGCTTAGAGAGCCAAGTTCCAACTCGTTCACGTCCTTAAGGATCTGCTTGGGGTCTCCTGTTAAGATGACGCGCCCGATGCCCTTTGCCACCTCAACAGCTGTCTTGATCACGCTACCAACCGTCTCTACTACATCTATGATGACTTCGCCGACTTTCTCGGCCACTCGTTTGACAAAGCGAGCAATGGCGCCCCAAAACTCAGCCCTTGCTGCTGGAGACACTTCATTCGATTCGTCGTTGTTGGCTATTGCCATGAAATCAATCTCAGTAAAAACATCTGTGATGTCAATGGGTTCAAAGAACCATAATTGACAAGTGTCGGTGGAGAAAAGAAAGTCCTCGTCCAATAAGCGCCCCATCACCTGGCCACCATCATCATCTCTTGCAAAGAAAGTCATATTTTCTTCGAACTTGGTCTTGACGATCACAGGGAAATCGTCAGGAGTAGCACTTTCAATGAGAATGATCCCAAGCTCTCTTTCGACCCAAATGGACAAAGTTTCTGAGGGGGGTGGTACTGCTATCAACCCTGGGAAACCGTCTTCAAGCTGCGGCATCATTGTTGAAGTGGAAATCTTCATACCCTGCCTGTTGTAGGAGTACAGCGTGATGTTCTCTGGATCATAAATGATCTTCGACGTGATCAGGACATTGTATTCTCCCCCAGGTTCAAGGTTTTGCCATCTGTAGAATCCCTCTACTGTATATGGGAGTTCAACCCGCATAAGACCACCACGGTCAACCAACTCGAGGAGATCTTCATGCAGATAAACTCCTCGAGCGAAGTCAAAATCTGAACCACCCAGCCAAATATCGTACGTTTCATTGCTTGTTTGCGGGGGAGTGAAGTTGTTGACGAGTTCAGTTACAAGGTAAGGAGGCAGGGCAGAGCAGATCTGGAAAGAGGAGACTTACCCACAGAACACAACCTCATCATCGTCGAACAAGTAGCTGCAGAAGTTTGAAAGAAGCAAGCAAACATGTTGGTGAAGACGAAGGTGATAGCTGCAAGTCTAAACAGGAAAGCGCAGGGCCAAAACTTACGACACGGCTGGTGACCAGTAGATTTCCAGTGTTCCATTCTCGTACGTGCATACTTCGTCGGCACCTAGAAAAGCTATCCATGTGGTCTCGTCTATACATCGTCTGGATGCTTGCACTGTTGGCTGCTGTGAAATGGTTGGATTGGCAGATGGTTCTGCAGAAAGTGTCGGAGATTCCGAGGGAGACGCAGAAGGAAGAGGTGGGAACGTAGGTCTTGGCGTTGTTGGCATAGGCGCGGGAGTTTCATCACTGGCATCAGGGCAAGAGCCACAACTCCAACCGTCATCCGATCGATACAACCAGGGAGTATCCGAACATCTCTCGAGATTTTTGTCCTTACAAATCTTGTATTGGTAGCAACCAAAGAGGCCATTTTCTTCACATCTTTCCGAACAGGCGTCTAGCCGAGCGGGACCTTCTCGAGCTCGGCCGTCATCTTCTTCTTCAGAGTCTCTATTGCCGAACAACCCAAGCTTTCGGGTCTCTTGCGCCTTTTCTTCGCCGTTGGCTCTTGCAGCGAGCGGCGAGCACAACGAGATCGTCGCGATCAAGAGGGCCGTACAGAAAGTAGAGATCCTCATCGGTCTTCGGCTGTAGACTGCTCCCGCTACCTGTACCAGTAGCTCGATGTTGCAACACCAAGCTACAGGAGCAGACACAAAATGGTAGAGTCAGTCTGCCATACTCTGCTCTGCTCTTTTTGACCCATAGTGCGGACGCGGGGCAACTGAGATTGGAGCGACCTTGACAGCATTTTGGCGGTATCCATATTATCAGGATTGGGGAGGGCACGATCCTCGCCGCCTAATCAACGACCTCTAAATTGGTGGATGATGCCTGGCTAGCTACGGTAAGCTTGTAGTGGATCTTCAGTTCAAAAAGCTAAGGTGCGCTGAGCTCGCCGATGGACAGGACCTAGCGGGGGGAGTCTGCATTTTCCTCGAAATTGTGAGTACATTTATTTGGAAAGACCGGTACTTGCCGGTTCGGTGGGCTTACAACCTTGGAAAGAGCACTGGCACAACTCCCTTTGAAAAAGGCTTTCGCTCAAGCGCAGCCTCAGTCCCTGGCGCGAAAGCGGTAGAAGGCAGTGATCTGATTGGCTAATCAACCTATGACATCAGCAAATGCGTCAGGAAAGATTCAAATATACTTAACGTACCATCAAATATACTTAACGTACCATTTATAGATATTACGGAGTCAATGTGCTACCAAATGGCGAATTTCTTCTTTCGGTTTTCGCGAAAGAAGGATTCCGTTGTGGATCGATCTGCGACAATGACATCCTGCCGCTCCCTTCCAGTCATTACAATTACAGGCAAGCAGCACCATCAAGCAGCACCATCATGACCGAAACAGCAGCAGCAGCAGCAACAGCAGCAGCAACAACACAAAATGGAGGAATGGGTTGCCAAAGTCAACAGAGGAACTCGCAACAGAAGAGAGCATATCAACTCGCCTCCAACAACAACAACAACAACAACAGATCCAAGAGAGCGAGAGAAGAAGGACCACAAACAACACTGGAAGGAGTGGTAGCAGAAGTCTTTGATCCACTCAAGAACTGTGTCATCTGTAAGGCCAGACATCTTGGTCTCAGAGTCCCCAAGAGATCACACTCTGTCTTCTGTATTAAGAATACAATAACAAAAGGACAAGGACCGTTGAATGCGCTGACCATGGAGATAATCAAAGAAAGCAGAAGACTCACCAGACAATTCAGTGCTCCTCTACCACTGAATGAGAGAGGAAGCTGGAGGCATTCCACAAGAGAAAATGGAGAAGCATTCTTTGCTGCTAGAACCAACACAGCCAAACCAAAGCAGAGCCGGCAACAACAACAAAAGGCAGCAATGGCCACTCCAGTAGCTCTTTGTCAAAAGGTAACCACTCTTGTAAATGATACTGCCTTTGTGGAAAAGCACAAGAAGAAAGGAGCACCACTGGCAATGCTAGCAATGGCAGAAGCAGTGTCAGAATCCATTACCAGGGCAAAGAATCCAGAACTCTTCCACAAACACTTCCAAGGTTTTACCATGACAGTTCCCTCCACAGAGGAGCAATTCGAGTCTCCTCACTACCACTCCATTGTTGGGCAGAAACTCCTTCTTGTGGACTGGAATCGGTGTGGAATTACAGTTCCTTGTCCCGATGGAAGATGCTCTGGCAAACTCAAGAATACAAGGACAAACTGGTCACACAACAAGACCTTGTTCCCCATCTTTGGCATCACTGGTCCTCCTTCTTGGTGTATGGTCATGTCCATGGTTTGTGGAAGCTGCAACAGAAGATTCGATGCCAACTCTGCAGAAGTGCTGGTCTCGATCCCAGACCACGCTTCATTGCTCTATCCAGTGGAGACAAAGTACGCTCTACCTAACAAGACTTGTCACTTGGACAGAACAGCTACTGAAGTGTTCGACGCTATAATGGTTACCTATGGAAATGGAGAACTCTGCAGTCGGCTCATCTATAATGCAATCAACAGACAGTTCATTAGGGCCATGGCATCATACTTCTCCTATTGGCAAGGAAGTGAAACAGATCCAGATCCCTTTCTTCAAAAGGATGGAACTTACATCAGACAGTATCCTCCCCTTGGTGACACCATCCGTGACATCTATGATGCTGCTTGTGCTTCCAACAGGAATCCGTGGAGGATCAGTGACAACCAAAGGCACACAAGAGAGATCCAAAGTGTCAGTTGCAACAAAGGAATCTTCTGTCAAGACCATACCTTTCAGGTGGTCAAGAACTACTCCAAGAGTCTTGGTGCTGCTGCTGTTTGGGATGCTGCTACTGAGACTGGAGAGATTGCTTCAGCAGTTCTGGTTCCCACCACCAAGACAATCCACTTCTCCCATGCTGCCATGCAGCTAGCAAGGAGGAGCCACTTCAACCCAGCTGCCATGTGCAGCGACACCTGGCCCCACAAAAATGACTACTGGGAGATACTCTTTCCAGGAATCGAGGGAAGGTTAGGCCTGTTTCATTATGAGAAGAGAATCCTGTCAACTTTGAGAAAGGGACACATTGATCACTATCAAGCTATGTCAGACCTCTTGGATTGCTTGTATGTGTACTCACCTGATGACTATGAGAAGGTGCTGCATGCTCTGAAACATGGTCTACTATCCACCAATGGCAAGTGTTACTCTATGGCTGAGATCTCCGACATGCAAGCCTCCAAGGTGTTCAGAGCTAGGTACTCCAAGTATCTAAGGAAGAAGATGAGAGAACCAGAGACCATGAGACAGAAGTTGCAACAGTGGTTCTGCAGATACAAGGTGACTGCCAGTGATGGTAGCCAGCCAGGACAGGGCCGACTGGATCCAGTCAAGAACTTTACCTTGTTTACTTCTGATACCAAACCAGCAGTAGAGAACTGTGTTGACAAAGCCATTCACTTGGCTGATCCCCTGGCACTGGAAGACATGTATGACACCATCCTACCATCACCCAATTCCAAGCACAACCTCCCAGAGTACTTATCAAGGAGAGGAGAATCCAAGTTAGAAGCGTTCCATGACAAGTTTGCCCATTTTGGCAATGGTGGAATGAGAAGGAGCCTTGCTGATGCACTCAACTTGGCTGGAACTGCAAGATACAACCTCAAGATTAGACACAAGAGAGCCTTCCTGTCAAGAATTAGTGTGGCAGAGAGGAGGTCAATTCCAGCCGGATGGGAAAATGTTGTACCTTACTGGAATCATTCAGAGTTGACTTACCTGAATCAGCTAGCACTGGCTGTGGGTGTCGATGAACCATTTCCAAATGCAGAGCCCTTGCCACAGGACACTGGAGAGAGATTCTTCTCAGAGTTCATTGTTGCATTCAAACCACAGAGACAAAGGTATGCACCAAATGATTGTTGTTTGTGTGTGGCTTGTACAGGACCAGAACCACCGACTCCACCAGCAGAGCCACCAAATCCACCAGCAATCGATCCACCGACTGCAACAGCATTGGTTCCAGCGCCGCCGCCACCACCACCACCTCCAGTGCCACAAACAAGAAATGTATATGTTGGTAATTTGATTCTATACCAGCAACAACAACAACTTCAAATGATGCAACTTGCCATGCAAATGCGGCAATTCCAACCAATACTGCCATCTCCTTTCCAGCCACCTCCACCGATGGGCTGCTGTCAGAGATACTGCCAGTGGTTGACTCATAGGAGAGGAAGACCACCTCATGATGCCAATTGCCAATCTAAATTTAGTGGATACTCTGCATACAAATAAGAACAAATTATTAGATGTGACAAATTCGTTTCTAGTAATGTACCCATTACTAACTTACATTGGTTGGTTGTTGTTGCCATCAATAAACATAGCAAATTGGGGTCGCAGGCCTCCAGAATACTCCAGATCTTCAATACACAAAGTCACAAACTCCTCATTCATCATACTAAAATCCTTAAAGGAAAATTTGTCTTGGTACCACTGGATGTAATACCCATGCCAAGCAGCCATCACAATCTGCCCTTCATTGGAGGATAAGTCATAGCTCTCACTGATCCTCTCCTTCACTAACCAATAGATGCACTCCATGAAGATTTCCTTCCTTTCACACGGATCTGGTCCCTCCAACATTTCAAAAAGGGTGGAGAGAACAGCTCTGTACCATGGGCGACTCTTCTGAGGTCCCCAATAATACATGTAATCCATGATGTTGGTCATGGCAGGAGGAAGAGGCTTGCATCCTCCTTGCAAGATCATCTCCTCAAGAATGTGCCCTGTAAATTCGATTGCGCGAGAACAATGTTTTTCGTTGTTGGTGAATCGGCGATCTGCATACTGTCCTTCAAAGATCACATACTTGCAGGTGAATCCATGCCTTGTGGCCCTCAGCTCATTGAATGGGTATCTGTTTACACTAAGCAGCCACTTGGAGAAGGAAGCAGTTATTGCGATCCTCATTGTCGGTAGAGGAAGGGTCGGTAGTCGTATCGGTAGAGGAAGGAGCGTCCGTAGAGGAAGTAGGAGTAGTAGTGGTTGTTGTTGTTGCCAAGAGTCTTGCCCCTACCCACGTAGGCGCTGACTTCAAGACAAAATAGACCAGCAAGTTGTTGTTTTAGTAGTAGTAGTAGTTGTTGTTGTTGTTGTATCGGTAGAGGAAGGAGCGGAGCGTTGGTAGAGGAAGGAGCGGAGCGTCGGTAGAGGAAGGAGCGTCGGCGGTAGAGGAAGGAGCGTCGGTAGAGGAAGGAGCGTCGGTAGTGGAAGCAAGGATAGAAGGATTAGTAGCATGCCATTGTCGCCATTGTGGATAGAAACAACAACACCGACACCGAGAACAACAACAGCAGCAGCATTCTTACCTTGTACGACCTTGAATTATGGCTGGGAGGGTGTGGTGCGAGCGAAGGATTGGGAAAAAGTATCCGTTGATGAGATTTGAATTCTGTGATTCAACCGTACTTCCTGACGTATTTTCTTGTTCTTCGGATGTCTTAGGGGAGAAGAGTTATGGGAGTGTTGGAGTCATTGCCGTTTCCCCTCTCTCAACGATATTTACATGCTCTCACAATGACTCGATCTTTGCCCTGCAGGCTCTCAAACGGGAATCAGGAATCCAAAGGTTAACCCTCTCCCTCTTCTTCTTCTTTTTCCCTCCCCCGCGCTCATGCCTAACCCCCCCATAAAGTCTCAATGAGGCGAACAGTCGGAAAGGGCGATTTGAGGTAATGTTTACATAGCAGCTTGAAAGAAGCTCGAAAGCCGCTCTGTGCAAGCTTCTTCAGGATTTCCTAAGAAGCTGCTCCAGTTTGCCGTGGGCTCGAGCCAACGTTTACATAGCAGCTTGAAAGAAACTCGAAAGCCGCTCTGTGCAAGCTTCTTCAGGACGATTTCCTAATAAGCTGCTCCAGTTTGCCGTGGGCTCGAGCGAAGATAACCTAGCAATCAAATGGAAAACTTGCATTGAACTAGACTAGTAGCTTGCATGCTGGGCAGAATTCATACCCAAACTCACACACCAGTCCAGCTAACTGGCTCAAGAGTCGCCAGCACTGTTTTCGTACTTCATATTTTCGTCGTCAAAAACAAGCCATGTGCTTGTCCCAAACGCACTACCAGTACTAAGGAGCAACGATTGATTCAGGCTTCCTCGGCATCATGAATGGAAGCCTCTCGCTCTTCAGATAGTTACTCCTCGCGCAGCCCCGTTGCCCCGTTTCTCAATCGTTGTGATTCTGACTTTTGGTTTCATGTAGGCACCATCACCGCAACTATTGATTGCGGAGTCTAGCTAGCAAAGTATAAAAAAGTTGGCTTCATCTCCGTAATTCGGAACAAGCACAAGTATTGCCCTGTTGCTTTGTTGTGTTAGCAAGTAATCCAAAAAACGTTGGAACTCCACCGTGTGCGGCAGCTGCAATGTCGCTAGCTTAGGCACTTGTACTGTTCACAATGACAATAATAAGAACAACGAGACCAATAACCGGGGAAGGAAGACTCAATAGAAATGCCTTGTAGTTGTCCTGCTCTTGCTTGTATTGCCGCCATTGGACGATTGAAGCCCAGATCAGTAGTGCAGGTACTCCCAACAGGAATATATAAAATAGAAATCTGGATGTTCCGGTTGTTGGGTTATCCGCAAACAGGAGGCCTGCCATGGAGAGGACGAGCAAGGCAAGACAGGAAAGGAGACCCGTTGTGGCTGTCGACACACACAGCCAAAGAAAAAGCCATGGTCCCTGGTGGAACACTTGTGTGATGCCCCCATCATCCCCTTGATGCGACTGCAATAGAAGCGTCGAGGGATTGGCGACTCCTGATGAACCTGCAGTGTCGGCAGCGCTTTCCGGTCTTGTGTCGGAATGTAGTTGGTAGCTTGTCATATCTGACCTCTGAAGACTTCCAATCTTGAAACGATTGGGTCTGCTCTTTCTCTTCAATCGGTGCTGCTGCTGATGAACTCAGTCAATCTCACTTTTCTCTTGTTGCTTGCTTCGTCTGGACCTTACCGAAACAGCGAAAGTCCGTTGAACCAGAAATAGATCAGCAGCACACCAGCAGGGCCTCTGCAATGTTTGTATGGAGAAGTTGCCAGGGTGAGGTACGTACCGTACATGTATGGTTTCAGAGTGTTCAACGTCAACTCGGCGAGCGGTTTGCTCGCTGCGGCTAGCGGCTGTTGCAAGTTCACAAAAAGGGTTAGCGTTGTCCCAGTCGTGGATACAAAAATATCAAGCGGAACTACTACATGTACTAATAGAAAAACTAGCTAGCTAGCTAGCTAGTAGTAACACGGCTGTAATTGATGAACGGGGGCTTTGAGTAGGTAGATTATCTACGGAAGAGAATGAATCCAGTTTACAAGCTCTAGCTAGCTAGGGTTGCAGCATCCAAGCCAATCCATGAATGTCATTTCATCGGGGACAAGACAGGCAGGGCCAGTTGGATTGGATTGTAGGGTACATGCAGATTGGCACCAGGCGGGAAGATGGCCATGCCCATGGCCGAGTTTTCCGTGCCAAGTGCTTTTTTTGGAGGTGGCCATGCGAGATAATACATCTTGCTGCTGGAGCCCTCAGCTAACAGGCTTGGTTTTTGATTGGTTGAGCTTCCAAAGCTAGCTAGGACTGGAGCTGAGTTCCGTTTCATGTTCAACACTGCAGATTGAATTGAATCTGCAGTAACAGCACTGGTACGAAAATCAATCCAAACGCAAATTGAAAGAGCCACATCCAACTAACTCAACCGGAAAAACAAGTCCACCGCAACACCCATTCAAACCATCAACCCCGACACAGGAATCACCTTTCATAGGATGATAGGCGATTAGTAGCAAATTAATTAATTGGTGAAGAAACGAATTCTCATTCACTGCAAGTTGTAGTTCCTGACTCAGCTCGTAGCTAGTTAGGCTAGCTAACTATTTGTTCTGTACAGTTTTTTTGGTGAGTGAGGATCCCTTTGCCAATTCGCCGCAGAGGGTGGAGCGGAAACCAGCCGAAGATTGCCTGCAAAAAAGAGGGCAGGATTTTGGTTATAGAAAAGATGTTTTACGCTACGGTGCATTGCCCATACTGTACCAAGGATATACATGCGCAGAGATGCGGTACTGGTACGAATGCAGTAGCTACTCTAGCTAGAGTTGAGTGATTTCGTCATTCGTTGCAGCTCGAACTTGACCTAGTCTTTCTCTTAAAGTTTAGTAGTGAGTAGTTATTAGTTGCTGCTGACTTATTTTCTGTTTGTTTGTTTGTTTCTAGTACTTGGAAGCCGCCGCCGATTGTGCCAATCGTTGCTGTCGATTGTATTCCGTTTCCTTTCCCTGAAACTTTGGATCGGTGATCATGTATTGCACGGGTCCAATGGCGGAAATGAGTGCCTGCAGATTGGTATAGTTTGGATATTTGGCCTTCCACTGGTGCAAATGGGGATCGTCGTGGTTGTTGTTACTGTCGTCATCGGACTCACGGGTAGAGCAAGCCGGAAAGGGCTCTAATTTTTGTCGCATGGCATCGTTGTGTCCTAGATCGGCATCGTGAATGCGTCGTTTGGGCATCATCATTTTCTGATGACTGCCATGGCCTCCCTTGAGTGTCAATTCGGCGGTATCGGGGTACGTCACGAGAATATTGGGTTGTTGAAAGTAGGGATGATCTCCCACCATAGCGGTACCACAACATGCGGCAATGACGCGTTGGGTATTGTATCCCTTATTGGGCGCAATCAAATAGACTTCCAAGTGTTCTCCGCCTTGTTCGATTTGCAGACAATTGCGAAAGTAAATCAAATCGACGGCAGGATCCGAAAATCTAGGACCGCCGCGTTCTCGTTGACACCACTGCAATGCCAAGCGACAATCCACACAACAACATTCCAATCGATTCACGGGAGGACCGGCAATCGAAAGAATCACATTGCCACACGTGCATTCCAATTCCGCCGTGGGAGGACCGCGGCGTGCGGCGGCTTTTCCCGTCGCTTTGCTAGTACTACTGACTGGAGCTTCCACAGGCGCTGGTTTGCTGGCGGGAATTGCTTTGGGACGAGCTGCTTCGAAACGTTTGGAGGATGCCACAGGAGCTGTTTTGGTCGTCGTAGTACTAGTAGTAGCAGGCTTTGGGGAGCTCAATTTCGAGGGTTGGGAAACACCAGGCAAATCAATCACATTGAAACGAGCCGTCTTGTTCACATAACAACTGCTTCCAGGAACAACTGGGTGAGGACTATTATCCTTCGCCATCTTGGTTGACACGGTAATTCAATTCTTAGATCAGCAGTAAAGTGTTTGATTGCTTGATGTTGTGAGCAAAAGATTGCGGAAGATCGGAAGGATTGGCAATTGGCATCTCGAAGGTCATTTGTGTCCTGGTTAGTAGCCAGTAGAGCTGTCTATACCGGTAGTCATCCAACTCGAGGCGTTGCTTGTCGTTGTTGTGGCTGTGCGCATACCGGTACTAGTACAGTGTAGTCTACCGGTACTACGGTACACTACTACAGTGTAGCTAGTCTAGACTGCCGCAATATGCAATTTACAGCGTGAAGGCGGGTATGATCGATAGACTGACAATGACAACCCTCACCTTAAGCAAAACAAAACACCTTGTGAAGAAACGACAGACGCTGTTGTTGCGACAATGATGGGTGGATGAGCTGGTCGCTGGAAGGTCACGGTTGGGGGGGGTTGGTTCTGGTTTCTTCTGCTTCATAAAAAATAAATAGCTGTCTGATACTGTCCGTGGACCATGGAGAACGACAATCGAGCAGAGGTACCGGTACCTCTGGTAGTTGCAGCCCAAGAAGACGGGGATGACGACCGCCCTGCTGCTGCTGCTGCGGATGGACCACCGCGCAACCCCATGGGTCCCCACGGCGTTGGGCGCATGGAGTTGTCGTCGGAGAGTCGAGAATTCTCACAAGCCTGGAATCTCGTGAACGCCCTACTAGTAGAAACCGAACCGAAACAGACGCCACTCAAGAGTGATTTCGAATACGTCCAATTTGCCATTGCGGAACCGACGGATGTAGAAGCCGCTCTGGAACGAATCAGTATGCTGCAACACTTTCGAAGCGAACACCGCATTCAGGACACGGTACATGATGGTGTTATGGCGGTCTTGGAGGCCATGACTCTGTTTCCTGGATTCTTGCTCTCCCTCTCGTTCACCAGCACGGACACTGCGGGAGAGCACTACACCCTTGCCATGGACAGCGCCAAGTTGAATGCTAGACTCTTGGCTCGACCGGATGGACACCCCAAGGCCGCACTAGCGAAAGCCATGTATTACATCTTGCAAGCTGCCAATCCAGATTTGGAAGCCATGCGACAGGGACTTTTGTGTTTTATCGAATGTAATGGATTCGATTGGAAAAAACACTTGACCGTAGCCCTCTTCCAAGAAACACACAACGATATTGTCTTGTTTTATCCCACACGCTGGTATCAGGCCAATCATTTTCACACTGGGTTTTTCTACAACATGGTCATGGCCATGGGACGACCCTTTCTCTCAGAGCAACTACGTCAAAAAATACGCATGGGATGTGTATCGCCTGCTGGTCGATTAAACAGAATCTATTTGCAGCCCAATCTGCACACTGCAAATGAGAGGTTCCTTGGCAGACTCAACGATGCACTGCACCGAAGGTATGCCAATGAGGTTTCCTTTGTTCTACGACCGCCCGACTCATCAAACGACGACGGCAATGGAGACGATTGATTGATTGATTGATCAGCAGCCCTAGCACGCGTCATGGCCATAAGGAGCGCCGAATCATGATTCATTCCACATGTCGACAATATCGCAAGCTGATCTATGCAAGATCATGCTAGGATTTTCTATCCTTCCAGCAACTGATGCTTGGAGGGATTGAGCTACAAATCTGGGAAGGAGATTTGAATTGACCTCAAGGGGGAAGGCACCGCTACGGTACCTCTAGCTACGGTATGATCATTCTCGCTCGACAAGCATTAAAAAACAAGTGGTTCTTCTACCTTAGCTATCATGTTTGATCATTCACTCAATCCAATCCGGGGATGAAACCCCTTCGAATGCTTCACTTTTCCTCGTGCTGAGAGTCTGACCGATTGGAGTCAATCACAAGATTCTTTGCCTAGAAAATGAACAAAAAACTTCTCAGTCTTGGTTCGCGAAGGATAACACCTACGCTATCGCTTCGTCGAGGAAAGCAGCTACTAGTACCTGGTACTAGCTGGAGAGGAAAGCTGCTCACCCCGAACGGTATGTCACACCCAGACTACTTGTGTTTCAAGGTAAAAAGGTAAATACAAACTAGATTACTCTCTACTAGTGTACAACCTCGAATGAATGCATCTGAGTGGCTACACCACCAGCAACGAAAGGGCCCTTCTTTACGTTTTGCTCTCTTTCCGTTCCAGTTGTGCTTGTTTGTACCATTGTTATGTAATGGTACAGCATGCCAGATCGTCGTGCCTCCATTCGAGTAAGTTTAGTTTCGTCAACTCGCCTTGGATCCATCCTCCCGTGGTAGCATTGGCTTCTTTTATTTCGCCCGTTTGCTAACCACGGTCTGCCTCTTTGGATCGATTCGATTCACTGCTCTGCACAGTAGCATTTCGATTCACTGCTCTGCACAGTAGCATTGGCTTCTTTTGCTTCGCTCGTTTGCAAACTACTACGTTCACTGCTGCTGCTCCGCGCAACACCACTGTGTGGGTTGTACTCGCAACCAGTAATAGAGTGTGGCCAAATCTTCCGTCTCGCTGTACTGATAATGCCTTCGACTCTTACAAGTGGCAGCGGTAATCAATGCCTGTTTCCATTCTCGTTCGGTGGAACTCCCTCTCATGAGATGCGATCGTTCCTTGCGATTGAGTTGTGTGTAGAATTCGAGTTCCGGCGTGGCAATGCGGAGCGGAAGCTCTTCTTCGTGATTATCATCGCGGTAGAGTTCAAAATCCTGCAGGGTAAAATTGTCTTGCTCCAGCACGGGTGTCAACAATTCCGGAATGGATCGGGTCGCCTGGGCGTGCTCTGTCATGGATGTGGCAAAGATACCAGGGGCGGTGTTGGTCTTGCTTTCGATTCCTTCGTCGCGCAACGAATGTGTGTCATCGTTATTGTTACTTTGTTGTTGTTTGTTGTTGTTGTTGGATGATAGGATCAATGTCAATGCCTTGAGTGTTTGATTTCGTTTCAACCCTTGTGTGAGAGTGACCATGTCATTGTCTTTGGTCTCACTGGGCAAGTTGGACAGTTCCAGCTTTTGCAGAGAAGAAGTGTTGTCCAACAATACTTGTTTGATCTGCTTTAAGTTTGTCATGTTGTGACAATCCATGCTGAGACTGTTTAGTTTGGTACTGGTAGTGACCGCCTTCCAAAAGTCTAGTGATGTGGGATAGAACGGCAGCGCCAGTGACTGGAGTCGTTCCTGTTGAATCAACTTGGTGACAGTGGCTTCCATGACATGCTGTTGATTCGGTGCTTCTTCTTGACTGAGCATAAACACATTGAGTGTGAGATGCTCCAAGTTTGGCAAGGACTGTTCCAACACTTTGAGAATATCTTGTAGTAATTCCATTGTCATGCGCGTGGATTCAATGGTGAGTGTCTCTAGATTTTGCAATTTGGACAGCGCATTCCGGATCATACGACTGTTGTTGTTGTTGCTATTGGCGACCAATGGTTGAATATCGAGATTCTCCATTTGCACGTGAGTAATCCATTCCTGTTGTAAATGACTCAGGACAAAGGAGAGTTCATTCTCGTAGACGCGTCGTGGCGCACGAGGTTTGCTGCCCGCTAGTGCTATTTCCAAACAACCCCGACGCAATACGCGTCGCATCATGCGCTTGTGATGTTTCGATGGAAAATCCGTCATGCAATTCAGAAATTTACCACCCATTTGTAGTCGACGGGGAATCATCGAGGCTTGCTTCTTTTTCAAGGCGCGAGAGACATCCGCATACGAGTTCAAACACAGAGTGCCAAATACATAGTCCGGTTTCGGTGTTGTCGTCGCATGGTTCTTGCTGTTGTGAGACGGCGTAGACGAAAAGAAGAGCCGACGCTCCTTGCCTTCACTGTGATGTTGCGTTTGAATGTTGCCCATCTCTCTCTCTCTCTCTCTCTCTATCTTGTCGTTCTCTTGTTGTTCTTTTGTCTTTGGCCTCTTGTCTTTTTGTTGTTCTTGATGGAACGGATCGAAATGCAGTTATGGCCAAGAAGGGTTTCCTTGAGGCTTCGCGTTGTTTTGGATGCTTGGTTGGTTGAGGCGGAGGCTGTGGCGCAGGGGTTTCTCACCCCGGTCTTTCCAGCAGCTGGCCCACCGGATCCATTCAAGTCTCTTCCGCGCCATGGTCGAGAAGTTGAGAAGCAGAGAACATCACATCTGGAACGCGGAGAACAACAGACCCAAAAGCAAGCTTTAGCCCGATAGTTGAGGTAATAATAAGGTTAAAGATGTAAATGACTACTGGTATTTGTATTCCAAATAGAGCTTACCGCATCCACCTCGAACCAGAGGACGGCTGGCTCTGTCCCAGTTGTCCAGTCTCAGTCTTCTCATTGGAAAGGTGTCAACGAAGACAGCTGTTGCGCTTTCGGGAGAAAAAGAAGGGAAGCGATGACGTCGAGCTTTCCAAGGATCTTTCCTTCTCTTGATCAAAGCGAGCAGCACAGGTGATCCACCCAAAGCCGTTGGCTCACCAAGGCATCGTTTGCGTCCATTCTCCACTCTGGGAACCATACGTAGTGTTTTTGTCTCAAAGTACATCTATGCATTGCCGATCATGTCTTCTGATAGTGGTACCACCGGTACTTGTGCTAGTACTGGTGTTGCTGCTGCGGCCAATGGAAGCAGTGCAAACAGCAATAAGAAGAAACAGAAGATTTCTCCTCCCTTTGAATCTCTTCTGTTGGACAAGAATAATGAGATTTCGATCCAAGGCATCCTTCCCTTTGTTGGTGTTGGACAGTATGCTTTTGTAGGAGCTGTCAACAAGAAGATGAATCAATTGTACAAAGACTACTGTGAGACTGAACTCAAGAAGAATCCAAGAAAGGTAAAAGATAAGCCGCATTTTAAAGGTCGCTCTGCAGGAAGCACCGATACTCTGTACAGTGAAACTTTCTCCAACCAGCAGCGAGCAGAAGTTTGGCTCAAGGACAATTCCTACCATAAGACACCTCATCGTGAAAATGTTTGCACTGAAATTGCCAAAATTGGAAATCTTACGGTCATGCAGTGGGCACGACAAAAAGGGTTCCGATGGAATGAGCCCACGTGTGCCGGAGCTGCTAAAAGTGATCATTTGGAAATGCTACAATGGTTAAGGGAGAATGGTTGCCCATGGAATGCAGAGACATGCTCAAATGCTGCTCAAAGTGGACAATTGGAAGTTTTGAAGTGGGTTCGCACAAACGGCTGTCCATGGGATGAATGGACATGTACGTCTGCTGCCAAATATGGACATTGGGATATTTTAAAGTGGGCTCGTGAAAATGGTTGTCCATGGGATGAAGACACAACTACCAAAGCTGCTGAAAATGGACATTTGGAAGTTTTAAAGTGGGCTCGTGAAAATGGGTGTCCATGGGATGCAGAGACATGTGTCTATGCTGCTCGAAATGGACATTTGGAACTTTTAAAGTGGGCTCGTGAAAATGGTTGTCCATGGGATGAGCGGACATGCAATGCTGCTGCTGAAGATGGACATCTGGAAATTCTAAAGTGGGCTCGAGAACATGGTGGTCCATGGAGTGCAAGGACATGTCAACGAGCTGCTGAAAATGGACATTTGGAAATTTTGAAGTGGGCTCGTGCAAATGGTTGTCCGTGGGAGGTAGAGACATTTTACGCTGCCCGCAGGAGAAACCAAATCGAAGTGATCCTGTGGCTATGTGACAATGCCTGCCCTGGGTCTCATGATTGAGGACACTAAGTAGGAGAGATTAGTAAAAGAATAGAAGTCATGTACCATTTTCCCCTCCTACTAGGAAGTCCAGTATAGTTACAAGCCCAGTAGTTGCAAGTCCAAACAGTTCCAGAAGAGCAGTTGGTTTAACCAGCTTACTTGCCCTTCATGGAATGGTTGGCCGCAGGTCACAGGAATGAAACTGCTTGCATGGGTGTGAATATCAGATGCCTGAAGTCGAGCTTTCAGCTGCATCCACTGGTGGCCCTGTTGATTTAGTTAGACTAGCTAGCTAGCTAGTGCAGTGGGTTTGTTTTCTTGGGAGCTGAAGCACCCGTTTTGGCGTGACAGTCACGAGTATCTAATGAATCGTCACTCGACTGACACCTTGATGTTTTATTTATAAAAGGACGAGGCGTCACCGCGGATCTTCTCGAGAAGCAAAAAGATCTTCAGGCAGCACCAAAACTAACTGCCATCCATCACTCTCCATGAATGTATGAGCTGCAAACCATTGCTCTCTCCATTGGTAGATTAGAATCAATAGTAGAATAGAATTAATATAGCAACATGACGACGACAGCATCTGTAATGGTGGCACGAGGGCTCCTGCGTCGACTGCCGTCTAGTAGTAGGCATGTTGTTCCAGTAGTGCGATCAATGGTATCTCGTACAGCAGTACTGTGGGACCAAAAGACGATCCAATTACCGGGCTTGGGCGATTCGATTACCGAAGGTACCATTGTGGAATGGACAGCAGCGGTTGGACAAGCAGTCAAGGAAGGGGATGTGGTTGCCATGGTCGAAACCGATAAAGTTACTGTCGATATCAAGGCGGAAATTGATGGAGTCATTATGGAACAGTTTCCTGCCGTGTGAGTTTTTATATAGGTAAAGTTTGTTGTTTGTATTCTATTTTATTGACTAATTTGATGTTTGGATTCTTTTGGTTTGATTTGCACAGAGACGACACGGTGGAAGTGGGAGCTGACTTGTACAAAATTGATACCGAAGGACAAGCCACCGTCACTGTCGCTGCCACAGATGCTGCTGCACCAAGTCCAGCTGCTGCTACGGAAGAGACGGCTCCACCGGCAACAGCTGCAGCAGAATCCGCCAAATCAGCAACTACAGCATCAGCAACAACCCGCACACCTTCCATTCAATTTCGCGGCAAGGACGGATGGGCCAAATTACGGGCGGCTGGTTCCGCACCCACCATTGTCCATATTCCACCCATGTACGGACGTCCCGTCTTTACCCAGGAAGAAATGGATGCACTCGTCTCGGGAGGAGCCGATATTGCACCACAAGTCAAAAAGCATTCTTCCGGTGCCATGTTTGGATACTAATAGTAAGACTCGACTCATAAAAACAATCAATCCACAAACAAGAAATCAAAGAACTCAACAAGATTGTAGACAAATCAGAATTTTGAAATTATGGACTATGTATGACAGCAACAACCTTCACAAAAACAAAACAATGATATCTTCTGTAGTCAAATCACGGCTTTATATTACTTTAGTTAGTTAGTAGTATGGTAACGAACAAAGCCGCGAGGCACGGAATTTCCAAGCTACGGTACTGTACCCCGAAGCCCTGAACAGATCGAGCTACATGTACCGGTAGCTAGTTGTGCATTTTCCACACAAGTTGCCTGGGAATACAGGGACCACCGAGCTGGTGCGGGCTTTTGGTTTCCTCATTATTTTAAAAATTTCAATGGTTTTCTTGGGCAAACATCACTCTGTCCCTTTGTGAAAGCAGAGGATGTTGTATTGTTGGTTTGCGTTACGTTGCTTCAAAGACCTGGCTATAGCTACCAGTACATCTTTTTAAAAACTACGGTAGTTTTCCAATCAACGAGCATCACCTACCTGAACGCAGGGCAAAACACTACTTTGCAATCACCCTCTACCAACTACAAAATATTTTTGATCTATAGGAGTGAGTGTCTAGTGCGCCCCATTCAAGTTCGAGTCAGTTCATCGTGCTGTCGGAGCAAGTTACTGTACCGGTAGTTCGTGCCGTCAACGGTAGCTAGCTGCCCCGGTGGCTGCACCGGTGGCTGCACTGGTTGCTGCCCCAGTGGGTGCATCTGTTTCAGATGGATCCATTGTTTCGGAGTTGTCGACGGTGTCCGTGGTAGTAGGTGATATTGTGGTTGCTGCTTCGGTGGGTGCTTCGGTAAAGCAATATTCTGGAGGCCTTGCTGATAGCGCGCATACTTGTTCCTTGATCCAGTCGGCAAAGACGCTAACGCGTGTATATACGTCAATAGTCTGGGAGGAACACTTGCCATTGGAATACGAGTTGATCCCCACTTGCAGATTACTGCTCATACCCAACGTAACCGGTGCCCCGCTGTCGCCCCCACAAGTCGCCGTTTGACGAGAATCGGCACACAAGTGACGAGTGCGGTTGTACGTGTATGATTGGCGGGAACAGTCGTCAACATATGGGATTAAACCGCCTTTGAGCGTCCGAGAAACAGCATTGTCGTTGACCAATCCAAAACCCATGGCAAAGACTGATGGCTGAGTTGCGGCGGGTATACTGTTATCGTCATTGACTATCGCCACTTGGTTGGGCAGGAAATAGGAAAGCTTCAACACGGCCAAGTCCGGATCGGAGGATCGTCGCCAGGACCAACTTGGGTGGAGAACGCCATCCACAACATCTGTCACGATTCCCCCGTTGTAGTAGTCACCCGCGCCCACTCGAACTCTCGGAGGCAACCCGTTGTCATCCACGCAATGAGCTGCCGTCAACACTCTTTTGAGGTCGGAACAAAAAACGGGAGGAATTGTGAGCTCAGTCTGTGGATGAATGAGGTAAACCGTATGCACGAAAGGATGTCATTGCTACTTACATGTCGCCGTGGATGAGTGAACCACCACAGAGTGTCCCGCCTTGAAACACAGCGAACCACGGTAGCGGAGGGATGTCAAAGCCATTGCGAATGCCCTGATCTTGCTCATCAAGATTAAGTTCCGGTTCATTTGAATCCAAAGGGTCGCTACCAAAACCTCCCGGAACAAATGGAGGTGATTCATCATTATATGTACTTGCCCGTCGCACGTGTTGGCTGTGGGTGGAAGGAAAAGCAAAAGAGAGAAGGAGGAACAAACATGATACGAGATTGCAGTTGTTGTTCATGGTGATTGATGTTCGAGTCAGTCCAATTTGGCTATGTTATGATACAATGTAGCAACTATACAGGTAGGTGCGATCGTTCGCTGTTGAAATAAATGAGCGAACTGCGAACGATGTGAGGATGGATGGGCGATCGAAGGCTCCTTTGCCTCCGACAACACCTCGTGTTTTAGCGATGTGACGGAACTTGCGATACAGGTTTGTGACAAAGGATAAACTCGAGATATCGACACGCGTTGTGACCTTAGGAAGACCGCATTCTGACATGGAACACATCAAGCATTTTTAGTTCAACATATTTAAAAAGAATTGAAACAGAAAAGACCCAAAGGCGAACTCAGTGGTTTAACAAACATTTTGATGAGGACTGGCAAGCTGGCAAGCACAAGTTTTCAGAAACGTCTCGTCTACGGAACATTCGTATATTAAGGCTCCGTAGGAACTTGTCCATCCCATCTTCGGTACTGGTAGTACCACTCCTCGATTTTTTGTGTGGTTTGTTGCCTTCTCATAAAAGGAAAACAGAGTATTGGTCTGCTGCATGGATGACAGCGTTTACTAATACACATCGATATCGTTGCTGCATCATACTATGTCGTCTTGTACTCTGCACCCAGATTCTCGTATCATCTCCCTCCTCCTTCTTGCTGCCATCATTGGCCAAAGCGTGGGCAGCGGCAATGCCACCACAAAAGAATACAAGATCTGCAGCATTGCTGGAGGTGCCGGGGTGACTCGAGAGGCCTCTAGGAGCATCCAAACCCTCTTCCGAAGTGCCTTGGAGGATGTGGAATACATGCGCGAATTTTTGACGGAGCAAACGAAGTACAACCCAGAAACATTCAGTGGCATCTCTCTGGAGTTTCTAGCCAATAGCCTGGATTGGGAAGCCAGAGGTATGCCTCCAAATTCGACAACTTTGGATGCTGGTCTGGCCTGGGTTGACGACCGACCAGACAGAAGAGTGGAGCGAATTGTGGGACTGCGACATGAACCTCATGTGGGCAACAAATCAACAGATTTGGCCATGATTGATATAATATCTGGGGTTTTGCCCTGGATTGTGGACATGCGTTCCAAAGAAACCATGTGGTGGAAAGATCATCAAAATGGACGTTCAGAAGGTCAGCACAAACCGACACTTTTCTTTGACAGGCTCTATGTGGCTGCTTACTCTATCACCTGGGGTGGTGCGGCCAGCTACTATCCTCCCATGACCTCATTCGTTCTGAGGGGGTTCAATCTGATTGATGTTGTGGGAGCAAACTTCAGCTTTGATGAAAATGAACCTGTTGTCATTCCGAATCTACGAGAAAACAATCCACGGAAGTTGGCCACTATTGGCAAACCATATGCGGACAAAGCCAACCCAGGTTTGTCCATTGTTACAGCACATGCACCCGTGTACTACACAGGAGAATGGCTTGGTTTCAACTATAATGATACCTATGTTGGCTTAACGGGCATTGACCTGTCAATTGACTCCATGTCCAGTTTGTTGCACAGACTGGATGGGACAGTGACAGAGGGGAGCTTTGGGCTTGTGGTTGATGGCGAATTCAATATCTATGTCATCACCCAGGATGCCGTCAACTTGATCTATCCGGAGAGAACAGGGTTTGAAGAGTTTCGTGTCCACAGGGACAAGGACGGAGAAGGAGACCTTATTGATGACAGGAGAAATCAAACTTATCTTGTCAGTGACACCATCCTGCAGCCCCCCACCAACCTCACCAACGCCAACTGGACAGCTCTCCATAAGGAAATCCAACAACAAGAACCTGGCCATAGAGGAACATCAGAACTCGACATTGTTTTGACTGGGGATACTGAACCGACAACATTCAATGTGATGTACGACAAATGGGAAACAGTGGGCAATTTTACCTTGCTCCTGTTTGCTCCCAAGAAACAGGTAGAGACAGCACTTGACTGCAACTTTGAATCCCCAAACTTCAGGCATTGGTGGGGGCTAATGCCATGGGAGAAGCGATCTTTACCAACAATGGCATTTTGGATGTAACTGCCCAGGTCAGAAAGTTCCCATCATGGGTTCAGCTTGAAGCTCCTGCTTTTGAGTCTCAATTGGTCCACCTAGCACCAGGCGAAGAGATGAGATTGCCATTTATTGCCAGCACAGAAAGTCTTCCCATGGGTCTGACCTCTAGCCTGTTGACTATGTCAGTACAAGATGATGACTATCCTGATTGCTTCTACAGTGAGATTTTCAGTGCTACCATCACCATCGATGTCCAGGAGGAAGAGAACCTTCATCAACTGGGTCACTTTCGAGCATTTGGTTTCATTATCAGTGTGCTTGTCATGACAGCATCCCTTGCTTGTGCTCTTTGGGTTGCCAAGAATGCTCGAAAGGCCATTGTGAATGCAGCCCAGCCTTTCTTTCTCTATGTATTGTGCTTTGGCACATTCATTATGGGAGTATCCATCGTTCCTCTTTCTATTGATGACTCCTTGGCTGGCAGCAAGGGATGTGATGTTGCTTGCATGATGTTCCCGTGTATGTTGGCTCTGGGGTTCTCCATTACCTTTTCAGCTGTATTCAGCAAGGTGTGGAGGGTATCCAAACTATTTCAAGCAGCTGGCAACTTGCAGAGGGCCACGATATCCCCACAGGATGTTATGGTTCCCTTTTGTGTTATTATCACTTTGAATCTGGTATTGCTTCTAACATGGACCTTGGTTGATCCTCTTAGCTGGGAGCGTGTGCACAAGAGCAGCAGCAGCTCCTATGGAACATGCTGGTCCAATTTGAGTGGTGCACAGATTGCCATCCTGTCTCTACTGGCAGTGGTCAACTACTCAGCCTTGGCTTTGGCCAATGTCCAAGCCTACCATGCACGGTATGTACCACAAGGCAGTCATCTTGCAGGGAGACCTGTCCGTGTTTCCTAACACGCCAATCTTTGTTCAAACAGGAATATTGCCGATGAATTCAGCGAGAGCAAGTACATCTTCTTGGCCATGTTTGGGGTTCTTCAGGTCTCCATGATTGGCTTGCCAGTTATGTTCTTGGTGTTGGAGAGCCCTCCTGCTCTATTCTTTGTCCAATCTACACTTGTGTTTGCCATTGCCATGTCAATTCTTCTTTGGATCTTTGTTCCCAAGATTCAGCATGTAATGAAGTACCAAGATGTGGTTTCCCGAAAGAGAATTTCAATGGCATCGAGGAGAAGCATCAGCAGGGAGTTTATAAGTGATTTTAGCAACGATTTCAGCCTTCCCGTGAAGCAAAGTGATGGCCCGAGCCGTACAATATCAAATGGCGCTTTGAGCTCAGACAGGCACGGCAAGGTTTGCACTGCATTGGAGGGAAATTCATCGATGGCCCCTCAATTGGACGCTTCCCTGAGCACAGGGAATGCACGTGGTGGTGATGACCCTGGATTGTGCCATGCTGTTATTGACGATATTGACGACATCGATCCAATCGCTCCTTGATGATCGAGGTCCCCCACCAAAGCGAGCAGCTCAACCAGAGGCAGCATTTGAGACTGGCTGTTGGGTTCCTTACTATTGATGCGCGCCTCTACCCGTTAGTTGTTAGTTGGTTTCAACTTATTCGACGAGTCTTTATGGACTTGAATGTTTGCATTCATGATGGCTAATTTACTGCTCGTTGTACCTAGCACCTGCTTCCAACCTCAGAATTGTAGATGGTGACGGTGACGATGGAAGCCATCGCCAACTCGTCAACCACGAGCTAGTTGGCTGATACAGTCGGCCGAGAGGCGCAGGGGTCGCTCTTATGTCAGTGACAGTGCCGGTACACTTCTCGGCATGGAAAAGGCCTACCGGGATGACGAAGACCAGTCTAGCTAGGACTCGATGAGTCTTCTGCAGTCCTCAGAAGCGAAGCACATACTTCACCTATGTTTTTCCAAAGAGGACTTGCCCTCCTCCTCGCCTTTGACTCTTTGAAAACCGGTATGTCTGTCGCCTGTCTGCAGCGTACAGCGGCGTCACCCCACACCCCATCACACATTGTTCCTTCGTACCCTCGTGTTCTCTTTTTGGTCAGTGTCCCGGCACAGGCTGGGCTTTGTCCCACCCCACACCCCACCTACGATCCTACCTTTAGGATAGTAGTACTAGAGAAAAGGCCTTGCACCTTCCAATCAGTGTTAATAACAACTGTGTAAACTCAGTGCTCAGTGGATCAGTGAGACCAAAAGAGGACTCGTAGGGGAAGTGGGAGCTGTCCTTCTTACTGAATTCGTACATAAATAGACTACTGAATCCTGTTCTTACAATTCTAAAGCCTAGCATTAATGCTCATCTTCCTCTCAGGAAGACGATCGATGCACCCCAGATTTAGTGATTATTCACATGTATGTATGTACTCGAGACTCGAGTATTGATGTGCTTTCTCTGAGCCCCGAAATACGAGCACACGTAAGCAAGAATCATGAATCCCCACCGAAGCTCACATCGATAGCTCATCAATCATCAATCCCCGTCTCTCCAACACTTGCTCACAACACCAAAAACCGCCCGCTGCCTTCATTTAGCTTTGCACTGTATATATTCAACATGAGCGCAACATCAAGTAGCAGTATTCGTCAGGTGGGTCCAGATCGCAGAGAAGGGCGTTTACTTTCTCTTCATGGGTTCACCGGCGACGATGGAAATGGCGCACGTCAGGTAGATCCCGTCTTTTTGGAGTTTACGTTGGCTGCTTACTTGGCATGGCGCGACTTTGAAGAGCGTCGAGGGGACATTTTGCCGCATCTACCGGACTTGCTAGAAGACTGCGACTTTCACTGGGGGCTGGAGGTTCGAGACACCGCACTTTCTCCTATCGTGGGTGTGAACGAACTGTTGGAGGCCACGGACGATCCATACGACATGCCCTTTGCCATTACTGGTAGCCTGTTCAGTTCCGTCACGCTGCAAGTGACAACCTTGGCGGCAGCCCTGGAGATTCCTCAGGTGAGCGGAACGTCTACTTCCATGCATCTGGAAAGAAGTGACCTGTTTGCCAGAACCGTTCCGACCAACGCACAAGATGCCCGAGCCGTCATGACCTATTACCATTCCTTGGGAGTCACACGGTTGGCATCTGTGTTTATGAATGAACCGTATGGTGTTCAGTATAACCAGGCCCTTCAACAAGAAGCTGGAAGACTCGGAATTACATTGCTCTTTTTCCCGATAGAGCATGGCAAGGTGGATCAGAGTATGCAGGACTTGAAGGAGTCACAGGCCAGATTTGTCTTTGCTATTGTCCTTGAAGGGGACTGGCGAATGATCATTCAATCCGCTTACAAACATGGAGTTGTGGGAAACTCAGACTATGCTTGGATGGCTCCTGATCTCACGTATTTGCTCAACCCTACTTTTGGGCTGGACAAGGAGGAAGAGTCAGACATTGCACTGGCAATGCATGGATTAGGCATTATCAGTCTGCAAATGCAAGCCAGCTCTCAGCACTTGTTTGACAAGGCTCTACAGGAACTGAGGAAGAACACAACGCAATTACAAGACTTTATTGGCCACACTGCCTACCCAGATCTGTTTTCCAATTTCTCATTTGCAAGTGATGCAGCGCCCTTCCTGTACCACCATCTCATCTACGACAGTGCCATTGCCCTGGGGCTAGCTGCCTGTTCAACTCCTGGGCTGTTCAAAGGTGCGGACTTGTACCAGCAACTTCTGATGACAGAATTTGAGGGGGTTTCCGGTAATGTTTCCTTTGATTCCGTGACAGGGACCAGGGATGCAGTTGGTACTCAATACCGAGTCGACAATTTGCTGATATCTGCAAGTAGATCTACAGAGACTGTTGGGTCTAATAACACTGCAGCTACTAGTAATATCAAGGTTAATTTGTTGATTTGGGCGAGCTGTGAAGAAAAAGTGATCTTTCTGGCTGGTCGCTTTGAAGTCTGGATCTGAGAATGCCAGTTTCCTTAAATTCCTACGGTGGTGCGGTCTTTTTCTTATCCGGGTCCGCTAAATATCTAGACCGGCCAACACACTCCTGCCGTGGTCCCTAATGGATCCACGGAACGATTAAAACTAAACTAAATAGGAGGATGCCCCATAATAAAAGCGCGATGCGCATGGAATAGGGCACCTTGGAGGGGCTTCGTGAGAAAGTCCCCGTGCATGTCCTGTGTGGGACAATACACCACTCGTACATTTCCCTGCTTCACTTGGTCGTGAATAAAGAAGAAACGCACATTCAGAGCACGAGTACGCTTACCGGCGCTGCTCTTACCATTCTCAGCGAGAATGATAGCACTCTTGTTGTCTTGATAAAGGATGTTCTCCTGAACATCAACACCTTGAGCCTCCAGAAACAACTTGGTCCACAACAAAGGACTCATAACATCGTCGGCTCCAATGAGTTCGGCGTCGGTACTGCTGCGAGCGTTGAGCTTCTGCTTGCTAGAGACAGCAATGGGTGCACCGCGGCCGAAACTGAGCACTCCTCCAGTATGGGATCGATAGTCGGGATGAACAGCAAAACTCGCGTCAACCCACCATCGGATAATACGAACGTCGTCAGCATGGAGGATGAGCTTGTCATTCAAAGTCTGTTGAATAAACTTGAGGCCTTGGAGAAGTTTTCCCCAATCGTTCTGGTTCGGCTGTTTCACTCGAGTACAAAGGACGGAGTCAATGTTGCATGTCTGGACGAGCACGTTTACAGGCGAAGAGTAGCTGGCTGTATTCGTGTGGAAGGTATCCTTCGTGTCAGGGTCCATGATTGTCACCGTCACCCACAAAACAAATCAGCTGGGGCTGCACTCGGAACAGTACGAACATGATCAAAGTTTACAGGGAACTCTTCGAGCACTTGGTCAAATAGTCAATCATCTATCGATCTTGACTTTGCCAGGCTCCGAAAAATCAATCGTCATCCCTAGATAGTCGTGCTGGGTCCTCTGGTTGCTTATTGACAGCACGTAGGTACCATACTTCTCGTTGACCAGGCCAGGAAATCATTATTCACCTTGGCAATCATAGACTGACATGAGATCGTAGACATCGACATGGAGATATAGCGGACGCCACAGTTGCAGCAACCGACCATCGACACCCTTTGACAGACACCAGACATAGGACCCAACTCTAACAGCCACCTTCAGCGACCAGCCTACCAAGTAACTCGCAATGAGCATTCCATAAAGTGCCTTCAACCACAACGTAAGGATAGGTCTCCCCTCAGACAAGGAATGGCTTGTAAGTGTCTCGATTTCACAAGCAATTCTGCAAGAAAGCCTTCATTTCATGATCACCTTCACCACCATCCTTGGTTGCGGCAATGCTGTCGGAATAAAAGCATTGGGTACATCCAAAGTCATCACGTCGCGCCTTCACTGGCATCGACGACCATCGACAACATTAGACCTTCAAGCGACACTGTCGGAACTTCGTGTTTATCCTTGTCCTGGTATACCCTCGTTGGTTTCCATTGAAACGGATCTGGCCTGATGGTTCCGTCTCGCTTTTCCGTACAGAACATGAGTGTCACTTGAGCTTCTTGAGCTCCGATTTTTTACAGTCCTCTGGCCTAAATGGAGCGAATGCCACAGGTGTGCAGCTGATCCATCTCTTTTCGTGCTGCCTTGGCCCTGTCCCCCAGATCTCAATCCCTGGGCAACAGGTGCTGCTGCCATGACTTGCTCCTTCCACGGTGTCATCTTTGATCCTACCTTGGTTGATCTCATGGATAACTGTGCCATGTCTTTCCCGCCGTCGTCTCATACAGAGCGGCTTCTTCTTCGATTCCTGATCTTCAGTCTTGGTAAACTCCTGTGCGAAAGTGACTCCCTTTGCGGTTCTTGCTTGGCTGCGATCCTGGAGACCTGCGGATTCCAACCTCTTGTCAACTTGCTTGCTTTGGCTGGGCCTTCAAACGGCCATCCATTGGGTCCACAAGTTGGCGATTGCTTGCTCTCGTCGAGGCCTGAACTTCTTTGTTAACCTTCGATCAAAGTCACCTTCGTCTTCTTCGCCACTGTCCTCTTCATCGCTGCTATCATTTGGTCTCGGCACCAAACTGGGACCGATCCATCATCTTCATCGTCGCTATCGACATGGTTGTCAAACCAATCTGAAACTGGCGCGATTGTTCTGCATCGTCCA